GCTATACATACATACACACACACATATACATATATACATACATACATACATACATACATACATACATATATACATACATACATACATACATACATACATACATACATACATACATACATATTTTTTTTATAACAAGCAATAGATGAGAATTTTAGGTTAAGCCATGGGAGACGCAAATCATCCATGTGCTTTGTCATGTGGGAGGCGCGCCCAGCGAATAGACTCGGGATCTTTGAAGTAGATGGATTACATGAGGATGGGGAAAGATGTTTTGCCTCCAGACATGGATGGTTTTCAATAAATCGGGTTTGATAATTTTGCCCATGTGTAGTTCATCATCATCATCATCATCATCATCATCATATGTATGTATATATATATATATATGTGTGTGTGTGTGCATTTCACAAGGCAGAATGTACCTAGGAAATCTGGAGATCTTTGGAACTCCAGTGTAAACTGTGTAGTATCGGTGACCCTCCACAGAGGTGACCCCCCAATCAGGCTTCTTTTCAGGGCTCATTACCCTCTGGTAAACATACACAAAGCTATTGAAAATTATGATTTATAGTGGATTTACACATTAAACATGGTGATTTTCCATAGTTATGTAAACGTTTACCAGAGGGTAACAACCAACAACTACGTTATTAGAAGGGTGAAGCTTAACCATGGGGGAAATCATTTGACTGCGGGGTTGGGCTGTTGGTGTAGTTCCCTGAAATCCCACGGTGAGGTTATATGGGATGAACGGGTCTTTTTTGTTTCGTGCATGCTGCAAATGAGTTTGGTGAGAAAACGTGATTCAAGATGATTCACAAAACCCCAAGTAGCAGTTAATGTCAACCCTGGATTAATAAACCCCAAACGGCTGTTTAATTGGGAGGGTACCATTTAAATGTCAGATGAAATGACTATTGGAGGAGTACCCCCCTAATCAATAAACCATGGTTTATCAATCCGGGGTTGACATTATGTTTGATGGTTTTCAATGGGGTGATCATTCCAGAAATGGCCACAACTGAGGCTAGATGACACTGGCCTTGGCGATTCACCAGCAGTTGCTTAACGACTAGCTGCTTGATCTACAATCAAAAAGTTGGGTATCAAAATAAGGTGGATGTACTTTCAACTGAGTAAATGTTATGTTGAACATATCAAAATGGTGGATTTACTCAGTTGTTTTTCACTCTATCTAAGTGAAATTAGTTTTTTCCATTGTTAATGGAGATAGTCAAAAACTAGAATACCATATATTAACCGGATATGCTGATTGGTAGTCTGCTGGGTGTTTCGATATGTTTATTCATTTTCAGCCATAGAAAAGGGATGATGATCCCCTATGACGAGCATATCTTTTGAATGGGTTGAAACCACCAATCTGTGTGGTAATGTTTAATTTCCATGGGTAAATGATGATTAGCCACTCTCCAACAGATTTTTGGGTGCCAGTTTTGGACACACACCTTTGGCATTGAAGGCGTTGCTTGTGGAAATTGAAGGAATCATTTGAGGTGGTTCAAACAATTGTGGGGGCTGGGTGCGATTTGTAACCAATGGCCTCCCAGCTACATGGTTGTTTGAACATGTTATTAAAGCAGTTATAACCTGTGTTATTCATTGGTTAATGGCTTTTGCACCTATCGTTTTTGGTATTTCTTTCTATCATCACTGAGAATCCCAATCCCAAGTGCTGTTGGTAAAACCCATAGTTATTTTCTTGATATGGGATAATATGGGATAATATTGGATAAGATGGGATATAATATGGGATAATAATGGATAATAATGGGATATAACAATATGATTAATGGGATTCTTCTTGTTGAAAGATGTTGAAATCACGAGAAATCGCTTCATTTCACCGCCTGGGACCCTTTCATTGCTCATGGCGAGGCACCGGCTTTGCTACCTCGCAGCGCGCGAGCTGACAGCCAAGCAGCCGGAAGAAGCCAAAAGCGGTGACTGTTTGGTGTGGTTTGGCAGTAAACTCGAGATATGGCATATATTGATTGGATATTAATGGGATAATAATGGGGATATCTTGGGATATATATTTATATATCATTGATTTATATAACCGCAATGATATTTATTCCATGCATGACCGTTTTGATGTGAACATTTCATCAAAACCCTTGGATTTGAGGGTTCAAACCTAGAAACCAAACATGTTAAATCAGTTCACATCATCCAATATTCCCTTCTTAATCCAAGTTTCCTATCATTTTTCCATATTTATTTATTTGTTTCCACAGTGTGTTATTATATAGTTATGGCCATTGACTAGTTATAACTGGTGATTTCAGTGGGATTAGACATTCATTTCAATGGGGTGACTGTTAGTACTTATAGCTGGTATTTCGGGCCATAACTGTGGAGGTACCCCAAAATGGAAAGTCCGATGGGAAAATGGATGATAACCCCAATAGCTGGTACTTATAGCCCCATGTATAGTTTATGTATGATCCCGTAGAAATAACCAGTTATAACTAATAAAATGACCATAATAATATAACCATATTATAATCCCATAGAAATCCCATAGAAATAACCATAGTATAACCTGTGTCGATGTCTTTCCCCATGATTTTGTCGATGTTTTTTCCCGCGAGGCCTCGATCCCTGCGGGTTGCCGGATGCGGCGGAGAACCTGCAGCGTGCCGCAAGGCACACAAGCGGCTGCGAGAGACCCCGGGGGTGGGGAGTTGAAAACGTGGCTGAAAAGGGGTTCACCATAGGAAAACCCTAGGAAAATGATGAAACTATAGGAAAACCATAGGACAATGGCGAAACTATAGGAAAACCATAGGAAATGTTGATTTAACCATGCAAAATTGTGATTTTATGGCTTTTAATGTTGATTTGACGGGGATAGAATAGGAAAATCATGGATCATACAACTAACAGTGTCCACAAAACCCTGGTGGGTTGATAAAAAATAGTCATTTGATAGGGATTTTATGCAGATTGACTTGTTATTGTTTAAACAAATACAGGATTAACCATTCAATTATTGGGTACCCAATTTTGCCCCATACATTTATGTTGATTTTATGGGAGTTAATGATGATATACTGGGAATATCACGGGAATCCGTGTTTTTTAGATGGGAAGTTGATGGGTGTTATACTGATGTCATAAGGAAATATCAGCAGGATGCTCACGGAATATCAATGAGATGCGAGTAGGAAGTTAATGGTTAATAATGGTGGGGATTCACCAACAATTGTGGGTCAGATTATATATATATATTATACAGTGGGAAATTGTTATATTACAACAATTATGGGATTATATATCTATACTATATTTATTTACAATCATAGGATTACATATGTATATGCATATTACAACAGATTAATCTATGGATCATGGGAAAGTTCATGGATCATTTGAAGTTGTTTCCCTTCGGTGTCCTTGTGGAAATCCCCGTGTTTTTTTGCAGCACGCCGGACGTTGGAATACCGGAGCGTTGTGGGACGTTGATGGATTTTTCACCTAGCAGACATGGGATTTTAATGTTCATCTACCTAGATGTGCACCTGCAGAATAGCGTCTTCATGGATTTATGAACATTTGTCTCAATTACTGAAGTTGTATTTTATCTTTTGGTATTAATCAAGTGCTTTTTGCTTCTTTCCTACGTGTTAATGAAGCAAACACTCCATGGTAATTAAAGCGTTTCAAAAACAAATCAACACGTATGGCAAAAGTGATGACAATATGATGTGCTTTCCAGAGTGCCATTGTCGAATACCAAACATGGTTTTCTCAAACGTGGCAGTGGAAAAGCAGGGCTTTGTTGATTGGGAAAAAATGTTAATAGGTTAAAAATGGTTGATAATGGCTATATATAATGATAAGAATGATCGATTATGATTTAAAATTGTCAATAATGGAGGTTTCCGTTTTGTCAGGGGGGTACCCCCAGTTCATGGATGTTTTGGGGGTAATCCCTTCATCGTCCCCTCCATCCATCACACCAGATTCCCAGAGGCTACTTGACCCACAAGGAGCATTAAAACGACCTGCCATTCACTGAGGTTTGCCAAACATACAATTCCCTTGGTCATTTTAAAGTGGCTAGCTGGGAAAGGTCATTTTTTCGTAAAATTATGGGAAAATCATTTATGAACTATATGATAGTGAGTTTCCAGATGGCATTTTTTTGATCACCAAAGGGCATTGATAAAACCATCCATGTTTCATGGCTAACTTTGGCCCTTGGGCGAGGTCTGAAATCGCACCATCCCGAGTGGCCGACAAAAGGCTTCACGAAACGCCGCGAAAAGGGCGCGACAGGAGGAAGCGGGTGGAGGTGTCTTGAGCTGTTCACATGCACACAAGCTACAAGCAGACTATATTGGTTTTGAATCAATGTATACCGTATCAAAATCCTTGAAACGTACCAGCTTTATGAAGCATCTAGATGTTATCCATACAAAGGGCATAGGAAATATGGCAACGATGGTGTCCATGCGTTCTATGCACGTTGCTCCCATGGTACTTCCCAGCTGTTCAGTCTTGGTGGACGGGGTTGGCCACGTGAATCCCAGCGGTTTCAGAACTGAAAATGGCCATCAAAAAATGCGAGCTCAATCCAATAGACTTAGACTTTGCTTGAATTCCTTGGTTGAAGTCTGGATCTACTTTGCTTTCAAGCCTACAGCACTTGGAATTGATGCCAAAGTATGGTTTCAACAGTTGATGACCACACCATTGCCCGTGAACCAAACCACCCAAAGCCTGACTTGCACATTGTGGTGCCCCTGCAGTTTTAAGTTTGTTGGTTTAGTTTCCCTCCATTGGCATCCATTAACTTGTTCGATCTATATATATATATATACATATACGTATATATATATATATATTTAAATCGACTATACATAGTGTAAACATGTGTAAACTATATTACCTACTAGAATACATAAGTTCACCACCATGGTTTCGCGACTTCCATTGGAAATCTCTCCGGGGCCCGGGGATCGAACCATGGCATGGCCTCACAAATTCCCTGGCGTTGGCGTCGGTGGTGGCTGCCATGGCTGGCGCTGGCAGCAGCCGAAGTGCCTGGGAGCTTTTGAAAATTGGGTTTTGAAATTTGATCATTTCAACATTCTTTAATCAGCAAAATGATCAATGTTTGGGATGTAATAATTAAGAATCAGAAACATATGAAGAGTGTTGAAGAAGCAAGAATCAGTGCCTGACCAATTATAGCATAGAACACAATGTTTGGCGAAGAAAGGCTTTTATTTGCCCACGGTCCTGTGACCGGAAGAACGCCTCAAACCTGTTCCTGGCTCAACGGGCTTGGATCTCCACGACTCCTTGGGGGAGAACATCGACCTGGTTTTGCTTCCACAGCCTACACTCATTGGAAGCACAGCTCAGGTCCTGGAAGATTTCTCCGGCCTCAAAGTTTCCCCAGTGGCAGAGCTTGGCACTGCCAGGTACAAAGTAAAAGCAGATCCTTTCAACGGACCCCCCACTTGCTCCAGTTCCTGGTGGCCTGTGTCCCCATGCAGCACTCCATGGTTCCAATCCCTTCTCATAGGAGGGTCTCCTTTGATCAGCTCATGTCAAACATGAACTCCGGCCGGGGATTTCATTGGGAGGATCAGCTTCAAACAAGTGATCTATGATCTTCCAAAAAAACTGGACACCTCCTCAGTTCTTCACACCCCAATTCTTTTGACCTCAACTTTTAACAAGCCATTCACCATCAAATCATCGTCGGATGTCAGGGATGCGCCGTAAAAAGCTATACACCTCAACAGTCGTGGTCATGTTTCAATGTTGGAATCCCTCCATGTGAGATCAAGTAAACAAGAACTCAAAGATTTGATAATCCTTAATAATCCTTAGGTAAATCCGTTAGATAATTATTTTCCAAGGTTGTAGTACAATCAAAATCACTTGAGCAGTTAGTTGATGATTTGTAGTGGCTTTACGATATGAATATAGATAAACATTTTGTTTCAAGCGTAAACAAGTCAATAGGAAGTAGATAGCAACATATGTCAACATATATATATATACTGATTGGTGGTTTGGAACATTTGTTATTTTCCCATTCAGTTGGGAATGTCATCATCCCAACTGACGACCTCATATTTTTCGGGTTGGCCCAACCACCAGATATGTTTCATTGCGGATGAGGATGATCCATAGAGCGAATCCGTTTTTTTGACCAACCATGAGTTGTTTTAGGGATATGTTCGAAAACTTTATCCAACAGAAACCGCCTTTATTTGTGATGACTTGTGTATATCATCACCACCCCTTTAAGGCCACTTTTCAGGGGACCATACCAAAATGTACGTCCCTCCTCCTTAAAACGCTGGTGATTATATACTGTGTATATGTAATATATATAGAAATTGGGATGATCATTTCGAACATCGTCCAATGCTTGGGACTGGCACTGCTCCTCATTCAACAACTTTGTCCAACAGTCTAAGTGAGTATAGTGAAAAAACAAGAAACTACAGTTGGTTGATGATCATAGGCTGTTCTACTGACATGTGACATTGGTTTGATTTAGACACTTTAGACCCCATGTTTCCCACTTGCAGTAAGTATCTTTCTTTGACAGTTGTTTAAATGCCAAAACCCTACAAGGTGAGGCCCCTCCAGTTATGCTTGTTTTTTCAATACTATTACACTGAGTACATATAGTAGTTAGATGTAAGTCAACTTGGATAACATCAATCAGCTATACCTAGAAGAACCCTTAGGCACTTTTTTCTGCCCTCGGCGCCTAGGCAGCCGCATAGGCACTTTCACCCGGAAGTTTGCAAAACTCGGCAGATTTATATTGATGTAGGCATTTTTATCTCAAGATGTTTTTTGTACTCCGACATCATTTTGTGCCTAGGCATTTTTACCCAGAAGTTAGGTGGAAAAACCCGGAATCTAGGCGGAAAAACCCGGAATCTAGGCGGAAAAAAGCGGAATTAAGCGGAATTTTGTTCGAAACACTTTTCTGCACTGAACAACATGACAAGACCATACAAAAAAATTATCAGCCTCGGCATTTTTTGGGGGCCTAGGCATTTATTCTGGGAATCGGCAGAAATAAACGCCTACAGGCAGGTTAGGCATTTTTTTCTGCCTAGAGGAGTTTGTAGGTATCAGCTATATCAACTACAAATCCTATTTCCCCACCTGCCAGGTGAGGGTTGTTAGATTTTATCAGAGCGCTCTTCCTCCGCGTCCTCGTCCTCGTCCTCGTCCTCCTCCTCGACTAGCTGTCCTCTTCCTCGACTAGCTGTCCTCTTCTTCCTCGTCCTCCTCCTCGCCTCCTCCTCCAGTTTCTCCTCGACCATGTCTGCATCAACTTCCGCCTTGCCAACTCTTCGCCAAGCTCTTTGCCAACTTCCCAGCTCAGTGTGCACCGCTGGACCTCAACCTGGGACCTTCCCAGCTCAGTGTGCGCCGCTGGACCTCAACCTGGGATCTGCCCAGCTCAGTGTGCACCGCTGGACCTCAACGGGGGATCTGCTCAGCTCAGTGTGCACCGCTGGACCTCAACCGGGGACCTGCCCAGCTCAGTGTGCACCGCTGGACCTCAACCTGGGAGCTGCCCAGCTCAGTGTGAATTGGTGGAATTAAAAGTGGGAGCTGCCCAGCTCAGTGTGCACCGCTGGACCTCAACGGCCAGATAGAATGCCAGAAGAGATGCCAGATAGAATGTCAGATAGAATGCCAGAAGGTATGCCAGATAAAATGCCATGAGATATGCCAGATAAAATGCCAGAAGATATGCCAGATAGAATGCCAGAAGGTATGCCAGATAGAATGCCAGAAAATATGCGAGATAGAAGGCCAGAAGGTATGCCAGATAGAATTTCAGATAGAATGCCAGAAGGTATGCCAGATAAAGTGCCAGAATGTTTGCCAGAACATATGCCAGAAGATTTGCCAAATAGAATGCCAGATAGAATGTCAGATAGCATGCCAGAAGATATGCCAGATAGAATGCCAGAAGATTTGCCAGATAATATGCTAGAAGATATGCCATTTAGAATGCCAGATAGAATGCCAGAAGATATGCCAGAACATATGCCAGATATAATGCCAGAAGATATGCCAGATAGAATGCCAAAAGATTTGCCAGATAGAATGCCAGAAGATTTGCCAGATAGAATGTCAGAAGATATGCCAGATAGAATGCCAGAAGGTATGCCAGATAGAATGTCAGATAGCCAGAAGGTATGCCAGATAAAGTGGCAGAATGTTTGCCAGAACATTTGCCAGAAGATTTGCCACATAGAATGCCAGATAGAATGTCAGATAGAATGCCAGAAGGTATGTCAGATAGCATGCCAGAAGATATGTCAGATAGCATGCCAGAAGATATGCCAGATCAGATAGAATGCCAGAAGATTTGCCAGATAATATGCCAGAAGATATGCCATTTAGAATGCCAGATAGAATGCCAGAAGATTCGCCAGAACATATGCCAGAAGATATGCCAGAAGATATGCCAGAAGATATGCCGGATAGAATGCCAGAAGATTTGCCAGATAGAAACCCAGAAGATTTGCCAGATAGAATGCCAGAAGATATGCCAGATAGAATGCCAGAAGGTATGCCAGCCAGAAGGTGTGCCAGATAAAGTGCCAGAAGATATGCCAGAACATATGCCAGAAGATATGCCAGATTGATTGCCAGATTGATTGCCAGATAGAATGCCGCAGCCAGAAGATTTGCCAGATAGAATGCCAGAAGTTATGCCAGAAGATATGCCAGAAGATATGCCAGAACATATGCCAGAAGATATGCCAGAAGATATGCCAGATAGAATGCCAGAAGATTTGCCAGATAGAATGCCAGAAGATATGCCAGATAGAATGCCAGAAGATATGCCAGATAGAATACCAGACAGAATGCCAGAAGATATGCCAGATAGAATGCCAGAAGATTTGCCAGTAAGAAAATGTATAAATGTCATGGTGGGGATCACACGAAGTAAAGTAATTTTTGTTAGCTATTTAGGCTATATCAATTATAAATCCTAGGTTTTGTTGGTAAAACGGGTTTAACCTCCACCTTCATGGGCTAGATCATCTGGGCCTCACCTTCCGGCTCAGCATCAAGGTGTCCCAGCTAGCGGCCGAAGAGCGAGCGGCCAAACGCCAGGGCCAATGCAAGCAGGAGCGTGGCTTCATAGAAAAGCACTACTTGGGAGTTGACCAACGAACATATATTTCAAATGGGATACCATATGTGAACCAATCAAAGTTGGTTTAACCGTTTCAATTTCACCACCAACAAATTAGGATTTTCACCCGTAGAAACTGTAAATTCATGGTTTGCCAAAATCGGATACTAGAGTCTAGAGTTTCTGCAAACATTTGGGTTTCCAAAACATGCAAAATATCACCCCGGTGGTCAAACGTCGGCAACTCCGTTTGTGAGCCGCTCAAAATCCTTGTTTTTGGAACCGTCTAGTTGGCATGTGCCCCAGCGAGAGGAGACGGGCCGACAGAATTTTTTCCTGCTCTTTCCCTTGAGTAGCAGCCAGCTGGGGCCTGGAATATTGGGAAGGTCAAGATCCGGATATCATCCGCAGCCTAGATGGGATATGATACCACTACAATGGGGATATCTTGGAATATTTTTCAGTGTTGATATGTTCCAGGCATTATTTCAATCCGTTCGCCGCATTCGGCAGTAGTTTTCCTGCGTTTTATCCAACATATCTGTGTAGGGGTGAAACTAGTGTAAAAATTGTGGACCTCCACACGAAAGTTCGACTGCGTTCGGCTACATTGTTTCCCAGGGTGTGGCAGTTTGAGGAACACCCCAAGAACCACTATACATATATACATATATACAAATATACATATATACATATATACATATATACATATATACATATATACATATTTACATCTATACATCTATACATCTATACATCTATACATCTATACATAAATACATATATACATATATACATATATACATATATACATATATACAGAAATACATATATATACATATACATATATATATTATCATTGTTATATATATATATCCGTTCCTACATTGCATATTGCATTGCATGACAAGAATCGTGTTTGGCCGCTGTGTGCTTTGAATTTGACCACTGATTCAACGCTTGGAAGCCGTACTTAGGTTTGGTCAACTTCACTACGCCACCATCGAGTCTGTCTTGTTTCTGACCTCAAAAGATGGGATAGATCTGAGTTGGGCTCATCCATGGCCGCTTTTTAATCCGACGTTCAGGGGGTCAAAATCGATCAGCTTCAATGTCTTCCGACTTCTGAAGGCTCCATGTCTCATATTACTGTAAGTGGACTTCCAATTTCATTGACTGTGTAGTCATTGAAGTGAATCAAATGACCCACTGAATTCTTTAACATAGCATCATTTGTTCGCACTGTCTTGGGGGCCCGGTAATTTCCACTGTCATTGATAATGGGTGCCCTTGAGCACCAAGATACATACTCAAATGCAATGCATCAAGATACAATGTGGGTTATATGTATTATTATCAAGGTACTTTGATTTTTATTAGCTTCCTTGGATCATCACCTTACCATTTGGGTGGTTTGCAAAAATTCTCACCTACCCAGTTCCCCAGTTCGCATTGGTTGTACTGGACCTTCACGTCCATCACTCCGCGCATTCTTTCGGGTGAGGTTCCACCAGCCCGCAGCCAATGTGTTGCTTCTCAGTGACTTGGCAGCAGCTATGTCATGACTTGAGGTTGTACAAGTGTCACAGTTGGCTTGCAACAGTTTATGTTAAAATTCTATATAGCTGTGCACTGTAGAATGATAAATATGATATGATATGATATGATATGATATGATTTGATATGATATGATATGATATATATATATATATTTATATACACATTAATTATGGTTATTTATTTATGTATAGTGAAAATCACTTATTACATCGAATATTTAGACATTCCCTCAACATTTTTTTTCATATTTGACACATGGGTATGGATCAATACCTATTAATACCATTTTTAGGGGGATGAACATCCATAAATCCCAGCTATTTTGATGTGAACTACAGGGGGATAGGGTTTTGACCCATCCCCACATGCCAGGCTTTGATTTGCCGGAGCATCTCTTCGATGCATATCTTTCTGAAGGCCGACCTCGTGCTGGGGATTTATGATGCTGGGATGTTTTGGAACAAGCTTTTCCAGTTGGGGATACCATATGGAAAATGGTGGTTTTATGGGAAAATCATAGGAAAACCATAGGAAAACCATAGGAAAATGGTGGTTTTATGGGAAAATCATAGGAAAACCATCAGAAAATGGTGCTTTGACCCTCTCGCAAACATACGAAAAACGGATGGAAAATTCACCATTTGTATTGGATAACTCAACTATTTCTATGGCCATGTCAATAGCTTTGTTAGCGTACCAGAGGGTAGTTCATCCAAATTGACATGACACTTGGGTGTGTTTTCATATGGGGGTAAAACCCCGTTATTGGCTGAACAATTGCAACCATGAGAATGAGAGTTTGATGCTTTAGTGGTTTCCAGCTGGGTTTTGTTGATCAGGCTTTGCCCCTGAAGTGACTAACTGCATATCAGTTGTTTTGTTGGTTATATCTATATTCTCATGGGTCACATCCTTTCTTTGCCGGTGTATTCTCACTTATTGTTGACTAAATCAGATTGTTCTCTGATTTGTTCACCATGTTACTTGCATTGGTGCCTTTTTTCAGGTGAAATCCGATTTATTGGTTAACCTTCTGTGTACCTAGTGTTTTCCCCATTTGTTGGTTGCATTTTGTCTTACGTTACGATTTTTTAACGCTCAGCCACTGAAATTCCGCGGCTATGAATCAAAAGCGTGGTGCCCCGGTGAATATCAAAATCCATGGTTCGTCCGCAACATGGCGTGTGAGGTTTGAAGCATCCCCCAATGCATCCGAGCATTGGTTAGCCCTAAGTCCTCCGAGTGAAAGCGCGACTCACAAGCGATTTCTATGGGGTGATCATTCCATCAATGAGGTTACAACCTTGGAGTTTTCAGTTGTTTTCTTCCTCCAAGTCATTCATCCAGATAACCATCGTTGCGGGTATGGCTTGGAGGAAATATACCAACTATTGATATTCCCATTGATGGTTATTACCTTCTATGGGATATCAATATAAAACCACTGTGACCGAGCCCTGGAAGAATGGTAAAGGGAATCATCCCCAAATGACCTTATTGCAGGTTAGTGAAATATTATAGTTTATCCAGATGGGGTCAGAATCTTGCTGTACAATCCATGGTTGTAGGCTACTGCGTGACCACCTTGCTCATCAGCTCTGCCGTGAAAGAGCTGTCGTCGCTGTTGGGCGAGCCGTTGGCTACCACGTTTTTGGAGACTTGTGCCCAGCATAACGTGATGGAACAAGTGTTGAGACCAACTTATTGGTGCTAAATACGTAGGGAATGGATGGGTTGCTGTGGGTTGCTGGGATGATTATTCCATATTATTCCCTCATTCCCTAAGCACCAGTAAGCCAAGGGATTTGAAAAAACACATCGTGACTTTATTGATTTTAAGGACCAACATGGAGGGAAAATGGGGATTTAGTCCCCAAAAATGGGGGTTCAAGCCGGCACAATGTGGTGAGATTTTTGGTTTGTGAGCTTGTTGGGCTATGGTAGAGATGCGATGAGCTGTTTTATGGGTCTGCGGTCTATATGCTTGATGAGGGCAAACCCTTATCCAAGGTTCGATGGCTTTACAACAAAAGGACAGGAGGGGCCCAGTTTGTACCTTAAAACAGTCAAAGAAGAGGAAACATGACCCACGGGATTATGATTATTACAGTTATAGCCCGAAATACCAGTTAGAAGTACTTATAACCCCATTTATATAATGTATAATCCCATTGAAATAACCAGTAACTAATAAATGGCCATAAGTGTATATGTCTTTCAGAGGCAGATCGCCTTCGAGTTTATCGATGTATTTGCCGATGGTGACAGTGATGGTAAATGGCTTCCGGAAATAGCGGGACTTCCTGTTACCCCATGTGCATTGGTAAGTATCCTTCACTGGTTAGATAGCAATGGCGAATATTGCTTTGTGAGAACAGTCAGACGATCATGGTTGCTGGAAAACTATAAGATATTTCAAATTATCATTATTGCTATTATTATTATCATCATTATTATTATCATATATGTAAATACATATAATATCTGTGCATTTGTTCCAGTAAAACTGTCTGTTTCAACTGATCGCCCGCCCTTCTGCTTTCTGCTTGAGCCACGATTTCCCCATGAACCGTTCGAGAGATCGACCGTGAACCGAACATATTAAGCATTAGTTGTAAGTTATAGATAAACTTGGCGAAATAAAAAGTGAAACAGGATGTTTGATCAATCTCATTTGCTCCCATTATTATCCATTATCCATGGTTAAATCCCAATTGTCCGAACGATTTGGGGCACCACCAAGCGTTATTCGTTTGCCCGCCCAAACCGCCCAAAAAGGATCGTTTTGGCCAGCCTCAAACTGACAGCGACTTTGCCCGGTTGCTGAATGCCGTGGTGCTGTCTCAGCAGGTGCGATGCTGCCGAAGAGTTGGTTGTGTCATGTTGTGTGTAATTGGCCACATTTGGACAACCCCTTTTTATAGAGTTTCTGGGAGACAACGGGAGAATCATCTGGAAATGGTAGGTTTCACCATTTGTTCAGGCGGTTGTTCTACCAATAAGAGTTCGTGATGAACCACCAAACGTGGGAATTGCACGCCGAAATCTATGTGGCAAGAAACTCTTTTAGAAGTGGATTCGAAGTGGATGGGATGTATTGGGAGCTGTGTTGATGCCCCTGTTTTTTTTTGAGGGGGGACTGGAGTACATAAAATATAATGTTCCTTTAAATGATCTCCAATGGTCTACGTTACTGCAGCATTGGGATGCATTGGGATGCATTGGGATACATTGGGATGCATTGTGAGCATTACTGTCTGTAGGTGCCACCAATCAATACGGATATTATATACATATACACACAGCGGTCACAACATTCACTGCTGTTGGAAATATACACAATTTATTTTGTAGATGGATGGATGGATGGATAGATAGATAGATAGATAGCTAGATAGCTAGATAGCTAGATAGCTAGATAGATAGATAGCTAGATAGATAGATAGCTAGATAGATAGATAGATACATCGATAGATAGGTAGATAGATAGACAGATAGACAGATAGACCGCCGATAGACAGATAGACAGATAGACAGATAGACAGAGAGACAGAGAGACAGAGAGACAGAGAGACAGAGAGACAGAGAGACAGAGAAACAGAGAGACAGAGAGACAGAGAGACACAGAGACAGAGAGACAGAGAGACAGAGAGACAGAGAGAGAGAGAGACAGAGAGAGAGAGAGAGAGATAGATAGGTAGATAGGTAGGTAGATAGATAGATTAGGTAGATTAGATAGTTTAGATTGATTAGATAGACTAGGTAGACTAGGGAGATCTGGTAGATTAGGCACGTTAGGTAGATTAGGTAGGTTAGATAGATTCGATATATTTCAGATATAGATTAGATGTAGCTTGGATATGATTAGACATAGATTAGATATATATATATATTATATACAGATTAGATATAGATTAGGTAGATTAGGTAGATTATGGTAGACTAGACAGGTTAGATGGATTGGATTGATTAGGTAGATTAGATATGATTAGCTGGATGAGATGAGATGAAACTAGATTAGACCTTTTTTGATTAGAATAGATTTTAGATTAGATTAGATAGATAAATATCAGATAATGAGTCTTACACAGCTAGGGTTTTGCTATATCATGAAGGAAGCCACCGATGTACCAGGGACCTGAATCCATAGCCGCACTGACAGCTCAGAGGAACCACAGGCTAGCGGCCAGTCGTTGGCAAATTCCAACGTTGACAGCTGGGTTTGGACGTTGGCTCAGATCTATGACGATTGCGATAACTTGGAACTGGTAGGTACATACCAGTTCAACGTGTCAGTGATGCCGCAACTCATGCTCGAGGAAAGGATGTCCTGCTTTCCATCCTTTGGGCACGAGAAAACAATGTCGGCATTTTGGCAAATTTGCAGTCGTGACTTTGCCTGGAAAGCGTATTGCCCTTAAAACGAACAATGTCACCTCACATCCCCTTGGTGTCATCAAACATGTCTGGGACTGGGAAATTCCCTATGTTTTTTTTCTCCGGTGTTCATAGGAAATTCCAACTATCAATCCCAGATGCTCCATGTATGGAATATGTACCTACATTTACCCTAAAAATTGCTCAAATGTAGGTAAATATTCCAGCACCATGGAGCATCTGGGAATGGAGGATTTTCAATTGCTCGGTTTGTTTACCGGAGGGAATGGATAATAACCATCCTGTGCTTTGGTGGAGAACAACAGACATCTATATCTATATACGTTGAGGTCTGCCCCCGCCCACTAACAGTTCAAAACTGCCCCCCCTTCATAAACCACATACCAAAAAAGCACAATCATATTGGTGGTAACTCAGGCCATTTTAGGGGATCCTTAGGGTCTGCTTAGGAGAAGAAGTGATCTAGGTGGGCCGTACAAGTAACAGAGGGTGGAGTAGTGAATGCAACAACATCACTACCTTTGAGGTGGCATTGTTTGTGGTTAAACCATTTAAATCATTTTAACGAACATCCTTTTGTATTGCGCCATATTGTTGGAGCCATCAGGACATGTTTGCTGAACTTGTCATCAACTAGCCAAAAAATCAAAGTATCGATGTTGCTGTTGATATCCTTTGATGGTTGGAACGTTGGAATGGTTCTGGGAAGTCTGACAGCTGACATCATTTTGTTTATCTGAATATTTGTGTGTCAAATAGCAATGGCAATGATATGGTATGATGATGCAAGGTGTTGCATCGATATGATGATACGATATTATGACTCATGACATTCTTTACAATATTGAATGCAGCATACCTGAGATACCGAGATACTGCAATCAAACGGTCCAACCATTGTAAGTTATAAGTGAAAAGCGTTACAAAGGCGTGCCTCCAACAATAGTTGTTGAGGTTCTTAATAAACATCATATGATAATTACATTTTTTTCACATTCCCGCTCCTGGCATGGGCTCACTCTTGAGTTTTTTTTTTGGAAAGGAGGTTGGAAAAAAGGAAATGGTGTGAGACATTTGCCGGGCCGCTGGTCCGAAGGCTGTCGAGGCCAGGTGGCCTGAGATTCATTTTTTCCAAAGAAATTGTGCTTTTTTCGTGCTTTTTTCGTGCTTTTTTCGTGCTTTTTTTGTGCTTTTTTTTGTGCTTTTCCGGCGCTCCCGAGCACCAAAAAAAGCACAAAAAAAACACAATTCATACCACAAAAAAAGCACAAAAAAAAACGCAATTCATACCACAAAAAAAGCACAAAAAAAACTACAATTCATACCACAAAAAAGCACAAAAAAAACATAATTCATACCACAAAAAAAGCACAAGAAAAAAACACAATTCATACCACAAAAAGCACAAAAAAACCTACAATTCGTACCACAAAAAAAGCACAAAAAAAAAACACAATTCATACCACAAAAGAAAGCCCAAAAAAAAGCAAAAAAAACAATTCATACCACAAAAAAAAGCACAAAAAAAACCACAAATCATGCGCGTTTCCAGCCCGTTCGCATGTGAAATTGTGAAGGGAAACTATTATCTAATTTGTTTTCAATTGCCAGAAAGCACAAAAAAAAGCAAAAAAAAACACAATTCATACCACAAAAAAAAGCACAATTCATACCACAAAAAAAAGCACAAAAAAAAGCACAATTCATACCACAAAAAAAACAAAAAAAAAGCACAATTCATACCACAAAAAAAAGCACAAAAAAAAGCACAATTCATACCACAAAAAAAAGCACAAAAAAAAGCACAATTCATACCACAAAAAAAAGCACAAAAAAAAGCACAATTCATACCACAAAAAAAAGCACAAAAAAAAGCACAATTCATACCACAAAAAAAAGCACAAAAAAAAGCACAATTCATACCACCACAAAAAAAAGCACAAAAAAAAGCACAATTCATACCACAAAAAAAAGCACAAAAAAAAGCACAATTCATACCACAAAAAAAAGCACAAAAAAAACACAATTCATACCACAAAAAAAAGCACAAAAAAAAGCACAATTCATACCACAAAAAAAGCACAAAAAAAAGCACAATTCATACCACAAAAAAAAGCACAAAAAAAAGCACAATTCATACCACAAAAAAAACCACAAAAAAAAGCACAATTCATACCACACACAAAAAAAAGCACAATTCATACCACAAAAAAAAGCACAATTCATACCACAAAAAAAGCACAAAAAAAAGCACAATTCATACCACAAAAAAAAACACAAAAAAACAAAGTCATTTTCCTTTTTTTCCTGCGCCAGTTTTGCTTTTTTTTGTGCTTGTTTTGTGCTTTTTTTCTGTTTTTTTCTGCTTTTTTTCTGCTTTTGGAAAGTCGCTGCTTTTAAAGCATTTTCAATTGGCCAGCCCGGCCCAGCTCCAGCCCCCCCTCAGCCAGCCAGCCCGCCAGGCCTCTAGTCCCCCAGCATTGCTCCCAGGCTCAGCCCCCAACCCTTGCCCAGGGTCAGTCCAGCAGCCCCGGCCTTTATATGTATTGTACACACACATTCTATTGTTTTGCTATCGGCGCTGCGATGGGCAACATTCTAAACCCTAACAGAATTACTTTTCCATCGGCATTGTGGTGGGCAGCATCCTAAACCCTAACCAGTGTTGCTGTGCCATCAGCGCTGCAATGGGCAGCATCCGAAACCCTAAACAGTATTGCTTTGCCATCATCGCTGCAATGGGCAGCATCCAAAACCCTAAACAATATTGCTTTGCAATCAGCAGCATCACTACCCACAAGGTGCTGACAAGCTGGATGCATGAGGCATCCCATTGGAAATGCCAATGTCGAATTTTGACAGCAAGGACTTCTGGGCATGGCAAGAAAATATGCCGACCGTGGAGCCAACTTGCACGGAATATGCCTGGTCATCTAGCCTTAATAAGGGGAAATGAAAGTCATATTGGGGACTACAACCTGATTTTTTTTGTGTTTTTTTTTGTGGTATGAATTGTGGTCACTGTTAGTGTCACGAGGCAGAGCCCAATATATACGAACAATTGCCCAGGGGCCCAGCACGGTGCTTGTTTGAAGGTATAACGGTATCACCCCACCTACCTCAACGAATATACAACGAATTCCAATCAAGTTGCAGGTTGAATCCTGAAAGACATATTGTTTTGTTTATGGTGGTGTTGTGTTAGCAAAAACATTCTAATTATTATCAGGCATACAATGACATACTTGAAGTTCTGTGATGTTGCGTCATGTGTCTTTATTTGCTAGATGAGATTTCCTTGTCTTTTCACTACTGAAAATGTGACGCTCTGACATTAGGTGCTATATGGTGGCACGAGTCTGCCCATGGATGCTCGGAAATGCAGTAAGACCTGGGTTGTTTTGAGATATATACCAGTCCTGTTGAAAAGGGCATTCAAATTTATATGAGCCGAAACGCTTTGATGCTGAGCATGCTATTGCCATTGGATATATATATATATAATTATATATATATATATAATTATATATATATAGTGACATTGGGTTTGCATTCGCAATTTTCATGCGCAAATGTTCGCTCCAAATTGCCGCAAAGAGGTTGTTTCCACTGGTTCAATGTACCTACCTTTCGGCCTGGGAACGCGTGATTTGCCTTGAGGCATCACCTTCTGTTGATTTACATGTTCCTATTCCCAAGCACCAGATTCCCGATGATTCCAAATGATTCCAAATGAGTTGTGTGGGGTGGATTGCTTATAAGTTATGTAACCTTTCACCGCAGAACTTGTCCCAAACTCAGGAAGGTTTACTGCTGAATCCTTGGGATATGCCACTCCCATCCCAACTCCTTCTGCAAGACACCGGGGAAACTCGGATTTATTTGCAGCCTGGTTTGGGGGTTGGTCTAGGATGGTCTACGTGCGAGGCTAAACGTTGGTTTGTTGGCTTGTTGGGTACGGTATGATGGCCATAGTATGCTTGAGAATGGTGGTTAGTGGATATTCCAAAAAATAAACATGATCATCTGGGGAGGGATGCGAGGGTGCTCCACATGTTCTTTTAAAATCCATAAAACATAAAAGGTGGTGCCCCCCCCAGTTATAAATGGGTTATAATCCCATTAACTATAGATCACCTATAAACCATAGTTATTGGACTTATAAACCAACTTAGCTAACTATGGGGCACCACCCTGTAGCAGTATTGGATGTTTGACCACTAGAGAAATGCCACTAAGAGGGATCTCCGCTGAAACAAACTAGGGATCTTTGTTGGTGTGCCATGATCATTTCGCCGATTGAAATCTGAACTATACGCTGACTGACTTGTTCTTTGGGCGAACAAATGTGTATGTATATATATATAATATTATATGTATACATAATTTATATCAGTCCTGGAATGCATTTGCGGATTCCATGTCGAAAAGACCGCGGAAAAAAAAAACAAACACATACATGTATACACATTAAAAACAAACAACTACATATATACATATATATATATACTGATATACATACATATATATATATTATATATATATATATATTCACATAGATTTTTTATTTGTAATCATGTACAGATGCACATATCCCAAACATGACCCACATATGTGTATAATTTCATATGCAAAAACACTAAAGACAGAACCCTTCTGGAATCACCGTGAGGATGGGACGGTCCGGAGCCGAGGTCTTCGTTGAAAAGTTGGAAGGCGCGACCCTTCCCTGGGCCTTGAGCGCGGAGGACTTCGAGAAGTCCTGGCTGCCCAGGTGCGTCAGAAATCCCATGGGGGTTCCAGAAATGGGAGATCCCCAATAGCTGGATGGTTACCCTCTGGTAAACTAACATAGCTATTGAAAACGGCCATTGATAGTGGATTTACCCATAAAAAATTGTGATTTTCCATAGCTATGTTAAATTACCAGAGGGTAATGGAAAATCCCAATCAAAATGGCTGATGAAATGGGGTACCCCCATGGATTGGAAACCTCCATTTCTCGAAAAAATGAACCCATAGACATGTTTAGTTTCTGATGAAATATATCGAACTGATCTCACTGTATACGTATGTTGGTGTATAAACACTTTCAACTTATTGCGATAACTAACAAAGAAAGGTGTATATTGGGTATTACAACCAACTTGGCTAACGCTTTGGACACCACCTTATTTGCATATTCACGAGTTGGAGCTCTTATATTGTTCGAAATCGTTTGGTTCGTGAAACTCCTCCAAACCTGGCTTTGAAGCATGATTCCTACAGTATGAGCTGGGAATGGATGTGTCCAAACAACGAGGATACCTTCAAGTTTTGTTTTTTTCTTGAACAAAATGATGATAAATTCTCAAATGTTGGGTGATTCTCCCTTCAATTTTCAGGCAACCCCATCTATATGTTTTTGTTGTTTGACGGACGGGACGTCTTCAAATGGATAGCAAGACGATCCACCTTTTTTTCATGGCAATTCAATGGTGAAATTCATAAAATGCCTGGGATTTTCCATTGCCATGTTTGATTACTGGAGGGTAGTCTAGTCTTCCAATTTGGGGGCAGCGAATAGCTTATACACAATTACGTCATTCAATGTTGTTGGTGTTTTAACCTGTTTTAACGCAGCAATATTTCACCAGCGGTCACTTTCTACACTTGGGAGTTCTTCCTTCTTGACAATGATTTCAATATTTGCCAAAATGATTTTGTTGATTGGCATTCTGCCAGTGTTAAGCGTTGGGGTGCAAGACATGTCACAGTTTTTTTCCAGCTATGGGCACAATCCTCTTAATACTCAGTCAGTATTTGTTCTGTATCCCTAAGCATTCAACTGACTGGTGCGTTTTACGCAGGGAATTTTCGGGAATGATCCACTGGCTAACAATAATCCCATATAATCCCAGCAACCCCCAGCAACCCATCCATTCCCTACGTAAAACGCACCAGCAGATCATGGGAAAATGGTTTCAGGATTGGATGTGCACCCCGGTAAGCTGACATTAAGCTGACAATAACCATGATTGGTGTAACGAATTTATATATATATATATATATTGTATATAGAATATATAGAATTACGGGAAGTATCCCAAGTTTTGCATGTCAGTTTCGAAGTGGAACTGTTAAGAACCTTAGTTAAAAGTAAGTACCAACTGGACATTCCAAAAAATGCGAAATTCCAAGTCATTCAGAGTTATGGCCCGAAATACCAGTTATAAGTACAAACAAAACCCCATTTATAGAATGTAGAATCCCATAGAAATAACCAGGTCTAAGTTATAAAGCTATATAAATGACCATGACAGCTTGGATTTGGAAAATCGGATCCCCTCAATTCCTACGGATGATCATCGATCATCAGCCCAAAAAATGGCAACTTGGGGGGCAAACCCTTTTCTCTCTGTGCTGGTGAAATTTAGATATTTTCTGGTTCGTTAAACCCCCATAGTTGACAGGTTTGGTTTGGTAAATGTCGATTTAGTTGGTAAAATCGCCATTTGTTTCGTGGTGAAACCCTGACTTTTTGCGCTGGCCAAAAATACCCCAACTAATTGGCTTCTGAACCAGTTACGAACTGCGCCCCTCGCATCCAAGTACTTGCGGGATATTCCCACTTAGTGACTCGTGCTTTATCCTATATAGAAACGAGATAAACTATGGTTACGAACTATAGTTCCTAAGTCGGATACTCTATTTTTTCCAAAACCCGATTTTTATTTCGTAAACCCCAAAACCTTGTAATGTGGTTAAAACAATAATAAACCATCCCCCAATCATCACCATTTTTATAGGTGGTATAAACCATTCCCAGTCATGGGTGGTTTATGGCATTGTTTTAACCACATTAAAGAAAGCTAAACAAGTTACATCGGGCACCCGACCCAGCCAGGTCACACGTGGACCGTGCTGATGGCGCCACATCGCTGTGTTTGGAGGTGCTGTGCCCAAGGACCTTGCCACGAGGCAACCGGTGGGATGAAGGGAAGCGAAGGAGTCACTGGAAGTGTGCAATTGTTGGTTTGCAAACCCCATTAACTATGGTTAGAAGTTATATATTATATAATATATTAATATATAAGTTATTGATATAACAACTATAGTCCAATATCCCATAGTTCTTAGAACATGTTAGAAGTTCAGTATCATCAACTATAGTTTTGGGAGTTATGTGCACCATCTTAGCTATCTAGGGCCCACTTGGAATGAGCCACCAAGGATGATGTAAATCAAGTGGCTACAGCTTGCTGATGTTTGGTGCATCTTTGGCGTTCTAAGATTTATAAGTTATAACCAACAAGAATGGGGGTTTACATGACTTTTGCAAGCCAAAAAGATGAACTCGGCATTTTTATAAGCACCGAACATGGGGGATGTAACGTGTATACAAGTATTTGCCCAACCCCGGCCCGACGCCATGGCATCCATGGCTCTATCAACAGGCCAAGCAAGAAAAGGGAATCTCATGGGCAACAATGATTAAGGGTCCGTAGTATATGGAGGTTGGTGGGTACCCCATTTCATCATCCATTTTGATAGGGTTTTCCATTATAAACTATAATATAAACCATCCATCTTGGGGTACCACCATTTTAGGAAACCCTCATATGGTTGTTTGTTTCTGCTTTTCCAAATGTAATAAGAGCTCAATGCGAAGTCGACATGCTAAAGTTCATCATGTTTTACATGTTGTTTACCGGGGACAATGATGATTTGTTTACTTGGCCTACATGCCCTGATCGCATAGAAAGTCAAATGTTGCAAATTGTGTCGTTTCAGCGTGTGTGTGTGTGTATAATATACATACAAACATATACATATGTATACATAGTTATATGTAATTGGAATCACTTAATACCAGTCATGTGTATGTATATATATATATATCAGTTGTTTTCGTTTCCATCATATCAGCACTACATGAGGTTATTGTTGATCGTTTGCTGATCTTTCCCAAAGAATTCTCCTTGGGTGATGGGATACCCCGCCATGCGGCCAGGCAGTCGCTTTGGGCAAGAACTTCTGCTTCACACGTCGCTCGGTCGGGTGCTAGGGCTAGGGGAATTTCTGTGGGTGACATATACGTAGCACAGTCATGCGATGGTTGAATAGGAAACTGGTCGAATCGGAAGAAGAAAGGAAAGAAGCATAATTATAACAAAGCAGAAATAAGGCACGGGAATCTGCGATTTTGGCAGAAGATAGGAGGTAGCCAATCCGTGGGCTCGTGACAATTGCAATTGCCCATGCCCATACTGTATCTGGAGGCACAATGTGGGTTGATAAAGCTTGGATTGGATCTCTTCCTTCTGACACTACCGTTGCATTTCTGTTCATATTTATATATGTATATAGTATACACATGCATACATGCATACATGCATGCGTGGATACTTTCACCATATACATATGTTATATTTTGAAGGTTTACATTTATACATTATATATATATACATACTATATTTATATCAGTTATATATGCACACACACACATGTAGACGATCTCTGCGTACTATATATATATGTGCACGACGTGTACATGTAGATGTGGATATACCGGGCTATCCGTATAAACTAAAGTGAAATGAGTTCATATGATTTCATATGAGTTAAGACAGTCGGAGCTTTGCAAGGTTTTTTCCGATTTCATGGCGTCTTCCGGGCAGTTTAGTGTGGGTGTCCTATAGGTTAGTTCTCTTAAAGCTGATCATGGGACATGGATCATCCAAGCACTGCCACAATGGACCGAGGGCCAGCGATTTAAGTTCTGAAGACGACTTGAGCAACTTGTCAGTGTAGCAAACTTGGGTAGGGAGTGGACTGATGTCCACATTTGACTGTACGGTTATCAGATTATCAGATTGGATTATCAGATTATCATAGATTATCATAGATTATCATTGTTTAACACAGCCTGCAGAACAGTTTTCCCTATTTTTATGATGCAAAAAGGCCATCAAGACTCATCGACTTTGCTGTGTTGGGTTCCAGAAAGATCACATTGTGTGTTTTCTTCACAGTCAGTCGGGTGGTTGTGGCAGGTATAAGACTGATTGATAATCCATGGCTTTCTGGAAATGATCCACAGGTGGGTTGTCCATTTCTGTTAGTTCAGAGTATAGGAACTTATAGACACAGCAATGTACACGAGAGAGAAGAAAAGGATATTGAAGATGATTTCCCTCACTTGGACATTGGATATGGCAATTCCAGGTTGTATGCTATGATATGCTATGTAGAATCAGGTGATTAAGCAAAGTGTTGTGGGCCAATGTCCGTCTCTTTCAGAGGTTCAAAAAGCCAATAGAGAGAGAGAGAGAGGTATATATGTATACATATACAGTGCATGTCTACCCGTTTCCGTGAATCCCTATATCGCAGAACGTTGCACAAGAACGGAAGCCAGCATCAAACTCCAAAAGTTGACTATATTTCAGAGTGGAATAAAGCACATACAGTGTATATATAATATATATATATATATATATTTATCCATATATATATATATATATTCATTGAACGTTTCGTTATTTTTCAGGCGCTGCCACAATTTTCAGGTAAACCCTTATGTAGCTTCATTTTGCTTGGTTCAATGCCATTTTCGTTGGCTAAATCTTACAATTATAGTATATTATTTCTCCAGTTATCGCCGGTTGAGAAAACCTTGAATTGGTTTTATATATATATATATATATTCGTGAATATCCCTTTGTTAATGCAGAGTTTCAAACACCAAATCCCAATTCCTGTTTTTTTTTTTTCGGATGCTGCTGCTCCCGCCGGTTCCATGCTGAGGTCGCTATGGCACCACGCTCTACCGCGGCTACGTCCAGCAACGACCCAGACGGACACCATTCGAAGTGGACAAGGTTGGGGGGGTCAATGGTGGTTGGATGGAATAGTACAATGTGCCCCTCAAGTGCAAATTAGAGCAAAATGGCTTTAAACTTGTAAGCCCTATTAACATACAGGAACTATACGTCGATATATTCACCAATATCTACCAGAAAGCCTTATACTGATAGCAATTTGCTAAACCGACTTCGCTCATGCTAAAACTATGGGGCACCACCTCGCAGGGATAGAATGGGAAATAGTGTGGGATATGGGTTGTCCACTTTATGGGATATGATGGGGGATATAACCAGCAGTATGAGGGGTGATACTATGGATGCGGGAAAAACATGGAAAAACGACATAAGTATAGACAACAACATGAGTAACAACATACGTTACCAGTTTGAATAAATCTATGATATTCTACAATTCCCATCAAAGGAGTTGAATTAACCGCATGTACCCATGATTTCTGCTTTCAATTTCCGTTTGTCTCGTTCTTGTTTTCCCATTTTTGGTGCTTCAATCACCATGGGATTTGTTGTTGGGGCTCCATGTGAGGTGATGTTCAATCACGAAGTGGCCTCTTGTCGGGACTTGGTGTAGTTGGTGTGTGTGTTTTTTAATGGGTAAACTAACATAGCTATGGAAAACTAACAAGTACCAAAAAAAAATATGGGAAATATTAGCTATGTAGCTTGCCATGGCAATTAGCCTCTGGCAGCCTCTGGTAAACTAACAGTTGGCTATGGAAAATCACCATCTTTAATAGGTAAATCAACTATTTCTATGTGCCATTTTCAATAGCTATGTTAGTCATTACCACAGGGTACCCTGCGGGAATCAAACATGGAAATGGGAAATCCTGTATCAGTGAGGTTTTAATGGAGGATTTTCCAATGCCATGATTGATTACCAGAGGGTAAGCCCCTTCTGACTTGTGATATGACTGATACAAGGCCTAGAACTATGGTTATGTAGCGAACCATGAGTAGAGAATGATGATGGGTCCTGGAGGGCTGGGAGCTTTGGTGATGGCAACAGCACGATAGTCATAAGATTTGGTGATGGACAGTGATGGACAGTGATGGACTAGTACCTGCACGAGCGTTTTATATGTGTTCCACCCGTTGTGCGCAGTGTTCACCACAACTCGGTCATGTGTCCACACGTCCCAACTTCTTCGTTGTATCGATGAAACTGCATACGCAGGAATGAGGTTGCATCACAGTGAAGGGAACTGCTTGATCGTATAACAACCCTACCAAACTAACCCAGGCACAACCAGAAAAATGCAGTTCCGGCACTATGTAGCCATAATAAATACTGAAGACTTGCAAAGGGTGATGGTCACCCACGGTAGTTCCAAAGGTCAACTTGGTTGATCACTATCGTGTTCCCCCAAGAAATGCTGGTTCGATACCCAGAATGGCCAGAATGGCCAGCCAGTCTGTGGGTGATTTCCAGACTTCGACCCAGACCCAGTTTCAGGTAGATGCCAGAAACGCATTCTGTATCATATATAAGGCCTATATAAGGCCTAAATTTCAGGGAATATCCCCAGAACATATGGCCTGAAAAATGGTACTAACGTACCTCCATTTTAGGATCCTGGAATTCTCATTGCCAGCGACCTCTGAGGTTTTGCTGCCCTACTGGGTGCAGATGCAGCCCTACTTCTCGGATGGCTGGAAGGATGACATTTCAGCCTGGTTCAGAAACTGAGACGGCAATTTCAGTCCTTCACATACTGCCATACATAGAGTTAGCACATGTTTTTATTTGTTCATTCAGTTGTGAATGTCATCATCCCAGCTGACTTTCATATGTTTCAGAGGGGTGGTTCAACCACCAACCAGAAGTGGTTATTTAAAAAACAAAATGGGAAACCAAAGATCATGGGGTTTAACCAACAATGGGTTTTAAAGGTTTACTAACAAATGGTGATTGTACTCGTACCAAACAGTTCAAAGCGATCAGTTCGGGGTTGTTGGCTTCAGACCAGGGGATGAAAAGTTCACGATACTCGGCTGCGCATTTTACCCACACATGATGTAACATTATATCATTGTGGTTATTTTTTAAGGGTAATAATTATCACAATGCAAATGTCTATGTCTTTGTGTCACACTTACACAGTATAATCAGTATGTGCATATCACGGTATATGATGTAATACTCTATATATACACATGTACAGTACAGGGTGGTGCCCCATAGTTAGCTAAGTTGGTTTATAAGTCCAATAACTATGGTTTATACGTGATCTATCTATAGTTAATGGGATTATAACCCATTTATAACTGGGGGGGGGCACCACCTTGTACACATGTGTGCATAGTGTAAAAAATACATATACCCTCTGGTTATTTGACATAGCCATGGAAAATCCCGAATAAATGGAGGTGTTAATGGGAAAATCATCTATAAATGAGCCATTTTCCATGGCTATGTTAAATAACCAGATGGTACATCTATAGTAACCCAAGAAAAATGATGCAGGACTACGGCGGCGAGGATGGGATGCTGACGCGCGACACGGACCTCTACCAAGCCAGGCAGGGGAGGTGAGGGATGGTGGAAAATTCCCAAGGGTGGATGGAAGAAATCACATAGCTATTGAAAATGGTGGATAAATATATAAAATCTGGTTGGTGGTTTCAACCATGTTTTTTCCATAATATTTTTCAAGATGGTTAAAACCACCAACCAGAAATGGATGGAAACATAGGGAAGAACATTGTGTTTTAAAGAGGTTTTACCATCTCGTTATCTGACATAACTATGGAAAATCACCCATGTTTCTATGAACGACACATGTCCGTTGCTATTTTAAATTGCCAGAGAGTACTTCCAGTAAATCAGCATGGCATAGACCCTGAAAATTGCCAGAGAGTACTTCCAAACACCTATTTCGCAGGGTTTATGTCGGTTGGAGGGATGGTCATATATTTAAAGCAAATAAAATCACTAGAAGAACAATTCATTCAGTACATTTGGAACCAGAAATTGAGGGAAGTTGGAAAGAGATACCAAAAAAATGCATAGATATACACACTTACATTTCGTCTAAACATGTACATCCTACGATATAAATATAATGGTAGGAGAATGAAGAGGGAGAGACTAGCTTGGAAATACCGTCAATGGAGATTGGAACATGATCAGTTTTCATGTTCCAATTGACTCTTTTGGGCGTTCATGATTTTATGTGAAGTTTCTGCACATGATTTGCCTGATTTCTGTTTTGAGTGGATTACCCAAATTGACAACTTGACTTGTTGCTGGTGCCTAGAAGTTTTGTTTTGAAGGGCCAAGGAGACCCCAAATCGAACAATGGAAACATTTATTTATACCTTCTACCAGAAACTGTTTAAATCTCTTTACTGGGCCCTTGCATATGTTTTATTGATCTCTATTGACAGCAATTCAAGTTGCATTGGGAAATGAAGACCATGCTTTGTTTGACTTACCTTGCACATGACTAGAAATCACGTGGCTCGGGGTGAAGGTTCGACTTCGCCAAAATTTCCATAGCATCATTATCGGGGATTGGTGATAGCCCAGTGACTGTAATCACTGTATCGTGTGTTGGCCTGAAGTTTATGATGGCCCGGGACAAAAAGATCAACAATCAGCAACAATCTGTAATGGCTCTGGAGAAGTCTTATCATGTAATTTGTAAGGCAAAAAATGATCGCAGCTGCGAGAAAACTCTCCAAAAACCAGTTATCATAGTTATCATGGAGCTTGCGCAAGTGGAATGTCACCTATACAGATGATTTATGATGATTTTGTATATGTTCCAAAAATTGAAGTATCATTTAAATGGCAGTGTATAGCGATAGAAATTGTGTCTCAATCAATTTATGAAATAAACCATTATCACATATTATCACTATGATTCACCATTATGTTCATTTCACCACTATTACCCACTTCTAACATATTAAAGGGCTACGCCCTCTGCCGCCGACCCCTGGACACTGGAGGGTCATGCCTGCCTCTGTGTCGTAAGCATGAAATGAACCCTAAAGAAACCAGAAACTGACCTAAACAAACCATTTGTATGTGCGTTTGGCACTGTGCACATGCAAGCAGCATGGACCCCTGCAGGATGACACGCACAACTATGTGCTCTGACACTTTTTCATGGCTCAAGAAATAGGAGCTTTCGTCATTGGGCAGGTGTCTTGGGGACCTAAAGGGTTGCTCTAGCACTTAAGACCCATACCCGAAGCCCCCGTTCGTAACCGCAGTATGAAACTTTAAATGGCATCCTAAAGAGACCCGAGACGACACTGCACTGCCAACTGCCACCCTGCTCGTGTCCTCCTGGAGCCGGCTTTCGTTCTGCACAGCTTCGGTCCAAGCTGGAGTCCAAGGACCGTGTCGCAGGGCTAAAACACCATGGCAGTGAAGGACGGATTGGGCCCGCGGCCCGTATCCTAGACTGCCAAACGTCACTTTCTGAACCGACTAGAAACTAGCTCCAAACCTTGACTTTTCCTGCGTTTCTGCACTGCCAACTGCCACCCTGCTCGTGTCCTCCTGGAGCCGGCTTTCGTTCTGCGGCTCCAAACCTTGACTTTACCTGCGTTTCTGCACTGCCAACTGCCACCCTGCTCGTGTCCTCCTGGAGCCGGCTTTCGTTCTGCACCGCTTCGGTCTAAGCTGGAGTCCAAGGACCGTGTCGCAGGGCTAAAACACCATGGCAGTGAAGGACGGATTAGGCCCGCGGCCCGTATCCCAGACTGCCAAACGTCACTTTCTGAACCGACTAGAAACTAGCTCCAAACCTTGACTTTTCCTGCGTTTCTGCACTGCCAACTGCCACCCTGCTCGTGTCCTCCTGGAGCCGGCTTTCGTTCTGCACCGCTTCGGTCCAAGCTGGAGTCCAAGGACCGTGTCGCAGGGCTAAAACACCATGGCAGTGAAGGACCCCAGACTGCCAAACGTAATTTTCTGAACCGACTAGAAACTAGCTCCAAACCTTGACTTTTCCTGCGTTTCTGCACTGCCAACTGCCACCCTGCTCGTGTCCTCCTGGAGCCGGCTTTCGTTCTGCACCGCTTCGGTCCAAGCTGGAGTCCAAGGACCGTGTCGCAGGGCTAAAACACCATGGCAGTGAAGGACGGATTGGGCCCGCGGCCCGTATCCCAGACTGCCAAACGTCACTTTCTGAACCGACTAGAAACTAGCTCCAAACCTTGACTTTTCCTGCGTTTCTGCATTGCCAACTGCCACCCTGCTCGTGTCCTCCTGGAGCCGGCTTTCGTTCTGCGGCCCGTAGCCCAGAGTGCCAAACGTTACTTTCTGAACCGACTAGAAACTAGCTCCAAACCTTGACTTTACCTGCGTTTCTGCACTGCCAACTGCCACCCTGCTCGTGTCCTCCTGGCGCCGGCTTTCGTTCTGCACCGCTTTGGTCCAAGCTGGAGTCCAAGGACCGTGTCGCAGGGCTAAAACACCATGGCAGTGAAGGACGGATTGGGCCCGCGGCCCGTATCCCAGACTGCCAAACGTCACTTTCTGAACCGACTAGAAACTAGCTCCAAACCTTGACTTTTCCTGCGTTTCTGCACTGCCAACTGCCACCCTGCTCGTGTCCTCCTGGAGCCGGCCTTCGTTCTGCACCGCTTCGTCCAAGCTGGAGTCCAAGGACCGTGTCGCAGGGCTAAAACACCATGGCAGAGAAGCACGGATTGGGCCCGCGGCCCGTATCCCAGACTGCCAAACGTCACTTTCTGAACCGACTAGAAACTAGCTCCAAACCTTGACTTTTCCTGCGTTTCTGCACTGCCAACTGCCACCCTGCTCGTGTCCTCCTGGAGCCGGCCTTCGTTCTGCACCGCTTCGTCCAAGCTGGAGTCCAAGGACCGTGTCGCAGGGCTAAAACACCATGGCAGTGAAGGACGGATTGGGCCCGCGGCCCGTAGCCCAGACTGCCAAACGTTACTTTCTGAACCGACTAGAAACTAGCTCCAAACCTTGACTTTACCTGCGTTTCTGCACTGCCAACTGCCACCCTGCTCGTGTCCTCCTGGAGCCGGCTTTCGTTCTGCACAGCTTCGGTCCAAGCTGGAGTCCAAGGACCGTGTCGCAGGGCTAAAACACCATGGCAGTGAAGGACGGATCGGGCCCGCGGCCCGTATCCTAGACTGCCAAACGTCACTTTCTGAACCGACTAGAAACTAGCTCCAAACCATTCCAAACCTTGACTTTTCCTGCGTTTCTGCGCTGCCAACTGCCACCCTGCTCGTGTCCTCCTGGAGCCGGCTTTCGTTCTGCGGCTCCAAACCTTGACTTTACCTGCGTTTCTGCACTGCCAACTGCCACCCTGCTCGTGTCCTCCTGGCGCCGGCTTTCGTTCTGCACCGCTTCGGTCTAAGCTGGAGTCCAAGGACCGTGTCGCAGGGCTAAAAAACACCATGGCAGTGAAGGACGGATTGTGGTCGGCGGCCCGTATCCCAGACTGCCAAACGTCACTTTCTAACCACAGAAACTAGCGCAAACCTTGACTTTACCTGCATTTCTGCACTGCCAACTGCCACCCTGCTCGTGTCCTCCTGGAGCCGGCTTTCGTTCTGCACCGCTTCGGTCCAAGCTGGAGTCCAAGGACCGTGTCGCAGGGCTAAAACACCATGGCAGTGAAGGACGGATTGGGCCCGCGGCCCGTATCCCAGACTGCAAAACGTCACTTTCTGAACCGACTAGAAACTAGCTCCAAACCTTGACTTTACCTGCGTTTCTGCACTGCCAACTGCCACCCTGCTCGTGTCCTCCTAGCGCCGGCTTTCGTTCTGCACCGCTTCGGTCCAAGCTGGAGTCCAAGGACCGTGTCGCAGGGCTAAAACACCATGGCAGTGAAGGACGGATTGGGCCCGCGGCCCGTATCCCAGACTGCCAAACGTCACTTTCTGAACCGACTAGAAACTAGCTCCAAACCTTGACTTTTCCTGCGTTTCTGCACTGCCAACTGCCACCCTGCTCGTGTCCTCCTGGAGCTGGCCTTCGTTCTGCACCGCTTCGGTCCAAGCTGGAGTCCAAGGACCGTGTCGCAGGGCTAAAACACCATGGCAGTGAAGGACGGATTGGGCCCGCGGCCCGTATCCTAGACTGCCAAACGTCACTTTCCGAACCGACTAGAAACTAGCTCCAAACCTTGACTTTTCCTGCGTTTCTGCACTGCCAACTGCCACCCTGCTCGTGTCCTCCTGGAGCCGGCTTTCATTCTGCGGCTCCAAACCTTGACTTTACCTGCGTTTCTGCACTGCCAACTGCCACCCTGCTCGTGTCGTCCTGGAGCCGGCTTTCGTTCTGCACCGCTTCGGTCTAAGCTGGAGTCCAAGGACCGTGTCGCAGGGCTAAAACACCATGGCAGTGAAGGACGGATTGGGCCTGCGGCCCGTATCCCAGACTGCCAAACGTCACTTTCTGAACCAACTAGAAATAAGCTCTAAACCTTGACTTTTCCTGCGTTTCTGCACTGCCAACTGCCACCCTGCTCGTATCCTCCTGGAGCCGGCTTTCGTTCTGCACCGCTTCGGTCCAAGCTGGAGTCCAAGGACCGTGTCGCAGGGCTAAAACACCACGGCAGTGAAGGACGGATTGGGCCCGCGGCTCGTATCCCAGACTGCCAAACGTCACTTTCTGAACCGACTAGAAACCAGCTCCAAACCTTGACTTTTCCTGCGTTTCTGCGCTGCCAACTGCCACCCTGCTCGTGTCCTCCTGGAGCCGGCTTTCGTTCTGCGGCCCGTAGCCCAGAGTGCCAAACGTTACTTTCTGAACCGATTAGAAACTAGCTCCAAACCTTGACTTTGCCTGCATTTCTGCACTGCCAACTGCCACCCTGCTCGTGTCCTCCTGGCGCCGGCTTTCGTTCTGCACCGCTTCGGTCCAAGCTGGAGTCCAAGGACCGTGTCGCAGGGCTAAAACACCATGGCAGTGAAGGACGGATTGGGCCCGCGGCCCGTATCCAGACTGCCAAACGTCACTTTCTGAACCGACTAGAAACTAGCTCCAAACCTTGACTTTTCCTGCGTTTCTGCACTGCCAACTGCCACCCTGCTCGTGTCCTCCTGGAGCCGGCTTTCGTTCTGTACCGTTTCGACTCAAGCTGGAGTCCAAGGACCGTGTCGCAGGGCTAAACACCATGGCAGTGAAGGACGGATTGGGCCCGCGGCCCGTATCCCAGACTGCCAAACGTCACTTTCTGAACCGACTAGAAACTAGCTCCAAACCTTGACTTTTCCTGCGTTTCTGCACTGCCAACTGCCACCCTGCTCGTGTCCTCCTGGAGCCGGCTTTCGTTCTGCACCGCTTCGGTCCAAGCTGGAGTCCAAGGACCGTGTCGCAGGGCTAAAACACCATGGCAGTGAAGGACGGATTGGGCCCGCGGCCCGTATCCCACACTGCCAAACGTCACTTTCTGAACCGACTAGAAACTAGCTCCAAACCTTGACTTTTCCTGCGTTTCTGCACTGCCAACTGCCACCCTGCTCGTGTCCTCCTGGAGCCGGCTTTCGTTCTGCACCGCTTCGGTCCAAGCTGGAGTCCAAGGAACGTGTCGCAGGGCTAAAACACCATGGCAGTGAAGGACGGATTGGGCCCGCGGCCCGTATCCCAGACTGCCAAACGTCACTTTCTGAACCGACTAGAAACCAGCTCCAAACCTTGACTTTTCCTGCGTTTCTACACTGCCAACTGCCACCCTGCTCGTGTCCTCCTGGAGCCGGCTTTCGTTCTGCGCAAACTCTTCGCCCCTTCTGGCATCTTGTTGCTAGTAAGGCCTCCTCTGACGCGCTCCCCCTGCTGACGGCAGGGGTCGGCGGATTTTAGCCACCATTATCAGCCAGTATGATGATTTCACCACGATGATTCACTTTTATCATTTTTTCAACCACCATTATCAACCACTGTTCACCCAGATGAGCAGTGTTCAAAACCCTGGTTGGTTGATGATTAGTTCGAGGATTATACTACCCAATATCTTGGGGATTATAATAATCCAAGAACAGGGAATCCTTATAAACCAACCATCATTTTAATGATCATAAACCAATAAATCCTTATAATCCAAGAACAGGGAATCCTTATAAACCAACCAGTACCCTCTGGAGATTTAACGTAGCTATTGAAAATGGCAATTTATAGTTGATTTTACCATTAAAAATTGTCCATAGTTATGTTAGTTTACCAGAGGGTATATGATTTTGGTGTTCAGCCTCCTTCAATTCCAATGTTTTTCGCTGCCATCGCTGCAGGCACATGCGCGCCTTGTCCGATTGGTCCTTCGTGTCTACAGCCAGGCAGGGGGTCCATAGCCTTCCCCACGCTGGGAGGTCAAGGTGAGAAATAGACAAACAATGGGAGCTTAACCAACAATCATGGGATATATCAGGGTTATTATATAAGGGATGTATTATCAACATTTATCAACCACTATTCTCCCATTATTCACCACGATTAATGACACTAACCACGATATAAGGGATCATTACGATGAATTATTGATGTTACCCAGGTGTCATCAGCTCCATGGCGGTGGAAATCCCCGAAGTAAAAAGAGGTTTTAGATGGTTTTTGTAGGTTTTAATGGGACAATCAACGAATAAAATCTGGGATTTCCTGTGCCATGTTTGACTACTCACATGGATATGATGAGAATATGAATATACAGCATATATCATTATATTTAATATATATATATATTATATTATATATATAATATAATATATTTTTTTGAATAACAATTATAACGATAATACGATGCGGTGCGGTGTCCACCTATTTGTTGCATTTGTAGTTGTAGTTGTTGTAGTTGTAGTTGTTGTTGTAGTAGTAGTTGTAGTAGTTGTTGTCGTTTTTTGTTTTTTGGTTTAACCCCATTAGCACTACTAGAAATATCTGGCATTCATTTTTTAATTGTAAACCAACTTAGCAAACAAACTGGGGAACCACCTTGTAGTGGTCGCTGGAGATGTATGGTGATACAGCGTCAAAACTAGGGGAATGTGCCAAAATCTTGGGATTGAAACCAGAAACGATGGTAACAAATGGGGATCTCTTACCCCGTTTCGGCGTCAAGCCGCATATCTAAACCAACGGGCTCAATGTGGCAGTCATGGAGTTATAACCAATCAGGTTAAGCTGCAAGAGGGTCGGTTTTTGCAATGTTGGTGCACCATTGATAATCGACATGTCATTGATGTTATGATACCCATACTGTAGCCAATGTTCCTTGTTACATGATGCGTTTGTGTGTGTAATTGGGAGAATTGCGAACATATCTCAAATTCCTCAAACATATCGCTCACTTTCTTCAATATGACCGGTGAAGCTGTGTCAAATGTTTTTTTCCTTTGATTTTTGCCTACAAGGTCGTGCCCCATACTTGGCAAAGTTGGTTTGCAGCTATAGGTTAATTGTGGCTTATGGTAGATAGATATATCTATAGTTGATGAAGTTCAAACATAACTGGGTGTTCACCGCCTTGTACTATCATTATAATTCATGTTCTCGCTGCATCTACATTATATCGACATGAAATGATGGGTGTCATATTCATATCCATTGAGATACCCATCAACTCATCATTTTCCCAATTCACAAATTACTTTACCCCATTTATCTTCCAGTAGTCAAACATGGCACAGGAAATCCCAGATTTTATTCGTTGATTGTCCCATTAAAACCTACAAAAACCATCTAAGACCTCTTTTTACTTCGGGGATTTCCACCGCCATGGAGCTGATGACACCTGAGGGTAACATCAAAAACCAAATGAACTTGAAAAAATATTGTGAAACCAAATGTCTGGTTACCTGGTTGGTGGTTTCAAACATGTTTTCTTTTCCATTTCATATATGGGATGTCATCCTTCCCATTGATTAATGTTTTTTCGGAGGGGTTGAAAGCACCAAGCAAATTGTGGAGCCTTGGGCGTCCAGGCTTTGGCTGCCCCTGAACTTTGGCACCGCAGCATCGCGGCAAGCGATGCCGATGAGCGTGGTGGATTTGGTTCGGCTCCAAGGGCGACAAGGGGTGGTTCATGTCGGGTTTATCGTGGTTAATGTCCATTAATAGTGGTGAATAATGGGAGAATAGTGGTTGATAATACATTAACAATGGTTGATGCAACCATGAGTGCTTGATATCCATGTTAATATCCATTCATAACAGTTAATATCTACACATTAACAGCCATGATGGTTACCCTGAGGCAAACTAACATAGATGTGGAAAATCACAATTTGATAATTCGCCCGTAACTGGGTAATTTTCATTAATTTTCCACATCTATCTTAGTTTACCCTAGGGTAGTATCCATTGATTGATACCAGTTGATATCCATCAAGTGTGATGAATAACTTGGATTAACATAGCTTATTCTCGGTAGGGGAACCATCGAACTAAATGGGCCCTTGTCCATAACTATGTAGAAAAATACCAGAGGAGATGATGATGCAACAGGGGGTCACAGGTGGCTGGACCCAGCCTGGACCCAGCTGGACCCAGCGCTCATCGCCTGCATCGCCTGCATCGCTTGAGGCTTTGCGCTACTTCACCCTGGATTTGGCACCTCGTTGGGGACTCAGCGGAGTCTACAGTCTACAGTGCATAATCTGTATAGATGTGTATAGTTTCTATTGGTAGATAGATTAAATTATACATATCTATACATCTACAATATATACATAATTGTATAGATATATTATGTATACAGTTCATATTTATATGCATATTTCATAGTTGATATGTACATTGGCAATGATACCAGTACCAGTCGCCAAAAAAACAAAGGAAAAGAACACAAATCTGAGTGCAGTACCGGCAATGTGGTGCCCAGTTGCAAGTCCTAACCCTACCCTACTTGTAAGTGGGGTCATAACATATCATATCCTTCTAACTGGTGTTTAATACTAGAGGGATGGGATTAGTCGTTGTTAACCACTGTTTTTCCATGAATATGAACCATCATGAATGGATATTAGCAACTATGAGTTTGTGAAATATTGCCATGATTCAGGAATCTGTTTGGGATTTTTTTACCCATGGCTATTATGGATATCAATGGAACCAATAACCAGCTATAAAACCAACTACCCTCTGGTAAACTAACATAACTATGGAAAATCACCATTTTTAATGGGAAAACTCACTATAAATGGCCATCTTCAAATAGCTATTTTGACATTACCAGAGGGTAAGCAAACTATAAAACTATATCACCAGCCTATATCCCATATAATATGTCCAGCCAACCGTTGCGTTCTTTGCTTTGTCGCGTGGCGCGGGCGGGCGTCCATAACCAAGATCCTTTTCGGAAGAAAGGCTTCAAGAACGGCAGGACTTGGCCTGGGATGTCATGTGGTAAACCCAATAGATCGATCCCAATACCATAAACATATAATCCATCCCCTTAAAATCACCATTCAAATGGGTTGGATTGATAAAAAAAACCCTATGTAATTTATGTCATTTGGTTTCCCAGATGAATATGTTGATCTGTTTTCATATGGTTCAATATGGTTGAATTAATTATGGCTTAATTCAGGGCTTAAGATTCAGAATAACTGGCTGAATGACTGGCATGGTTCCATCCGGCCTACCCTCCTAATATTGATTCGCGCCCCAAATAAGGAATCCGAAAACCGATCCAGCAGAACACAAGGGTTTTAGGGGTGCATGGGAAAGGGTTTACTTCATAAAAGCATTTTGTTGCAAGAGATTGGCCGTATTGTGGGAGGTGTACAACTGTTGCCAATGGTTGTTGTTTGATGCTAGAGTCTATGTCATTGCACTCATGCTTGCATGATGTGAACTTGACAAACACTTGATTCCAGCACAAAACAATCCGACCAGTATCCCAATCCAAAGTGGTCAAATAATGTAACTGATTAGCCCACTTGAATGCATTTGATACCTAAGATAGATATTATATGATATACAATGTTGCTAATGCGCGCAATTCACCATTCACCATTTTTGTCGCTAGTCTGAAAACACATACAATAATTGTATCTACATGTATATACATATATGTTTAAACACTCATGTTTCATAGTTTGCAATTCTTTCCTGAAAATGATTTATGGCAACATATTGCAAGATATATGAATACCTTTGCCAACATATGAAGATTGTTTCTAATTAAACGTTGGTGTATTGGTTTACTTTATATAAACGTTTAAAAAAACGCATGGTACAGCATTTCCCGGATTTCGTGTGAATCTTGTTCTCGTTGGTTTTTAGGAAACCAATAGGTTTTCATGTATCGTGAAACCAATCTGCAGGAAAGGTTACAGTATCAAGTTAGAAATCTGGAAAGCCTAGGGCTCTCCAAGCGTTTCGTACGAGTGGTACATTGTTTTTTTGGTCGGTGGTTTGGAACATGAATTTTATTTTTCCATATATTGGGAATAACAAGGCCAACTGACGAACGCATATTTTTCAGAGGGGTGGTTCAACCACCAACCAGTGGAGCTTTCGATGTTCGTTGAAACCTTTTGATTTTCTTAGTCCTTTGGCTGCGAACTTTGTGCAGCACCACACCTTTGGAAATTGATGACGCGCGAGAGCTCGCCAGAAGGAGGTTTCGATGTTTGTTGAAGCCTTTTGATCATGAAAGACGCCAGGCATTCTCGGCACTTTTTTCAATGCCCTTCGCGAAGAACGCAAATGCCGACTGGAGCTTGAAATGTCTCAGAGCTGGGGACGGCTGGGGACGGCGGCGCAGAGACACTCTCCGTCAACCCTAAATTTCTCGTTCACACTCTCCGTCTTTAAAATGTTCTTTTTCATATCCCATAGGATCCATGGTGCTGCTATATATATATATATATTATGGTGTGCCATGGATCCCATCAATATATTTATGTTAGCATATATACCAGCATCATGGATCCGTCATGGGTATAGCACAGCAGCCACAGCATCCCACAGCCTGAGAATCTCCGAACTTGATGGAGGGCCACGTTGGTTCAACTCCTGCCATACTGCCATACTTTTAACCAACAGGAACCCATAATTCAGCATCAATCAGCCATAAATTCTTATAATGAATCATAAATCAGCCATCAACTCATATATATATATATATATATATATCATAAGTCAGTCCAAAAATATTATGATTAATCATCAATCAGTCAAGAATTCCTATAATTCATCATATATCAACCATAAGTGGCTTATGTTTCAAAGGTCAAATCTTTCATGGTATGGAGCCATCGTGGAGCCATCGTTTTGGGACCTTTTTTTGGCAGGACGAAGCGCAAGCCGCGCCCGAAGCGTCTCCGTTCGCCCGGCGACTTCACCGCAGAGAACACGGCCTTCATCGATGAGGCAACGCATGGATTTGATCACCAAGAACATAGGAAAATGGTGGCTTTATGGGAAAGTCATAGGAAAATCATAGGAAAACTATGGGAAAATGGTGGTTTTAGCTTCTGGTAAACTAATATGGCCAATATGGCTTTGGAAAATCACAATTTTTAATAGGTAAATCAACTATAATGACCATTTTCAATAGCTATGTTTGTTTACCAGAGGGTAATTAATGGATTAATAATTAGTTTTGATCCAAACATGATCAATGATAATGATAATATTTAAAATATAATTAATGGATTAACTGATTAACAATTAATGTTGATCCAAACATGATTAATGAATGATAATCCATAATCACAATTAGAATTAATGGATTGATATAATTTTGATTCTGTGTAATTAATTGTAATTATAATCAATTATTATATCATAATTGGATTACTGTTGTTGATCACCAATAATGATTTTGTGTAATTAATTGTTATAAGTTATATGGAATGGATTGGAATCATCATGTCATCGTATATTTACTGTAATTAATTGGTATACAGTGTATCATATATATAATAATGTAATATATGTTTATGCATACTCATATATTTATATATTCTGATCCAAAATCTACTGTGAAGAATCGTGTTTTTACCATCAAACAGAAGGGGTCCATTACATCACGATAAAACTGTGTGGATTTAAGTGGTAATCATTGGGTCCGTGCTCTTTTGACCTATATGGTTGGGAAGTACACCAGTGGAAATGTCCTGGCCGGGTTGATTTGTTTTGTCATTTCATCTGGAACATGTACAGCATCTGAGTAATTTATATTTATACCAATCTCACAATCGTTCCAAGAATCTGTCTTTCCAGTTTTGCAAGTATTGTAGTTTGGCTAGATATATTGGTTTGTCCGAAAAAGTTGTACTTGTACCCCGAAGTCACCGAAGTCCAATGAACTATCAATGTGTTTTCCCATGTTTTGCTGATCCAATCTCAATCTCAAGCTTTGCTGGTCAAGTCCCATTATTTGTTGATTAAATTTCATATAGGTCCAATTAAATTCATATAGATCCCATATAAATCCCATATAAATGCCATATAAATGCCATACAAATCCCATATAAATCCCATATGTCTGTTGGAGAGTGTCCAATCATGGCCGCATTGGCACATGGCACAGGTGCATGCGCAGAAGGGGCAACAGGGCCTTCGACGCTTGGACATCGTTGGTCTCAGGGGCTCAGTAAGGGCGGGGTCTGGCCGTGAAACTCAATGTGCCATAGGAATTTACATGGAGTTAATGGGATTTGTTCTGGATTTATGGTTTTATAAGAGTTTAAACAGGTTTTATCACCAATATTAGGGGGTAGAGGCTCGCCCAACCCATGCAAAGACCTCCCATGGACGGCCACTTGGGGCCTTTCCCCGTTAAGGGGACACTGACGGCCGCGCAACGCAATGAAATAAAGGAGAAGACTGGGTGCAGCCCAGCCATCCGTGAAAGAGGTCAATGGGGTCAGAGGATGTTGACAGTGACCGGACCCTGTGACAAACTCCAGGAAGCACACGGCCTCGCCCTACGGGCGGTAGAAGAAAATGGAGATACTGGCGGGCGTGCTCCGGAGAGTCAGGCCCAGCCCCAACGCAAAGCGCCTGCACCACTCCGCTCCCATGCCTGGAACCCAAATAAGTCATGGTGGGCGGCCTCTGGCGAGTGGCATGATCACCACGACCGCCAGGACTGGCCAACGCGGGCTGAGGTTGATTGGTTTTGTCCACATCGCAATAACTATTAATCAACCACCATGTGTTCATACAATGGGGCGATAATCTGGGTATTTTTCGTGGCTCAAATGATGGAATGTGCGTGGGGATTTTGCTTGAGGCATTTTTATTATCAGGGTTTTGTTCGATTGGTATTCCTGATTTTACGGCAATTTTGATGAACAAAATGATGATAAGCATTGACAAAGTAAAGTATTGGATTTTAGGTATCAATGAACCTAAATTTTGGTGAAGCAGTTTCGTTTGACTGGATCAGTTGCGCGATGACGCCGCGAAATCGGAACTAAAGATGTAAATGAACAGCAGTTCCCTGTGCCCAGGGGTGCCGAAGGCCAGGCATGCGAGCATATCACCAATCGTTCAGCAGGCGATCACGCCAGTTGCCAGGTAGTATTGTTTGGTAAACCATAGAAAAAGCTATTGAAACTGGCCATAGAAATAGTGGATTTGCCCATTGAAAATGGTGATTTTCCATAGTTTTTTGTATGTTTACCAGAGGGTAGTATTGCTTGGAAGGCTTTTTTTCTCCAACAGGGATAATCATCCACTTCGCTGTTTTGATTTGGCTGCTTTTACAATATCTGGAGATTACTCATGATCATGGGGAATTTAACCAACCGTTATAGGATGATAATGGGATAGATTTCATGGGATTTTTGTATGCAACCAACGTAATCTGGATGAAATTGATCATGACCTCAGGGAATTAGATTCAAGGAATCCTCCAGAAATGGCTTTGTCTCAGGGCTTGGCCGGCGAAGATTCAGCCAGCTTGAAGCAATGACAGGGAGATGGGCTAGACGGCTAGACTCTAGACTCGCTAGACTGAATCCCTGGAAGATGTGGATTTTCTTGCCATGGCCCATGGTATCCCATGTTCCCTCCGGAGGGATATGGCACCATGTATTCAACTATAAAAGCTGTCAATTTCTACATGCCCCAAATAGGTACCGCCAAGAACACATATATTAAATATAATATGTATTTAATATAATATATATATATATATGAAATATAGTATAATATATATATATATATGTGTGTATTACCATATGTACATAGCATATCCAACAAATTATACCATTGGTTGAATAGATACACACCATTTATTTACCATATATTTAACATTATAAAGCATCACCACCCCAAGTCCCCGGCACCCCGTTGCGGCGCATCGGTCTTAAGGCGAAGGCGGTCTGCCCGGCGTCGGCGGCGGCTTCCGCAGCTTCAAAGAGTTGCGCTTGGTGGGTTTCGAAGAGCAGGTCTGGGGGTGCCAGAGGCTATAAAATGGGTATAATTAGAATTAGATATTAAAATATCATTGGGATATTAGGATATATGGATATTATATCATGGATATAACATGGGTCTATGGATTTGTTTTGATAATTATTGGGTACGGTATAACGTGATAATTAGGATATGATATCATGCATACATGTGTATATATATATATATTAGAATCATAATGGATAAATAATGTATATAGAGGCTATAAATGGGTTTACTCAATAGAATCATTAGGTAAATACAACCATATTGAAATATCATTGACTACCTAATAACCATTGTATAATGACATTTTGACGGATCATTAGAATCATGGACAAGTGCATATATAATGGATATTTTTTATTAGGTATGAAACCTAAGGAAAAAACATGGATGATTATATAATGAATGATCGGAATGTCATGGGATATCATGGGATTGAAAAAAAACAAAAACATTACTTGGGGGCTCAGGCCAGAGATTACTTCTATGGGTAAACCATGGTTTGTTTAAGCCCTGTGCGCTGGGATAGGCCCTATAAGTATGGTGAAATATATCCACTTAGTTCACTTGGTTCACTGCACTTCTAAGTAGGTTGACTCGGGTTGAAAATTATGAAGGAGGTGTATCATAATTGTTTCTAGTTATTACTAGGAATTATTGGATATTTGTGAGACTTAATGATGTTTAATGTGTGGTTTGTAAACCAACAAGCATAGCTGACCTGCAGCACCTTGTTGGACACATCGCAGAGTTTCGCCACAACATTCGAGACGAGATGCCCAGGCGTAGCTGCAGCAAAAAGTCTTGTGAAAAGGGGTTGCTTACAGCCCCTGGCCATTCTCTATTCGGTATCTACTGGTGCAATTTGGATTTGGAGCGCGAGGCGGAGTGAATTATCCCATTGATATGTTGGCGAAGTGACTCCCACTACTCCCACTACTGTACTAACCACTTACTAAGTGGGATAATCCTCCAAGTAGGAACTATTCAAAGCTGATTGTAAGATTGCAATTTGGGGTTTCAAACTCCAAGTGAGTGGTAGGGACCCATTGCTGTTGCTTGTAACTTTCAGACAGGATGACAGGGTTCCAAAATCGTTCCATCTACGTATTGACTGGTACACGAACCAGGAGTTGGATCATTTTTGGCAAGTCAAATGCGTGGCTTTGTTTACGGGCCCGAGTTCTTCGATTTCTTGAAGGTGACTTCCAATGCTCCACTTGAGTAATTCACCAGGAATGGGGAATCTGGAGTAGTTCTGACTTTTGTTAAGCCATCTTTCCTGATGATTTCAGTCCATGTTTTGGATGTTCCAGCCTAGGAATCCTGGGATAATGATGATCCCCAATGACGAGCATGTTTTTCAAATGGAGGTTTCCGTTTTGTCATGGGGGTACCCCATTTCATCTATTTTTCCATGGGATTTTCCCCATAACTGAAACCAAATGGATTGAAACCACCAGTCATCTTCCCTTGAGGGCCAACACTGGCGTGTGACAGTCGAGACTCCGCTGCGGCTCTTTTGTCGGCCAGAGCACCGGGCACGTGGGGCTGGCTCAGACGGGTCAGGGCTTGTTCGGTAGAACATTGACATCGAAAGCCTTGGGAAAAGATGGGAAAATGATGGTTCCAAACGTGCTTATGAATGCTTATGACATTTTATAAACCAATTTTTGGCGGGGTCTGTTTTTTGGATGTTAGGTTCAATGCTATGCTGTTAGGGAACGGACAATTAACCTTTTCATGTGATCACATGTGACCATAAAGAGTCAGTGCATCCCAGAAGTGGCAGTTTTTTGCATGAGACCATCCAAATTCGTGGTCGACCCATACACATTTTCCCTTGGTCAGTTCGGCACTTTTCAAGAATTGATTTCTAACATATCCAGTCTTGGCCTTGTTGAGCAGGGCGACCTTCTAGGGGTCCCTGTTTGCGACACACCCATGCGTTTCATGATATTGAATTAGAAACACAAGCTTGGTTCTCCAAATATCTCCAAATCTGATATGGGTTTGCGTAAGAATACCCCCAAAAAGCCTCATGGTTCACCATAGTTTGCCTCATCAAGATTTGGGCTATGCTGCCCGCCATGCTTGATCTACATAATATGCTTTGACGAAGTTTTTGCTGCAGCGTCAAAATATCAATGTCGTAGAATCCCAATTTTTGACACTTTTACGCGACTTGTATTTTTTCAGTTTCCACTGCAATCAGAGGCCAGATATTTCATGTTTCCAAAGTATTTGTGCACGTCACAACTTGTGTCATGTGTTTCTCTGGTGCGACATTTTGGGTTACCCTCTGGTAAACTAACATAACTATGGCAAATCACCATTTTAATAGGTAAATCCACTATAAATGGCCATTTTCAATAGCTATGTTAGTTTACCAGAGGGTACAAAAATAGCCTCCTTGAAGCTGTTCATAATCAGCGGTGATCTCCACAATGCTAGATCCTCAGTCCACCCCGTCCACCCCAGCCCCGAAAAACCAATGGTTTTAGCCTCCCCAAGACCGCTGGATGATCTCATGTTCACAATGTTAATCAATATTTGATTTGGCTGCTTTTACAATATCCGGGGATTACTAATGATCATGAATGATCATGTGGAATTTCACCAACCGTTATAGGATGATATAGGATGTACTGCAATTGGAGTATAATGGGATAGATATATACATACATTGTCTGGTTGGTGGTTTGGAAGATGAATGGATTATTGTTCCATATTGGCAATTTCATAATCCCAACTGACTAATATTTTTCAGAGGGGTGGCTCAACCACCAACCAGTTTGGATATATCATCGCTTCATAAGTCAGTCACACTCAAAAACAGAACTATGAACTATGTTGATGAGCCACACATGGATTTGTCCAAGAAAATAATAGCCTTAAAATCCACTTGCTTACACTGATGGGAATCCCACTGTTTCCATGTTTATGGATACTATTATAGACTATGGGTAGTCAAGAGTCAAGAGTCGAGACTGGCACTGAATGGCTAAAGTGGTTGGTTAAACCATGTTATTCAAAAATGTTGTTTGCGTCATTTATACCTACGTTGTGAGGTCCGCTTAATATTTCTGTTATTACTATTGATTATTAGCAAATCTCCAATATGTTTATATATTGTTAGTAGTTCCTATTATTAAATTAGTGGTTAAATTATCAAATCAAACATTCTCGTGTCATATCCCCTTAATTTTTGATTGTGCATATCCCCATTAAACTTAGAAACTATCAAATAATACATCGTATGTTTATATTTCATTGAGATAGTTAAACCTAAGAATCCAATTATTTCTCTCTGTTATAATGTCCCACTATTAATCCTAATATCCAGTATTTCTCCTAATATCCTATTATTGTTATTGGACAGATTGAAATTAGTCTATTGAGTTATTCAAACCCTATTAGCAAACTATTAGTCCCATCGATAGTCCCAATCTATTCTAGTCAGTTATTATTAATTATATAATCGTTGGTTGTTAATATTATCAGTAGCTACTACTGATTATCATGACCGATTATCATGACCGATTCTCATGACCGATTATCATGACCGATTATCATGATCATACTAAGTTGTTGGGTAACTATAGTCAATTACTATCAGCTAAGATAAAATAAGATAAATACTTAAATACTACGTCAAATTATTATCAATTATATGGTACATATCCTGTAAGGATATGTCTTTGTTGTAATATTCAAGAGTGAAGATGTTTCACGTCAACTCACAACACAAGATGCATCACATGTTACTTGTTTGATTGACCGATTTAGTGTTCAGGTTCCGGTGCCCGAGTTCAATCAAACAACAAAAACCCTCCACCCACTGCCTGTTTCATGTCTTTTCATGTTTTGTTCTTGCATGGTTTCCAGTGGCAACCCTGATTTCATCTAATTTCTACTGACCATGGCACTGGTCCCTGTGGAACATATTTTGTTGGAGCAGCTCCTTTTCCCAGTCCGTTGCGCTGATCGACAGCTCAGCGACTTGCACCTATGTTTGGACCACTTGATTGACATGGAAGACCATCTTGAAGATTTTGGTGCTCATGCGGTTGTTCATCAGCTCCAATTGACGGTGCAACACCTACGCACCACAATCCTCTATGTCAAGCTTTGCAAGCTGCAGCACTTGGTGCGCTTCCAACGTGCGCTTCACATCCAATGGACGCACCACCAGTTAGTTCCACCAATTGAGTTTGACCTTGACTAAGTACAGGTGCTCCCATTTTTATTCAGCCTTATCAGCTCCACTGAAATTTTGGACAGCTCAATTTTGTGGACGAGCCTACCCTGCCGTCCGAAGCCTGTGTGGCGAAATCCCCTCAAAGCCATTAGTATGTCATTATTAGTCATTATCATATTAAGTTAAATGTGGAAAGTCTTAGCTTTACCTGCTATGGATTTCTCTTCCCAGGTGGCCCCAGCGCGGGCGCCGCGAGTTCTGGCGCGAGTTCTCGCGCGTTGCAACGCTGCGAGGTGCAGCTGGGGGTTCCCCCAAATCATCCATGCGTTTTTTGGATGTTCCACTGTAATCCACTGTAAACTGTGAACAATCCATTTTGAGGTAGCCTCATTTCAGGAAACCCTCACTGTAGTTGGTTCCCATTCTGTATTGGTTATACAACACTTAAATATCTTCGCCCCAACCCGGACGTTGCTCCACACTTACATCATGATCATCACGATCATCACGATCATCATGATCATCATCATCATCATTCTTAAATGGGGATTTAATCAACTGGTGAGGGGTCAAAAGCGTAGCAACCGATGGTCCCCTAAGTGATAGCTGGTATGGCTGGTATGGCAGTCATGTGGGAATGTCATAGGCTTTGACCTATCCTTCCATGCCGAAAAGATGGAAATGGACTGCTAAAGTGTTGTGCCAAAAAAGGACACCATTAGAAAATGACTAAAACTTTAAACCGCAAGGAGAAAATTTGGAAGTATGAACCCTCAAACCTCAAAACTCAAGAATTTTGACGAACCATCAAAAACAATGGGGGTATGGGGTACGAAGCTTCAAAATTCAAGCTTTTGTTTAATGAGAATCACGCCTTGATAAGGGGGGTTTCATGGGAACATAAAACTCCAAGGTATTTGAAACTAGGCCAATAGGCTTTAAACATCTTTTAAACAATATACCCTAATCATATATATATACATATATATATATATGTACATATATATATAATCTTACAAAGCACATACATATGTCAATCGATAAATAAATAAATTAATTAATAGAACGCTATCCCAGCCATCAGGCAGCCCTTGCAGGCCGGTTTTTGCGAGCAGGGTAGGGCGACGATTTCGGTGGCCAATGTGCATTTGTTGGGTTTTGGGGACAAGAACAAGTCTTATGAAAACATGGAAAAATATGGATTTACCCTAATAAACGTGAGAATTTGTCCAGGACAAATGTGGATTTGGTGAATTTACTTCAGGGTAAAGCAACCACAGATGTGGAGTTTACCCACCATGAATGTAGATCATTCGAATCGAAAACCGTTGGTTTCACCAACAGGCGGGGGTTGCTGCAAGTTAAACACCAAGAAATTCTGGCATACTCCAAAAATCTGGGTAAATTATAACGACCTCACTACGACCTCACTGGAAATCATGGTTTTTATAGGGAAATCATCCCCAAATGGCCTTAATTCAGGTTAGTGAATTATTATAATTTGCCCAGAATGATGGTTGATGCTTTTAAAAATGAACTGGTACCAACTGGTGCAGGTGGAATTTTCAATAGCAGGGATGGGCATCAGCATGCCAGAAGTTTTGAATGGTTTTCTCGAAGGCTTTGGGCGAGGATGAGCGACCTGGAGACACCAAAAATCAATGGCAGAGGTCAGCGTGGTGACATCCCCAAAATTGTTTCTGGATGGAGAAGTATATATTTACAGTTCCGGTTCCCCATGTTTATTTGTTCATATCCCCATCATACCCTGAGGACACCATGAGTTGAAACCGCATGGAACCGCATGGAACCACAAAACGCGAAGGAGTGGATTATGCTGCCTCAAATCTTCTAAACTTTAGTGACTATATAGTCATTGATTTCCCAAGATATACATATGATTACATATGTATCTGTATATGATAAATAAATAAATTAATCAATAAATAATATATCCCATAGGATCCATGTATGCTATATCTGGTAACATTTACCATCAATATACCCCCAATGTTAGTATATATACCATACATGGATCCTATGGGTATATATATATTATATTATCTCCCATGATTATTGGTGAAATCCAGGCCCCATGGCTTTCCAGTCCCAGTGCCTCTCCGTGGCGGATGCCAATGCGGTGCGGAACCCCTATTGGGCGAGGGATGCCGGGGCGAGAAGCAAGGGATTTCAGCATCGAAGATGAGGATTTCACCTCGAAAAACATGGGGAAACCTGCAAGAGTTGTGAGTTTCGCCAGATTTTTTTCTGACTTAACCTGACAAAATCGGGATGATTTATGTAACCAACATATCCAAATTCACAAATACCTGGAGTTAGCTAACGCATCAATGTGGATTTGACCAGCAAAAAGAGAGATTTAAGCACAATAAAAGATAAAGAACTGGGATTCACCCAACAACAGATGAATGTTTGGACCATCTAAGGATAAAACATGAAGTAAAAGGACAAAAGACAATCCCGCTTGTACCTTGTCGCCCTGGTGCGTCTACTCTTCAAGGATGGTGGCTAATTGTCATCGTCCATTCTGCTGGAAGGAAGCCTCACATTGTCGTTATCTGCCTGTACCAAGCAATCCAGGGCTTGCCCCATGGATGTACAGTAACAAAGAACAAATTCGATAGAAGCAGGTATAACTGATATAACCGATAGAACACATATTTACCATCCGGTTATTTAACAAAGCCATGGAAAACCCCCATTTTATAGCTAGGTAAACCATCTATTTTTATGGGCCATCTATACCATGGCTACGTAACAGTCATAACCAGAGGGTATATCCATATTAATCCCATTATAAAATATTATAAACCACTATTCACCCAATATCAGCCACTATTAATGGAAACTAACTACTATTTACTCTAACCAATTTTGATGGCCATAACTGTAGAAATATCGATTTCCCATAGATTTCCCATAGGTTTCCTATAGGTTTCTTCTGCTTTCCCATAGAAATAAACCAACCTGCGTACCATACGTTTTTCGGACGCCGAATCTCCAGGAATCCTTAAGCCAACAATCAATCCGGTCGTAGGTTCCATCGCAGTTTAAAACGGCTGAAAGATTGGTGAAAACCAATAGAATATATCTATAATATATATATAATATAGCTATATATATATAATATACAGTAGCAACCAATTTCACTGGCCACGTTTGCCATAAACCATTCCATGTAGCCTAGGTAGCCGAACGGTAGTTGGGTACTTTGATAAAACATCGCCTTGAACAATGCCCAAAAAACACATATCTCCAAGACCGGGCCTGGCCTCCACTTTGGCATATGGATTTGTCTGATTCATATCATCTGTCTCCCTAGTGATTTCTCTAGGTGGCCCATAGTGGCCCTAAGGTTATTCACCCCGTTTTCAGACAGACCTAAATCTCATACTATTGGCTAGAACATTTCCATTTTCTCCCTATTGTATCCCAATTATATCTCCATTGCATCTCCACCATAGTTCGGGTTATCCCTCCTTTTACCGCCCAAAAATCGCGTTCCATTACTGCCCATGATATTCCCATTAGCTTCCCATTCTTGACATCTGGTTGGTGGTGACTGGAACATGAATGGATTATTTTTCCCATCATATTGGGAATGTCATCATCCCAACTGACGAACTAACTCCATCATTTTTCAGAGGAGTGGCTAAAAAACCACCAACCAGCGATTATTGGTATCATAACTCATAACCACTATTATTATATAATCCCATTATTGATGATTACCCCATTATTTAGTATGATCCCATTATAATCCCATTACTATTGGTATATAATCCCATTATAATCCCATTATTGATGATTATCCCATTATAATCCAATCATTGGTTAAAACCACCAACCAGATTATTACTAACCATCATTAACCATATAATAACCATACATTAACCATATAATAACCATACATTAACCATATAATAACCATCATTATCCCATTATAACCACCAACCAGACATGATTTTCCAGCACCTGAGCCATTGCTGCGAGGTTCTCAGCCTTTTGGCCTACCACCCTGAGCCAATGCTGGACTCGCCTCCTGCGTTCGTGTCGCAACAGGCGCCCAGGGCCGGCAAGGGCCGGCAGGTGGGCAGGTGGGCAGGTGGGTGGCATCAACTAACCATAGGGGCATACAGTGGAAGCCAATATCCAACCTCTGTTGGGGATGGTGTATGATTTTTTGGGGTTTAATGGACTGGTAAATGATAGCCACTGTTAAAGGGGAAAACATGTTTTTTTGTTACCTCTTGTTCTACCTTTTTAGGCCCTTGTATCTTGACATGTTTTCTATCTGGCGTGTTGGGAGCAACCCTGCCATCGGGAGATCCAAACAAAAGGAAATACCAGCAACAAGAAGTGTCTGGGGGCTTCAACTATTGTTTTCAGTTGATGTTCATCCCTTAGACTGGCAGCCACAACAAAAATCAGAATTCACCCAGAGAAATTTTGTTTTGGATGGCAGGATGTGGAGGTTTCCTAAAATGGGATTACCTCCCCAAATTATCCAAATTATATAGTAATTTTTCGTATCGAAACCCATGGTTTTGGGGATCCACCATTTTAGGACACCCTGATGCGCGAATGATTCTTGTTCGGTAATCACTCCTCCCATTGAGCTCTGGGGTTTGCCTGTTTACTTTCTGCAAGCTCAAGGAGATTTGGAACGCTGGGGAACAAAAGCCACACAACCAAGTGGTCATTTTATAGCATAAGACTTTGAAGATATGGAGGTTTCCTAAAATGGTGGTACCCCCAAATCATCTATGTTTAAACCATCCAGCCATTGGGTACCCTCCATGTTCAGGAAAGATAGGAAAGCACCATATGAGCGTTTCAATGGTGTAAACTCCGCCAGGAAAGCAGAGATTTTCGACACTCTGAGGAGGAACTGAAGGCCGGCAGCGGGAAAAGTGGTGTGCCGCCCCAGTTATAAGTTGGTTTATAAACCATAGTAAGTATATAGATATTACCATAAACCATAGTTATTACCATAAACCATAGTTATTGGAGTTATAAACCAACTTAGCTAACTATGGGGCACCACCTCGAATGGCTAAAAGTGGTTTGCAATCATTAGAATCTGAATACCATCTTGTAATTTAACGTAGGGAACTGGCAAATCATCATGTTGAATATAGGTAAATAATCATAATCCATCTATAAATGGACATTTTTTTCCATAGCTATGTTAAACATTGCGGGGTAACCTGTATAATACCACGTGGATATAATGGTATATCCAGCTTCAATAGTGACCTTTTGCAAGCGGCCATCAATGCCAGTGACATGCTTCCACTGCCATGTATAATTCTGGGTGATTTCAATGGGGACCCTTTTAGTTGGAACTCAGGTAAGCCTCTTAAACAGCAGGGGTTTTGGGACCTCCGTGCTCTCCATAGGCAATTATATAACCTGGACATGATGCCAACATGCAGAGGGGTAACCACTCCAGACAACGCCCTGTTTTCTCCCATGGCGGCCAGCTGGGTCACTAGTATACAGGTACTTACAGACGAACACTTTGACTGCCATAAGGTGGTTGTCTTCGACTTGCAGATCCATGCTGATGATGCGTATGTCCAGACATACCGAATGCCTGAAACGTTTATCAAACTGCCTATGCATGAAGCTGATCTCCATGCTGCCTTCACCAAGATCACAGAACAGCAAGGTACACCCACTGACCTTGCCACTTGGGGCAAAAATGTAGAAAAAGCTGTTGACTTGGCATATCGTACGTTTCAAGTTAAGGATAAAGGTTGTGCATGGAATGTAACACAAGGTATCCCTAAAAAATTCCGTGGCCGATGTCAACCATCCCAACTTGTTTGTCATCCAATTAAGTCACATTTCAAAATGGGGAGACCAGGAGATTACCAACCACCTTTGGAAATTCATACCTACAGCACCCAAGCCAAGGTAAAACAAATCCGTAGGATTCAGTCCCTGTTGTTTCTCCTGCGGAAAAGTGAATGGGAAGAACCACAATATACCCAAGCCTGGGGACTATGGCATGCCATATTGAGATCAAAATCCTTTGGGGGGAGTTTCACACGATGGGCCCAGCAAATCCCAGAAATTGGCCCGTTGCCAGTGAACCTGCCGAACCCAGCCCTCCTTGATATAATACTCCAATTGGCTAAACATGAAACTAACCAGTGCTTGTGGCAAGACAGACAGACATGGAAAGCAAAAATGGAGTACCGACGCAGATTGGATTTCAAGTGCCAGGGCAATGCCCGTGCCTTCTCCCGGATCAGAGACATGACGCAACCGGGAGTTTTCGAGATCCAACACCAAGTGCAAGACACAGCAATCACAGTGCCACAAGAAGATGGCACCCTTCTTGCATATTGCCATCAGGCTATGAAATACCAGTATGAGGCCCTCATCCGAATCCATGACACCACAGCCACATTGATTGCCAAAGATGAACATATCATTACCTTGCGCACCCATGGTGAATTGCCTGCCATGGATCAGTATGAAATTTCGCAGTCTAATGTTATTAACCATCCAATGTCAATCATGAATAACCTGCAGCAACAATGGGACCAATACTGGAATTTAGAACCCGAACGACTTAATCCACCACCAGGATTCCAGCAGATGCTTAACCAAATTCCTGAACTCCTGCGAGAGGGCTTGGACTTCTCAGAGCCACAAGAGTGGTACCAAGCGGTCAAATCCTTGAAATCAAAAAGTGCTAGGGGTATTGATGCAATCAGCGCAGATGAACTCGAGATGCTCCCACAGTTGGCAATTGACCAATTACGAGACATTCTGCTGCAACTACCTGAGTTTCCCCCTTGGTTAATGATTGCAAAAACTACCCCGGTCCCTAAGGTGGAACACCCCACCATCGAGGAGTTTCGACCAATTACTGTCCTAGCCCAATGCTACAGGTTGTGGAGTAAAGTAGTCACCCGGGTTATCCTCCGAAAACTTGGTACCCTAATGCCCAAAGAAGTAACGGGATTCCTTCCGGGGAGGGGGCCAGCCGATGCTTCCTATTGCCAACAGTTTTTACTCGAAGGGGCGCATGCCACCAACACTTGTCAATCCGGTTTTGCACTTGACCTAAAAAGGTGTTTTAACACCATTGGAAGAAAAGGTGCCGCCCAAATTATGAAAGTAGTTGGCATACCCCCATCCATAATCCTTGTTTGGCAAAAATCCCTTGATAACCTCACTAGGACTTGGAGTGTTCAAGGATTGGCATCATCCCCTTGCCCAACTAATAATGGCTTGCCAGAGGGTGACCCCATGAGCGTCACTGCCATGCTTGCCATTGCCTATGCTTGGACCAATCATGTCAAACAGAACACACACCATCTCATGCCAGCAGCCTTCGCCGACAATTGGGGATGGAACACAACAGACCCAACCGAACATGAGCCTGCCCTGCAGGCCACCAAACAGATGGCAGAATTTCTCAATATGATCGTGGATTGGAAAAAATCCTGGCTTTGGAGTACCCATAAACAGCATTTGCCCATGTTAAAAAGGGCAGTCCAAAAAGCAGCCCCACATGAACATGTTCCCGAAATGATGGGAGCTATGGACCTTGGCGCCCACCTGACCTACAGGGGTAATATGCGTTTGGGTAAGCTTAAAGATAGACTCCAGAAAGCTAAGATCCGTCTCCAAAGACTCGAAAATCTCAATGAACCACTTGAATCAAAAACCAGACTGATCACTGCGGCCATTTACCCAGTGGCCATGTATGGAATGGAACTCGTGCCACTTGGAACTCAACACATGGATACCCTGCGTACGGCTGTAGTAGCTGCCATGCTAGGACACAGCATCAGTAGGAATTCGGCAATTGCATTGCATTGCACTCCGAACATCCAAGATCCACAAGTCATTCTAATGCAAAGGGTTCTCATGTCAGCCAGACGGTTTTTGTTTCGAGCATCGGCAGCCGAAAAAGAGAGATTTTTCCAGCTGGTAGCCAAACATACGGGTAATCCCCAAGATTGCAAGGGCCCAGCCGGAGTCCTGAAGTACCACTTGTGTAAATTTGGGTGGCAGATGAGCGCACAGGGCATATTGATGGTAAATGCTTTTGTTCAATTTCCCTTTTTGAACATTGGACAGAGTACACTGTTGCGTTTATGTCAAATGCAATGGCAGGAGCAAATCATGTGTCACACAGACCGTAGGGCACTCAAAGGATTGCCACCTATCTGCCGCCTCTCCACTATACAAGTTTTGCGTAAATTTTCACAGCAGCATCAGGTCAAACTGTTGAATGAAATCGCAGGTGCATTTCAGACACGGGCCCAGCAGGCAGCATGGGATGACCAAGTCAACGCAAAGTGCCCACACTGCGGAGCCATTGACACAAGAGAACATAGGGCTCTTTACTGCACAGCAGTGCAGGACCTGCGCCTTTCATATCCTGAAACTTTTACATGGATTGAAGAATCAGGATCTGCCATGGGTGAAATGCCGGTAGTATATGGTCATGAGCACCAAGAATGCCTAATGACAGTGCAATGGTACCATGTAGAGCCTGAGATTGATCACGATCTCCACCAACACATCCAGATGTTGGACCAAAGGGGGCACCCGGTCACCTTTTATACAGATGGATCATGCTTTCACCCTGACCTTCCTGAATATAGGTATGCAGCTTTTGCGGTGGTGCTGGACTGTGCGATGTCAGATGATAGTAGAGCACTACAGGCATTGAACTACCAGCAACATAACATAATGCCACCAAGCCTTAAGACCTTGACAGTTGGAAGACTTCCAGGAATTCAAGATATCCATCGGGCTGAACTTTATGCGATAGTTGTCATTGTTGAAAGGTTTTGCAATACAATTATTTACACAGATTCAGCCACAACTCTTAGCCTCCTGCAGCAAGTGGCCTCAGCGACTGACAGTGCAGAATTCGCTATGGCACCACACTTTGATTTGCTTGTGAGACTCTGGACATCATGGCACCTTGGACATCGTGTTTTTCATAAAATCAAGGCACACGCTGAACATGAGCATGGAATTTCGCACCTGCAATTATATCGACACTTAGGTAACAAGCTTGCCAATGATAGTGCAATTGATGCATGTGCAAATCTTTTCCCTGGCGTTGTCGCCACATTAGAAGAGGCTTGCATGAACCAGAAAGAGCAGCAGAAGCATCTGACCAATTTGTTTAGCTTCCACTTGGAGGCACAAAAGCGTATGGCAATTTTGCAACAAGAGGCAACGAAGGAAGAGGCACTTGCCCCCCTGAATGTTGACCGATGGGAGGCCATGAAACAATATGACATCTCAGATCCTTGGATACCACCTGCCATCCAACTAAATTGGACTAGGCACACTGCCTGGGGTAACCACATCAGCCGTCTCATGCTTGCGTGGATGCTGCAGTTTTGATGGCCCAAACATGAAACTGATGAGGAGATTGCTGCGGTGGGAATCTCTTGGTATGAGCTGGTTTTATCCTTTATGAAATTTTCTGGAATGTTCTTTCCCTTGCGACGAATCGACAGCAAGGGCCGAGAGATCCTTATACCTTTCAAAAACAGACAAGAAGTGGATGCCTACAACTGCAAATTCTCTGAGTTCGCCAACACTTTTGCGATCTACTATTTGCAATTCACTGGACTGTTATCTGTGGCCATATGGCCCAACTTTGATCGAAAACTGGTTAAATCAGTGTTTGTTCAGGGTGCACAGATTTTTACCAGTGGTTTCAGCCATCGCCCAGCCTTTCCACATCAAGCTTGGGTTTATACCACTTTGAAACCTTTTTTGAAAGCGAATACAGGAACTGCCTTCACAGCCTTACCTGAGGTTGACTGGCAGATGACTGCGCAGGACTATAAAACTTTGCAGACAGACCCACAAGGCGATTGGAAAAGTCGAAGCATGGCCGCCAGGCGGCAGATGAAGGCAATGAGGAAATGGCGTGAACAGCCAATGGAAAGAATTCACTTTGGATCCAATTAAACTTGAGAAGAAAGCGGAAATACCTGGCCAAGACGGCGGGGTTAAGGGGCAGTCTCACACGTCGGGCTGCAACCTTCTGATGCGAGCAAAAGGGTAAATTATAACGAGCTCACTGCGAGCTCACTGGAAATCATAGTTAGTAAGGGGAATCATCCCCAAATGGCCTTAATTCAGGTTAGTGAATTATTATAATTTGCCCAGATATATTTGGATATTCATTGGGGTAAACCATCTGGCTAAAACCGCCACCTACTATTGGAGATGCACCCCCAATGGTGGCTGAACGCTGTTGACCCCTGATCCTGTTGGTTGATGACTGTAGTGGCTTCTACTACTACCCTTTATACATATATATATATATATATATATATGGATATATACGTGTATACATATATATATATGTATATATATATATACATATATATATATATATATATATACATATACATATATACATATATACATATATACATATATATATATATACATATAAAAAGCTGAAAATATCTAAGGGATTATCATAATCCATGAGTTGGGAATCCCGTTCCTAACCAACCCTTGTATCATGGAATGACGGGCCGCGGGTAACACTGCTGAAATTGAGGATTCAACCAACGTATTTGAGCAACAGGAACCAGGCCTTAAACTCTGAAATGTACCGGTTGAAGGCAAATGCTTGGGTCAATGGATTGGTGTAAGGGAAAATTTACAGGAAAACACCATATTTAATGGGGAAAACCATGGTTTCCTGTAGATTTTCCCTTAAACCAATGCATTGATTGGGGGTGCAGTGGGGATTATGAAAGGGGTATGACTGCTGTAGGAATAATCTCCATAAGTTGGGATATCATGAATAACCCACGTAGTGGCCCTGCAGCCCCAAGTGGTATAGTGTCTCCAGCATGAACAATAAAGCCCCCAGCGATGCGCTGGTTATAAAAGGAACGTCCTTTTTGGGGTAGTTCCAAACGTGTGTTGCGATCTGTTGGGGCGCAGCCAGTTGTGGCCAGTTGTGTTTTGTGCCCATCGTGTGGCCAGCAGGGGCCGTTTTTTCACCTCTTGAGTTGATAATAAAATGTGTCTTGTCACTCTTCCGCGCTGGGATTCTCCAAACACGCTGGTCAGGTCATGTACGATTTCGTCTGAATTGACTTACCAGTTGGATGTCCACTTGAAACTGGGTTTCCTAGTGATTCTATACCTGCTGGGTCGCTTAGTGGTTGGAAATATTTGTTATTTTCATGTGGCTTCCTTAATTAAACCAGCTGAGCTTGGCCAAAACATCCGGCCATCACAAGGGATTCCTATTCACAGCTTTCCGTGTGGAAAAACTGCGGATCTTCGACTTCGACAAGAGAAGGAGATGCAGCGCACGAACATGGTGTCCGCAAAGCGCGCTGCGGACCTTTCGACAGAGCTTTTGGCTTTACGGGGAGGAGGTGGATCAGCCAGAAGCAGAGTCTTGCCTTCAGTTTCGTGGGTTATTGGGTAGTTTCATGTAGTTTCTTCATTGGTGCTAAAAGTTTGCCCTGTAAGTCCTTCCGGGAATCTAAAGCTGGGATTAGATCTCACCATGTTTTTTGCATGTGAGGTGTAAAGAAACTCTTTTGTGGGGATATAATGGGGATATATTTATTCGGATATAACGAAACAGTTGACTCGTCTTGATCCAATTCTGGGAGTATGTGATGGGTGATGTTGCGACCCCATTTCACCAGAGATGATGCTTAGAAGTGGTGAAATCACAGATTCTGGGGACGTAAATTTGGATATAACGAAATACCATCCTCAGGTAATTTAAGATAGCTACGGAACATCACCATGTTTAAGAAAACTTACTAGGTAAATCATCTACTGGGTCATTTTCCAGAGCTATATGTTAAATTACAGGAGGGTATGTCCAGTGAAGGCTACCCATTAAGTGCCATTCCCGACAGGCGCATTTCAGACAGCTGAAGGTGACAGCTGAAAGCTGTGCAGGCAGGGTAGATCCTGTTGAGCCCACGGCGACTGAAAGTCAGGTGGGGAAATCATCCCCAAATTTCCTATATGGGTGTGTCTGAAAATGTTGTGTACCCCTAAACCCAATGGTTCATGATCATTATCCCTATTAAATGGCTATTTCATTGGGAATATACCCTATTTTCAGACAAACCCATATGTTTAGCTTGTGAATTACCATGAATTGCCCTTCAGTAATCAAACATGGCTGGGAAATCGCAAAAAAACGGAGGTTTGCTGGGAAAATTGTCAGAAGAAGTCTAGAAATCAAGGGATTTGCCTCTGCCATGGCGAGATTTTTGTTGCTGATCTCCACATCCAAGAACTGTCGATGCTTGGGACAGATGATTCCCAGTGCAATGATAAACCGCTGCATGGTGTGGATGGTGGCCTTGGGTGTAGCACATGAAGCATCATGAACCAAGCTTGTAGACGTGCCTGGTTTTTGGGATCTTCCCGCGGCTGGGATGATCTCCTCCAATTTCAGCTGGTTTTTCATTTGTTGTGTGTTTGCTGTTTAAATTCTCCAGTGTTGCTGGTTAAAATCATGTCAAATCGCCATGTTTACTGAGACTGGGCCCTGAACTGCACCCATTTCTTATACTACAATAGATAAGTATATACATAAGTAAGAGAGGGAGAGGGGTCCACAAGAGGATGGAAAAGTGATCTCTTCCTTATTTCGCAATTTGATACACTTTTTAAGGTGGCGGGGTTCCCAAAGTTTTGTGTTGTTTGTTCATTGAATTGAAACCACCAACCCCTATCAGGGGCTTATTTTATATGGGGGGTTCCAAAATTATGGGTACTGTACCCCAAACCACTGGTTTTCCCATATCACCTATCTTGCATGATTTTCGGTATCCCCATTTTTGGAAACCTCCTAATATAAGAGCCATTCATAGCCATTCCAAGTCGCTGTTCGTTGCTTCTTCCAGTGACCGGGCGCTGCTGATACCAGGCGCTAGTCTTCCCGAGGTGCAGGGGTGGTCAATAGCTATGTTGTGCTATGTTAAAGTACTGGAAATCCAAAACATTAATCTGGAAATCATGGTTCATAAGAGGAATCATCCCAAAATGGCCGCAAGTTTCAGGTTAGTGAGTTATAACTATAATTTGCCCAAATTAATGAAACATATGGTTGGTTGATGATGAGTTCGTCATTGATGGTGGGATTTGAATCATGAACAATATCAGGATAATATACTGATGAATGATGGTTGGTGGATGATTACGTCCGGCATTGACTGGTTAGTGTGACTCCTCCTGATACCAACAAATATGGACTCAATCAATGGGCCAGAACGAAGGATCTGAACATCCCTCAGCCATCCCTGGAGTTTGAGGTTTTTAACGGATTTGAATCTAATCATCAAATAGCTTGTGAATACGAGGTTTCTGAGGTTATTTTGTGGTGTTTTTTCGCAAACATGGGGATAGGTCGATACCAAGTAGCAGCAAGTTTCTGGTCTTCACCACCCACATGGCAATTTGATCCAGGCCTTGTGATTTGATCTGGAACGGACTCCGTATCGGACCGTTGTTTTAGCCATACAGCCCTGTTAAGAAGGACATTTCCATTTTGCCAAAGAAATTGCAAAGCATTACCACCTTGTCATCAAGTTTGACTCCAGTGAATGATTGGTTGGTTGTTTGCCATATATTGCCATTTTTTCATATATTTTCCCACCGTCCTTGGGAATGAGGATACCAAGAAAAATATGTTTGGCATGGGTTGAAACCATCCACCAGACGAGTCACTTTTTGTATGATTTCCATGTCGTTGTTTGCATGTCTTGGTCAAGATTTGGAAGCTGGAAGCCAAACATATTAGACTATCGGATTGTATCTGCCATTGTTTGCACTCCAAACTCTTCAAGCAGAAGGCTAGGTCTGGAAATTTTGACATTTGGGTATACCCCTGGAAATTGCCAACTGAATAGGGAAGATGATGACAAACTATCAGATTCGGGGTGTCCGATATTTAGACATACCCATTAATATCATACACTCTGGCCTGGTGCCGCTGGAACAAACATATCAAGCATGGTAAGACCCAACCATTGGTCTTCTCAGAGCAAGCCACTTTTGATTTTGGATTTCCCATGATTTCCCTAAGATTGACAGACTTAGATGGGCCATAGAGTTCAACATTTGGTTACTAAGTGACTTACCGTGTATTCCCCTCGTAACCCACTGATAATGGGTTATATCCCACTTGCTGGGCAAATAAGATATAATTATAATTATAATTAATTAACTCCATTGGCCATCTAAGTACCCCTTGACATACCTTCTAGTAGTTTATCATGTATGGTACAGATGGCTTATTTAGTTCCATGATTTACATGTGAAAAACGGTGAGTGTTATAGCAACGTTAAATTGAATGAGGTAAAGAGAAATGGATGTGCAATGGACTGATACTGTGTACATATATATATATATACAGATAGATAGATTAATATAGTATGGATTAAAACCTAATTGTTTAGTTATGTATATATATATATATTTAAAACATGTATATATAGAGGATTCCTAAAATAGGGGTACCCCCAAATCATCCATTTATAGATGGATTTTCCATTGTAAACCATCCAGCTATCTGGGTACCCCCATTCCAGAAAACCCAATGATTGGCGGAGGTGCGCAATGCGACGATTCGTGGATTTAGTGGATTAATCTGTTGTTTTCATGGGGAAAAGAGGTGTTTTTTTTTTCGGAGCATGATGATAACTAGCCATGATTTGTTGGGGTATTTCAATGTATTTCATAATCAGACCAACCCAATTTGCTTCTTTCTGGTTATGAGAATGATAGTAGCTTCCCCAGACAACTCAGACTGTACATCTCTAGAGGTACTGGCCATGTCAAATCTTGAAGCATCAAAGTTCAGACTGAGAATATGACAAAAATCATGCACAAGGGAAATGATTCCGCCGATTCCGACCATTATCAATGTGGGAAGTCCCATTCAAAACCCTATCGCATCATATCATATATCGCCGGGATTGCACTTGTTGCTATTGCGAGTAGGGTGAAGACGATCATGGCCGCTTTGCTACTGCAATTTTGACCCGGTGTTTTTCTCTTGCACTTGTCAAGATAGTGTTTTTCGCTTCCCGACGCTACAGCGTTTCCAACAATATCTTCGGGGGCCCCGCACCCCATGGCCACCTGACAGGCCACAACCCTCACGACGGAATTTGCAGCGCTGGTGGACGACGTGGAAGAGCACGTTACAGCCACTGGGACAACGAAGCCAAGGAAGGCACAGAAAGGTGCCGGATGATATGTCGTCGTTGTTGCCTTTTTGGACCCTTCGGATCTGTAGGGACAGCCATCTACCCCGATTGGTTTTACAATGTTTTACATTTGGGGCTTGAAACATAACAACCACGGCCTAGCCCAAAATGTGACATGCAGTCAACTTTATAATTTCATTGTGTACACGCGCCTTTGCATGAGTAGGGCCAAACTGTGGTTGGCTGCAATTGTGACACTCGATTGATTCATGGTCGGGGTACGTATTCGGCACCTTGGTACCCAGCACATCCCAGCACCTGCAGCGTTCCCGAGCAGAAATAGGTCGGCATCCCACTCATCGCGGGAAGGGGCCATGCCTCGCGGTGGCCATTTCTGGCAAAAGCACGCAGCTCTTGCAAGATCCATTGGAGAGCGGCAACATGTGGCAGCCCTGAGGCCTTCCAATTTGGAGACGAACGCTCCAGGGTTCGAAACGCCTGGTCCCAGTTCGATCGTTAGGAGGTGTTTCGGGGGTCCATGGACCTGACGAACACCCAAAAATAGATTAATTAATTAAAACGCCACGTCCTGCCATATCCTTTTCTGGTTTCTTGTCATCACCGCCTGAAGTGAAACTGGCAATGGCTTTCTCAACCTGCAAGTACTTGGGATGCGGTTGGCAGGGCTTCTTTATCAAGCTTGGTGACCTGCTACCTTGAGTGAGGGGCGAGCAGGATTCCACCCCAACAGGTTCTTTGTTACAGAATTAAGGAATGAGGAAGAAAGGGACTTGGCGATGCGGATGGCGGACAGGTTGTAAGAGGACCACTCTCACTCTCACAACCAATCTCTCATCATGGACCTTTACATGACAGACTTGGCATTTCATTTGCTTCTGACTTGCTCCGAATGGTATTCCGGACACGCTTTCGCATCAGTCTCTTCCACCCACAACCAGAATGCTTGCAGGAAGGGGTGGTAATGACGCTTTTCATTCGAAGAATCATCCCCCAAAGTTCCAACCTTTCTGATTTGGAAAGTATTTTTTTTTGCCCAAATTGAATTTGGGTTGAAAATCGTCCGCATTTGGTGAAATCAGCCCAGAAAACTCATTCCACCACTTAAAGATAGCGAGACAATAGAGTTACCAGCCAATAATGGGGATGCTGTTGTTTGCCACTCATGAGGGACTAAGATGCAAGGAACACCTGAAAACTTGATCGGTTAAACAATCGCAAGTCATGGCAAGCCAAATGCAAAGATTTTGTCAGCACTTGTCTTGACATCCTGTGTCGCACTTTTGTTATGATGCGTGTTCGTTCGTTCATATTGTCAAATGCCGCAGCTACAGGTAACAAAAACTAGTTTAGTGAGTCTTGCCATGTTTTTTGAAAGTTTTCAACCATGCAAGGAGGTTGATTCCAACTCCTCACAGAACTTCCCAACCTGTGGGTGTTGGCCAAAATTACGTAGTTGGAGCTGGAAAAAAATGGATGGCCCCCATTCAAAATTTATAGGCTACCAATCAACTTCACCAAAACACAGATGATCCAAACTGCGGATGACCCACCACCACCCCAGACCCAGATGAACAGTCTCAACACATCCATCTCCAGGTTTGTCAAGCATGTCCCCATTAAAGCATCATTATATTATCGTTTAGCATTACCACTTGGAGGATCATCCCACTTAGTAACTTCTGAATCACCGTGGTGAACAAGGCCTCGATTCTTGGATTATCTCAAGTATGTTTGTTTATAACCCCGATTTGCTAACGTAGCTACTGGCTGGGATGATCCTCCAAGTTCGGATAGAACTGAACTACTGAACCATTAAAGATATCACTGTTGATTATTGTAGGAGCCACCCTCCGGTAATCACTGGCAAGTGAAAATCCCAATGATTAAATGTTATATATATGTGTGCATTTATTTACTTGCATTATTTGTCCATTTATTTATTTTTATTTATTTATTTATTTTTATTTTTATTTATTTATTTATTTGTCCACCTATTTATTTATTTCTTGTGGTGATTTTGCCATTCAAACCTCCAAAAATAGGGTTTGATTACCGAATCGTCCTTATACCCATTTATATCCCAAAAATTGTCGGTTCTATGCCCATTGTATCACCATATGCTCGCTTCCCCCCAATATTGTTTTTGCTTAGAATTCCCACACCATTGAACCCTTGTTTGATATGAATGCTCGATGGGAATATAAAAAATTCCACTACATATACTATATTTTACCCAGATTCATGGATTATTAGCCATTATTCACCTTTATTAACATTTATTAACCATATTTAACCATTGTTAACCACTATTATCCACTATTAACATCTATTAACCACCATTAACCACTATTAGCCATGGTGTTTAGCACCACGCGGATTTCAACACTCCCAGGTGGTGGCCCACTGCGCAGAGCGCTGTCACCTCCTGGAGCGCTTGGCCAAGTCTTTCCGCGAGGCGCGACAGCGCGACTTAGAGCCAGGGAGCCATGCAGCCGTTGGGACAATGGAAAAACTGGAGACATGGAGGATTCCTACCCCATAGGATCCATGGTGCTGCTATAAATGGTAACATGGATTCCATCAATATACCCCAAATGTTAGCATATATACCAGCACTGCACCATGGATCCTATGGGTACTTGGTGCTTCATCCCACTTACTAAGTCGGTTAGTTCACCCCAGCTATCAGTGGATTAAGTGGATGAATACCCTACTTATCCCACTTATAACCAGGGATGATTGACATCATACAACCTACTTAGTAAGTGGGACGGGCCACCAAGTAAGTCATGGGGAATACCCCCCACATCGTCCTAGTCATTGAACCATTTTAGTATTGAAACGTATTCAAACTCGTGGTTTTTGGCATCCCCCAGTTTAAGGTACTATCATATTTCCTGTATGTGTAGGTCGTTCAAACGATATAGACTATTTCCTGGATGGTAAAAAGATATGTGAAGATAGTGTTTTACGTGTGGTGTCTACTTCGTTTCTCTGTTTGGGGCATACGTGTTGTTTACTATTGTTCACCAGCACCAAATTAAATAATCAATTTAATGAGATTGGTTTGTTTTTCCCGAATTGCGTTTCCATTTGATGAAAAAATGCAGCATTAGATATGTTCCAATTGATTCACCCAGAAATTAATTTGGGGAGTAGTTGAAAAGTGTTTTTTCCACAGCCGTCTGCAGGCAATTACAAGTGATTTAGTTTGATATTTTGCCAGCACAAATCCGGATTAAATCAGGAACATCTTGGATGATGTGATGTATGAAATTTGGGATTCGACCCAACAAGACTAGGGTGTCCATGGCCATTTTTGTGGAATGCCGTTCCCATCATTTTTTTACAAGAGCTCGCTGCCATTTGGGCGGATATGCTGTTGCCTGAATATTTATGCTGCTTTTCACTTTGGCGGGAGGTGCCCCAAGGAAAAAAATGGTTGGCCCAGAATGATTGGGAAGATGATGGGTTAGCAGTGAGCTGCGTAGACATGGCTGGTCGGGACATCCTCCAATTTACGGCAGGGGCTTGTGACTTGGCCCGCGATGTAACTAAACATATTGCGGGTGAACACAAGCCCACATTTGGAGCTCCCTGGAGCCGCTCGAACACGAGTGATCTTTGGTCGACAAGAGGGCATTCAGAAAGCTAATTATTCAGGAATCGAACATCCTTCTCGAGAGATTTCATCACGAAACTCTGTGACCAGGGTGGAATGTGGATGGCGCCATTCGGCTCAAATTAAAGGAACTGAGGGATGTATTGTTTTATTTCGATTTAATTGCTCTGAAAATTGGGCATCCCCAAGTTTGATGGTTTAGTGCTTAGCTTTTCCCACTAGAAGAGCCATAACCTCGGGTGAATCTTCCATTTTCAGACACACCCAAGATTGATCTTGTTGATCCATAGTTCCGATTATATACACATAGTTGTTGGTGAAATTGCCTTCAAGTGGTTGGTTAAAATCTAGAAAGACCATTGTAGTGTCCGTGGTGCTATCCAGTTATCGGAGACTTGACTTTTCCCTTTGACTTGCTGATCCTGCAAGGTGTTGCCCCCAAACGACAGCTAAGTTGGTTTACCACCAGGTTAACTTTAGTTTTTGGTAAAGATATCACTAGTTCATGGGGTTTATAAACCGACAAAGAGAACTGAGAGAGGCACCTCCTCGTTTTCTGGCCTGCTGGACATCAGGCCTATGCCAAGATGCAAATCATCGCCACCTGTGAATGTGCCGAGGACGAAGGCTGTTGGTGGCCCCAGCAAGGCTTTAAGCTTCGGTAAATAGGGAAAAGGATGTAATTTAGCATGTCTCTCTACCATGTTTTTGGGCCCCACTTTTTTGGTATTTTTTGTCCATCTTTTTTTTGTTTTTTTTTTGTTTTTTTTTGTCCCTCTTTGGGGAATTGTTGTTCATCTTGTTTGGGAATTGTTGTCCCTCTTTTTTGTGATTGTTTGCCCCTCTTTGGGGAATTGTTTTCCCTCTTTTTGGGGATTTTTCGTCCCTCTTTTTTGGGCGGGCATTTTGTCAATCTTTTTCTGGGATTTTTATACATCTTTTGTGCGAATTGTTATCCATGTTTTTTGTGAATTTGTGTCCCTCTTCCAGGTCAGGCCCAACAGTTCCGGAGACCAGGTCAGGTTCCGGAGAAGGTTCCGGAGAAGGTCTGGGAGGCTTTGGTGCAGAGCCAGGTCAGGTTGGGAGGCTTTGGTGCAGAGCCAGGTCAGGTTCAATAGGGTTCCTGAGAAGGTTCCGGAGAAGGTCTGGCACCCTTAGCAGGAGAGTCAAGAGCGTCTTCCAACTGTGTCCAGCTTGAGTGTCTTTCAGGCGAGTCTTTCAAGAGGGTCTTCTAGGAAGATGCTGCAATCGCCTCCCAGAAGAGAGTTTTCAGAATGTTTTGCAAAATGGTCTGCAGGAGTGTCTTCCAGAAGTGTTGTGCAAGAGTGTCCTTCTAGAGTATCTGCTTTCTGTTCCTCCTGCATTTTCCATAGCGTGTTGAAAGTGCGGAAAATCTCTATCCCACGTTGAGATCGATCAGGATCTAGCGTTTGTGCACACAACCATGCTAAGAGCTTAGAGATATTCACAGCTGTTTCCATGTTGTTATAGGACCCACGGAAAACGAAAAAAAACCAAAGAAGAGGGACAAAAAATCCCAAAGAAGATGGATAAACATTCCAAAAAAAGAGGGACAACAATCCCAAACAAGAGGGGCATAAAATCCCAAACAAGAGGGACAAAAAAAAATCACCAAAGAGGGACAATAATTCACCAAATCTGGCGACAATAATTACCAAACTTAGGGACATTTAATTACCCAAACTTGGACAAAATAGCTGTTAAAAAAACGTGGTAGAGCGCCATTCTAAGATGTAATCTTTGAAAACGGTGGTTTCGCCTTCAAAAATGATTTCACCACCAAATTTCAGGTTCAACACTGGGATTTCTCATTCATCCAGAAGAAATACACCGCATTGGATACAATGTGCTGTGCTGGGAAACAGTCTGTGGATTTCTCGCCCTTGCGCTAAGCAATTGGTTGCTTCCATTCGACACACGAACAGGCGGCAATCATAAAGGTAATGTGTTGATGAACGGCAAGGGGTCAAATGGTCAAACTTGTGTATACATCTGACGGTTTGACATTGAAAATCATCATTCCAACCTGTGGCCTCATGAGAGTCAAGTCTTGGGTTTCGACCACAATGTTCAACATCGAAGACACTTTCAAAAATGTTGTTTTTGCATGTGTTCATTGCATGTTTGACTTGCTGTCCTATGATTATAAATTATGATGTTATCCCCATGCTTAGCTGGAGACATATGGAGGGGGTCGCAAATTTGTGGGTTCAGCTATCATTTGTGCGCGTTGAATATCCATGTCTTATTGCTTCGATGCTCTTTGATCCTCTGCTGTTTGAATTCTATTGCGGTTTGTTATATGCTGGGTTTTCACATGTTGAACCCCATCTCACTATGGATACAGTATATCCCCCATATTCCCATAAGATAATTCCCAAAATATCTAACATGATTAAACTATTTCTGTTCAATCCTCAAGATTTCCTCGGTTAAGGTCAAGAGCCTGTCCCACGGTCTCACGAAACGGTACCCTGGCGCAACTAAGTTGCTGGGGGATGTGGTTTAGGAAAGCGACCGGTGAATGTATTGGGTAACTCAGGGCCATTTTGCGGTCATGGAAACATGTGATAGCCTACAAGACTGGTTAGCAGAAATGTGGTCATCAAGCCGAGAAATGCGAAGGTCATCAAATGCTACTGTAGTTGAACAGTTTCATTGTTTGAAGTTCAATTATACATATGGGCACGGTATGAATCAACCTTTCAGGCCCAGAGCTCACTTTGAGTAGCCGTAGCCATCGAGTTCGATGGCGAACAGGGCACCCCGAGACAACACCCATTGTTTATCGTACTTGTTGCTTTTTAACCGGGCAATTTGGGAGTATACCATACCCCTCTTTGAGACATACCATTTGTGAATAGATTTTGTGTATGTCGTGCAAATTACTGTATTGGAACGTAATGCAATGTGATGTAGTCTTTCTTATGGGGATACAAATGGCACTATGCGCGCTCCAATTTTAAGAAACTTCATGAATCATTTGATGTATATTTCTGCCAGTACAGCTTTATAGTTATATATTGTGCCAACTTCAACCCCAGCTCCTTTCATCACCCCGTACAACGGGCGATTCCTAGGTGGCTCGCAATTTCAGTCCTTCATAGCAACACCATGAATACTCCAGATCCAGATGAGAAAGATGAGCAGCTGCAAACAATAGTTCGCCCCATTAGTTTAAGTTCCTCCATGAAATCCACCAAGCATGTTCTAGTTATTGGGGTAATCTATACTTTACTTGTCTATTGAAATATCCCAGCAAATTAATATTTGGATTGACTGACATCCTAGTTAATGCCACCCCTGGATTCAGAAACCCTAGTTCTTCGATTCAAGGATAAACCAGCAAGAAGTGACAATCTACCAAAGTGATACCCCCCAAAGTAGACAACCCAGGGTTTTCAGAAATTACGAGAATCGGATTCTTGTAGGCCAAAGATACCAGTTTTTATACCCATCGGTTTCGGGTGCACGTCCTGGATGTAAAGACCATGGCTATATCCATAAGAATCACCCGAAGTGCACCCCGGATGAGGATAGAAAATAATTCTGGGTAATAAGGGAAATCATCCTTAAGTGGCCTTAATTATTATTTAATTCAGATTAGTGCAATATTAGTAAATATCTTAATTCACCTAGATATAGATAGATATATCTGTGTGGCAGTCAATCTAAAGGTCCTCGTAAGGAGTTTTAATTGCGAAAGCCGTGCGTGTTATGTTGGAAACCTTCGCGATTTTTTTTTCGAGCTCGCGAAAGAAAATGTTTTCTTCGCGAAAGTTTCGCGAAAGTTTGATATTATGAATCCTTGTAGTATACATTACAGCTTGTTAAGGACTACCACCTCCCGGTCCGGCAGGAGAATGGCACCGCGCCAGCAGCCAAGCTTCCGAAGGTGAGCACAATACCATGGTCTTCAACTCCTTGCACCTGCCGCTGGTACTGCCTAACGTTGCTTTCTGAAGTCTCAAGAAAGCTCCAAGTGCAGCAGCCAAGCTTCCAAAAGTGAGGCTTTGCGAGAGCCAAACACCAAGGCCCCTGGTGTTTGCTTTTCCTCTGATGCGCCCCCTGCTGATGGCTGGGGTCTGCAGATATTTTCCGGAAAGTTCGGCGAGAGTTCTGCGAAAGAGTGGACGAAAGTCAAAGTGCATTTTGAAGGGAGTGGTCCAGTAAGCCTTGCAAAAAAGTTGCCTAATCAGCAACAACTTGTCCTGAGAAGGGGATTCCGTGATGCTGGCTGCATGTTTACAAGGCTATGAAGAAGTTATCCGTGATAATTTTGTGTGATTAATGGCAGGTGGTGAATGAAGTTTCATAAGAGGAGTTGTTGCTCAACATGGGTGCCGCGAAAGATATAAACATGGAGTTTGCGAAAGTTGCGCGAAAGAATTTGTTTATTCGCGAACAATGGCCGTTTCCGGATAAAGGAATTTTTGATCAACCATATACAATCATATTTAATATAAATATAAATAAATATATATATATATAATTATTTATGTTTATATTTAATTTGATGAATTTCACATCAAAACCGGTTGTATGGCGTTGCATGTCCATTCAATAACCCGTTAAACCCCATTAATTGGGCCATGGTTCCACTGGCCTCGAGGTGCCAAAGATGACGGTGGTTTCCGTCCCCTACGACTTTGGACTTTCACGCGGGACACCGCGGCGGGAGGATCGTCCAAATAATGTGCCAATAAACAATGGGGTATGCAACCTGAACATCATGGTGTAATTTGGGATATTTTGATATATATGTACATTTGATTAACCAATAATAAACGCCAACTTACAACATGTTGAATTAACTAACAATACTTACAATTGGTGATTATGAACTTCAAAAACGGATAATAAACAAACCCCTATATATTTAGTGGTTCTTGCAGTGTAGTACCAAAACAGGGGATGAACCAAGGATAATGGACATATAAACCAACTTATGGGTTGTGATATGCATCATCAAAAAATAAATACTTATTTGGTTTGCAGCAGACAAAGCGATTTCCCACAATAAAGTGGGCGTGACACCAGTTTCCACCAATCAAAATACAATCCAAAAGCAAGGCACTGAACGTCAGGTCCAACCCAGCGATGACAAAATTACTTTACTTCGAGTGATCCCCACCTTGACATTTCATACGTTTTGTTACTGGCAAATCTTCTGGCATTCTATCTGGCATATCTTCTGGCATTCTACCTGGCATATCTTCTGGCTTTCTATCTGGCATATCTTCTGGCATATCTTCTGACATCCTATCTGGCATTCTATCTGGCAAACCTTCCTTCATTCTAACTGGCAAACATTCTGCCACTTTATCTGGCATACCTTCTGGCATTCTATCTGACATTCTATTTGGCATATCTTCTGGCATTTTATCTGGCATACCTTCTGGCATTCTATCTGGCATATCTTCTGGCATATCTTCTGGCACTCTATCTGGCATATCTTCTGGCATATCTTCGGACATTCTATCTGGCATTCTATCTGGCAAATCTTCTGACATTCTATCTGGCATATTTTTTGGCGTTCTATCTGGCAAACATTCTGGCACTTTATCTGGCATAGCTTCTGGCATTCTGTTTGCCATTCTATCTGGCATACCTTCTGGCATTCTATCTGGCATATCTTTTGGCGTTCTATCTGGCATATCTTCTGCCAGAAATTCATGTGTAAGTCGTTTGGGTCAATTCATGGCAGCTGCACATGGCAGGCGCAGGAGCCATCCCTTCAGGCAGCTGCACATGGCAGACACTGCAATCTGATGTGAAGCGGCAGTTTTCCAACGGGCTGGGGCCCGCCGGCGCAAAACAAAAAGCATTTCGCAATAGATGCAAGGTGTACGCAGGAGTAGTTTCACCGCACAGAAGCGGTCCCGAGGAGCTTCGAAGAAAGTGGTTGGCAAAACAAATCAAATTATCAAATGGTCCTGAGAAAGAATTTCAAAGCACCTGGCAGCCAAATATGCCTAGACTATTCATGCTCCGGTCCACGAAAACGGCGGTTTCACCAGAGCCAGACTGGGATGGTCCCGAAGGAGAAGGAGATGATCCATCTCGACCAAGACAAGGTCCGTTCGACCAGGCTCTGACAAGCGCCATCTTTGACTTCCTCAAGTTTGTCAAAGGGACGAAGGTTCGGGCTCTGGAGGAAGGTGCTCCACCAATCACTCCGCTCCCACAAGCCGTGCGAGAAGATTGCACCTCAGGCGAGTCCCTGAACTACAGGGTGCATTCGAGTGCTGCTGCTTGGCTTGGAGATAGAAATCCTCCGGCCCCTTCGAGTCATCCCCACCATGAACTCTATACGTTTTGTTATTGGCAAATCTTCTGGCATTCTATCTGACATATCTTCTGGCATTTTATCTGGCATATCTTCTGGCATTCTATCTGGCATATCTTCTGGCATTCTACCTGGCATATCTTCTGCAATATGTTCTGGCATATCTTCTGACATTCTATCTGGCATATCTTCTGGCATTTTATCTGGCAAACATTCCGGCACTTTATCTGGCACACCTGGCACTTGATCTGACATTCTATCTGGCATATCTTCTGGCACTCTATCTGGCACATCTTCTGGCATTTTATCTGGCATATCTTCTGGCATTCTATCTGGCATGTCTTCTGGCATTCTACCTGGCATATCTTCAGGCATATCTTCTGGCACTCTATCTGGCTAATCTTCTGGCATATCTTCTGGCATTTTATCTGGCATATCTTCTGGCATTCTATCTGGCATATCTTCTGGCATTCTACCTGGCATATCTTCTGCAATATGTTCTGGCATATCTTCTGGCACTCTATCTGGCAAATCTTCTGGCATATCTTCTGGCATATCTTCGGACATTCTATCTGGCATTCTATCTGGCAAATCTTCTGGCGTTCTATCTGGCAAACATTCTGGCACTTTATCTGGCATACCTTCTGGCATTCTATCTGACATTCTATCTGGCATACCTTCTGGCATTCTATCTGGCATTTCTTCTGGCATTCTATCTGGCAAACATTCTGGCACTTTATCTGGCATATCTTCTGGCATTTTTTCTGGCCGTTGAGGTACAGCGGTGCTCACTGAGCTCGGAGGGTCCCAGGTTCAGGTCCAGCGGTGCTCACTGAGCTCGGAGGGTCCCAGGTTGAGGTCCAGCGGTGCTAACTGAGCTCCGGAGTTCCCAGGTTGAGGTCCAGCGGTGCCCACTGCGCTCAGACCCTTGCAGTTGAGGTCCAGCCGTGCCCACTCAGATCGGAAGCCGGCAGTTGAGGTCCAGCAGTGCCCACTGCGCGCGGAAGTTGGCGAAGAGCTTGGCGAAGTGTTGGCAAGGCGGAAGTGAACATGGAAGTGGCGGAAGTGGACCTGGACGTGGATGCAGAGGTGGTGGAGGAGAAGGAAGAGAAGGAGAAGAAGGAGAAGGAGAAGAACAACTCTAATAAAATCTAACAACCCTCACCTGGCAGGTGAGGAAAAAACGATTTGGTTATGAAGACTTTGTGATGTGAAAACCGTTGCCTTCAGGAAAGGATCGAAGATCATTCCAGCAACTATACATATATATATATAATATATATATATATATTTATATTTCCTAACTTCGTATGTTTATCCATTTATCCACAACCAAGTGGATCTTTTGGGAGTGGTTCAACCTCCAAGGTTGTTGATTGAGTGATGATCCCAATTGAAATGCTATCCCTGGTAGGAAAAAATCCAAGGTTCCCCTGTTTTTGACGCCCATAGAGAAGCACTGGCACCAAAAGAATTCAAAGGTTCATCATCATAGTTCTTCACCCTTACCATTCAGTTTGTTGTTGTGTCACTTTTGGATGATTTGTGTGTGTGATTTGGATCATCATTTCCCTGTTTGTTTTTTCCTTTTGCTCAAAACGACAATCGAACGTCGCCATGAATTCGGGTGTTGGTTCCTGCTAATTAATCTGTTTTTTTTTGGTAGCCTTCTACTATTTCTCTGCAAGGCGGCATAAGCAATTGCCGTGCCAACATGGCAACCCATTTTACAACAACTAGGTAGAGGCATCTAACAATGTCAGGGCCCTCTAAGATCAATGACTAATTCCCCAGGAACCCTTGAAGATACAATGTGGAACATCCGACTTTGCTAACCTATGTTTCAGCATGTTTAGATGAAGAAACGTTTGTTTAACGGAGTGTATCCCATGATATTCCCGTTATATATATATATACACACATGTTTCTGTCTCTCATGAGATGCTGCACGCCAAACGGAATGGCCGCTGTTGACTGTGTAGGCTGGATCATGTGTCAGTGGTTGTCATATCGGACGATTAAATTTTGTCATGGCGCGATTGATTTCCGGCCAGCAGAGGCAGTTTAAGGCAACTTTGACACGTCAACGCCACTGAATCCTCACCTGCTCCATCCAACAAACATCAGCAGACCAAACGTCATCGATGACGATGAACACCACTTACCTAGGTGCTCACATGCAATCCCAAGCGATAGTTTGGCAGTGCGAAGACTGGGTTTTGCGATCTTCTGCCTGGCACAAGAGCGGCTGCCATGTCGTAAGAGGCAGCGTTTACTAAATCAAATGGTATCACAGGGAGATGATCATTGCTGAACCTATAGTCTATACAGCTATTGGCACCTATTGACTCCATAACCCATGACAGAGTAGGACAGCGGACCGCTAGTTAGTGAAACAGAGATCTTAGATTCTTAGACGGTAACTTCCAGATTTCATGTAGGAGTTTCTCAAAATAGGGTTTCAGTACCTCCAAATCATCCATTTTTAATAGGATTTTCCATTATAAAACATGCATTTTGTGGACCCTCCATGTATGGAACCCCCATGTGCTTCACAGTTTTTTTGGGGGCGCTATGAAATTTTGATGCTGCAGGAAGACATTGCTTATAGAGATGACCAAGACGGAGTGCGGCCCTTGGGCAGCTGGGGTCAGTTGAAGGGTGTCCTAAAAGAAAGGTACCCCGAAAAACGGATTGTTTACAGTTAAAAAAGAAAATCCTATCAAAATCCTATGATCATGTATCAGTTGGATTGATTTGGAGGTACCCCCATCTTGAGAAACTTCCATAGATCCATATTGGTCCATATGTGGATGGTCCTGTAGTGAAAGCATTTGCTTCATCTCTCATAAAAGTACTACCTCCTGATCCTGTACAGAATACATGTGAATACAAATACGTGCTGGTTTGTAGCCCATGACGTTGCACACCGTAAGGGTCTGCAACCCTGCATCCATGTACTATTTTGCTGACTACTGACTACTGACCAGACGTTTGTTTTCGGGGCGACATAATGTCGCCGTACAACTGACATGAACTGTCGTATTGAAGTATTATTATCGACATGACTGTGTATGTCATTAAGATCTGGTGTCAACTGTTAACTGTTCGTGGTTTTTACTGATCATCTCAGGATAGTTGAAACATTGTTTTTCAACCACGAGGCATCCATCCATTTCTGGCTTCGTTTGGTCAGGACATAGCTTCAGGGGTTGGTCTTAATTTGTGGTGTAAGGTCTGACTGGCATTGCAGCCATTTCAGCAAAATCATTAAAAACACATGTTGTATGTATGTTTGAGCAATGTTCAAATATGATATTGTATTGTTTTGTGCAATTCTACATGCATGTAATATATATATATATGTTGACTATGTATGTGTTTTTTCTGATTTGATTTGCCCATCATATCCCCATTGCAATCTTTCACGGGTCAAATGATTCCCGCTGTTTGCTGTAGATGTCAACACGACTTGATGTACCCACATCACCCCCTTCCAGCCACGTACTGAGATTTTGAGCGTTGTGTGTATGTTTATCCTTGTATGCTACATATATAGATGATTGTAAATACGCGTATATATATATATATAATTATATATACAATATAGTACACCGTGATATCGTATATTTGATGATTTTCCATACATGATGATTTTCAGATTTACAGTGCGTATAACGCAAAGTGTCACCTACTATATATATATATATATAGGTATTTTTCAAACAACAACACCTATACCGCTAAGACTACAACATTTTTCGCCGGGGATCACCAAACCATGGAGATCCACCAACCATCGAGGTTTGTCCTTGTGCTGGACGACGACTTCACACATTCCATGCATTCGTGTCGGGACGTGGGGACGAGCCGCGGGAGGTGTTGTCACGTCTCTTCGGCAGACGCTGCCAGGTGGAAAATGGCCCATTTATAGATGGTTTACCTGGGTTTGCCTCTTAAAAATGGTGGATCTTTCCATGGCAAACTGTGAATGTCATAAGCAGATGGTAGCGGCAAAAACAGACTATTCCAATGGTATCCCAATGGTTTGACCTTATGATGATCCTGAATCATATCTATCATCTTTGTGGGGTTGGCAGCACCCAAGTGAACTTCAAATGATCAGGGCCCCAGGGCACATATTTAATTGATGCAAGTGGCTGAATATGCCTGAACAATGATTTCATTTGATGGCAAACATTTAGCTAGTTACCTGACCAATTACCCTCTGGTTATTTAACATAGCCATGGAAGCCATGGCCCATTTATAGATGGTTTATTTATTAAAAATGGTGATTTTCCATGGCAAACTGTTAAAGAACCAGATGGTAAATTCCTGAAACCTGAGAATGAATGGCCTGAAATGAGCCAACAAAAATACTTTCTATTTTCTTACCCACTTTCAGCAGCAGAAGGGAAGCAAAACCACACCTGGAGAGCCACCCATTGAAGTTGACAAAAGCATCCCATTGAGCTTGGTTTTCTGGCACTTATCAATGTGTGGTCACATTTCTTGTAGCTAAAAACAAGAAAGAATCTGGTAATTCATTTTTTTTTGGATGGCATTCACGACATGAAATTGCAAACACAGTGAGACGGCTCCAGGATTGATCTACGTGAAGAATCTTCGAAGTGGGTACACCAGGTATAGGTTACTGGCTCAATTAATGTGAGTTAATGTGGGTAAAACAATAATAAACCAATCATGTGGGTGGTTTATTATATTGTTTTTATCCACATGAATGTTAATCAGTGCTTAATTAAATAACCCTTAAATTGTAGGGCTCTCGCTGCTCTCAAGCAGTAGGCTTTGGGGATGACAGGATGTTCTCAGGTGTGGAGTGTATGTTGTGGAAGATGCGCAGCCGTCACTACTCCCTGTGGAAGTCCGGGGCTCTCAAGTTGCGGCCAAGTGTAACGGTGTACACCAAGAAGTCACATCACATCTCCGAATTTTTGGGAATTGGTGAGTTTCAGTGGTCCACCATACCCTCTGGTAAACAGCCACATAACTATGGAAAATCACCATGCTATCAATGGGTAAATCCACTATAAATCACCATTTTCAATAGCTATGTTAGTCATAACCAGAGGGTATACAGTATACCTTTTTTGGCAAACTACATCCATCAGTGGTGCCTCTAGGAAAATGATCTTCAAGCGATGCATTTCTGTGCCATGGTCGACGCCAGTCCCCCAGGACATTGGTATCCTCAGAGAGCAATCCAATTCAATATTCAATAGGGTTAGTGTTTTCCCTTGCCTTCATTTGTGTTTTCTGAGTTGAGTAATGAGTCATTGTTTCCATAGGTATTCAGAGAGCAATTCAACCATTCATGGAATAACGATTAGTTGAGTAAGGAGTCATTCCAAATGAAGGCAAGGGAAAACACAAATCGTTGTTGATTTCCTCCTCCATAGCTGCGTCATAGTGCCGGAGGTCCTAGTTCTAGTCACGATGAAATTCTGGGATGATCGGCCCCTGGTTGGAAGCATGCCATAGGATAACAAGACCATGGTGTGCCTTGACCTTCTGAAACCATGAGATATCCAAGTTTTGTTGCCTAAAAAGATGCCTAAAGTATCCTAAAAGTCCCCTTCGGAAATCCTCATCTTTCGCTGGGGTTGAGTTACCCAAGAAAGCTCCCTCAAATCCAGAGAAAGTGGAACATCGTTTGGGGATGAATCAAAACCTACTACTGCTTGGTGGTTTGGAAGATTGTTCATCCTATGTAGTAGGTTGGGAATATTCATCCCAGTTGGGATTTTTTTTCCATATATGTTCCATAGATATTTTCCATTCAGTTGGGAATGTCATCATCCCAACTGACTTTAACTTCAGAGGGATGGCTCAACCACCAACCAGAGTATATATTACCAGATGTGGGGAAGAAACATCCAGGATCATGAGCTTTTTCAGGGGGTAGCAGGGTTTTGGCCATAACTGTTTCATAAATTCCATTCGTATCCTCGTTATTGTTGTTGACATGCCCATGAATCGCTATTGGAATTCTATTAAATCCCATTAAATCATCATTGAATCACCATTAACTCACCATGAATTTCTTCAAATCAACTCGGAAAATCGAAGTGAAGTCGATCCTCTCCCGACTGCAGAGGCCTTTCGATATTTTGGGCTTTCCGGTCCAAGAGGACGAGCGAATTTTTGGTGCCTTCCGGGGGAGGCCGGGACCTATCCGCGGGCGTGGGGCAGAGGGGATCAGGTAACACTTGTTTGATGGTTTTCCTAAAATGGGGTCATCTGGGTAAAACAATGCCATTATGACCACCCATGACTGGGAACGGTAACCATACCACCTATAAAGATGGTGATTTGGAGGATGGTTTATGATTGTTTTACCCATCTTAATCCCCAAAACCATGGGCAGCAGAGCACCCAGCCACGCTTGCGGGTGGCTACATGGAGGCCAGGGGCCCTAGGCGCCCTGCCCAGAGAAACCTCTGTGCTGGGCTCATAGATGTTCATCCCTCCAAATATCTTAGGTTTTTGATCCATCCCCGCATCGACTTTTTTTTCCCTGGGACTACAAAAGTTGCCGCTTGGAAGAGGAGAATCATCTAAATTTCAAGAACCTTGATTTTCCAACATACCCTCTGGTAAACTTTCCCATAACTATGGACTATGGAAAATGACAATTTTTCATGGGAAAATTCACTATTTCTATGGCCATGTTCAATAGCTATTTTGACATAACCAGAGGGTATTTCTTGGGTGCAAAAAGATGGGACCAGCAATGGGGATCCGACCTCAACTGGAGGGAAAGTAACGCAAAGATGAGAGGAGTTCCCCAAGAGGAATGTCATCCACCTAGGGAAGCCCAAAAATGATAGCATCACTGGTGGTTTCCCCACGGGGTCTCCAAGTTGCTCTGTTGGGTAGCGGGGATGATCCCGGGGAACCATCCACTGAAACAAAAGTAAGATTATCTTAATTTCTAGTCAACCTCAGATGGGTAGAAACTAATCCTTATTAATCCTAACTAGTCAAATATCAATGGGAATAGGGTTTAGGGTTTCTACAAACCAGCTACAGCTAAGAAGCTATTTTTTTGGAGGGTATCTGAGATTGGCCATGATTTTTCCCAGTAATTCACCATGTTTTTGATGATACCCCCACTATTCCCATGGTATCCTTACGATCAACTCCCCCTTTTTGTTCACCCGTAAGGGCCTGTCTGAAAATAGGGTGCCCCGGTGCCCCATTTTGGATGGATACCTCATTCCAAGACAAAACCAACAGTTATATGGAACAAAACCAGTTCAACAGAAAACTTAAAATTCAACTGGTTGGTGGTTTCAAACATTTTTGGAATGTTCCATCTCTTATATGGGATGTCATCCTTCCCATTGACGAACTCCATCATTTTTAAAGATGGTTATTGCACCACCAACCAGGGAACATCAAGTTCAATTAACTTAACATTTTTCAGTTTAAGTTCTCCAAATATCCCCATGGATATTTCCCCATAGATCTTCCGTGATCTTCCCGTGATCAACGCCGCTAAAAATCCGCCGAGTCTCGCAGGCTCCGCGTGACCAACCAACAACTTTTCTTGGAACCGATGGTGGAGGCATCATCTTCCAGATGGGCAACATTAAACCAACTACCTGGGTAAATTATAACGACCTCACTACGACCTCACTACGACCTCACTGGAATTCATAGTTAGTAAGGGAAATCATCCCAAATGGCCTTAATTCAGGTTAGTGAACTATTATAATTTACCCAGAACTACCCTCTGGTAAACGTTAACAGTTGGCTATGGAAAATCACCATTTTTCAATGGGTAAATCAACGAACTAAATGGGCCATGTTCAATAGCTATGTTAGTTTACCAGAGGGTAATATGATTTATCTATATATATATATAATTATATATATAATATTATATAATATGATTTAGTATGATGGGCGTGCCAAAATTGAGTTGCTGGCAAAAGTGGCCATGCGTTATGATTCAAAAATTTGGTCAGGAAATTTCAAAACCATTTCAACGATATAAACCGTTGTTCTTTGGTGATCCGAATAAGAGGATGTGCTTGTGTATCTACTGTAAGATGATAATTTTATTGGAGAGGCTGAATTTATCCGTAGGAAAACTTATTTTACATTACTGAATAAATGTTTCCAATGAATTTATACTGTAGATCCATTTATTTTATTACTGTAAGATGATAATTTATCCAGTAGAACTTCTCTTTTTGTCGGAAAGAAGACCATTTCCACATGTCCAATGCAGCTGGGGGAAGCATGAGCCATGGAGCCATGCATCATGGATGGTTGAACTTGAGCCAACATATTTGCAGTATCTACCTATGGTAAACGTTAACAGTTGGCTATGGAAAATCACCATGTTTAATGGGAAAATCCACGAACTAAATGGCCATTTTCAATAGCTATGTTAGTTTACCAGAGGGTATTCTTCAAATCATGGAATGCATGGAGTGGACTTACTATATGTCGATGTGTGCTAGTCAAAACATGTTTTTTTTCTTCGACATCTCACCGCGTTGAAATATCAAAGGTTTCGCATCATGTACAGTTACCTGCAAAAGTATTGTTCAAGAATGAGATACCATGATACCCTCATGATACCCTCTGTAACACAGCTATAGAAGCCATGGCCCATTTTTTTAGATGATAAATCTCGAAAATTGCCCATTTATAGATGATACACATTGATAACTGGTTGGTTTCAAACATGTTTGGAATTTTCCATTTCATATATGGGATGTCATCCTTCCCATTGACGAACTCATATTTTTCAAGATGGTTACTGCACCACCAACCAGATAAAGTTTAAAGTTTAAGTTCTCCATTTATAGATGATACACATTGATAAACATGATTCATGATGATTTACCTATTGAAAAATATGGCCAGTTCGCTGCCTTACCATGATTTCTGGGTACCATTTCCCGACTCCCGATCCAGGTCAGGTCATGACGCTGGAGAGATGTTTTGGTAAAGCCAAATGGAAAGGAAAACACATCCTAATGGATGTTTATGGATGTTAATGGATGTTAATGGATCTTAATGGATGTTCATGGTAATTGGGATTTGTATTTATCATAAGGTTTTATCATGTTCGTGGGTTTGTTTTGGTTATGGGCCAACAACTCGACAAACCGAACTTCATTTAGTTGTTTATGTCAATTGAGAATTTACAGGGTATTCACAACTTGTGATACCCACATGGGTATGAAATGGCGTGGGAACGAAAATGTACGGATGGATCTCAACATCGGCTGTTTTTACACAAACTCGGCGAAGGTGTGTGATTCTTCGGATGATGATACATGTGTACCCAACACTTCCATACCTGAAGAATCTTTGATGTTCCAAATTTACATTGTAGATGGTTCTATTAGCCTCTGGTAAACAAACAAAAAGCTATTGAACATGGCCATTTAGTTCGTGGATTTACCCATTAAAAATAGTGATTTTCCATAGCTATGTCAGTTTACCAGAGGGTATGTTCTACTCACCCGAGGTTTTTTGAATTACTATCCGGTGTCATTCAGTGGGATTCGCAAGCGATGCCAGGAGCTTCTGCCCGATGGTTGCGTGCGCGTGGAAATTTGCTGGGCTCATAGGGGGGTATCCGTCCGGCAGGAGGTGTGATCACCAGATGCATGGCCAACAAAAATGAAACTATTGTTTAAGTTTATTTCATTCTATTTATATACGTCATAGAATCATTCAAACGTGATATATATATATATATATCATGTATACATAATTGACAAGAAACATATATATACAGGTCTCAAATCTCAAACATCGTTGAACACAGTTGGTTGACGACTAGTTCAGGGGTTAATGGCGTAGCCTTTGAAAAACAAACGAGCTTTCCATATCCAGCAGTAAATATATATATACATAGAGAGATGATCCAGCTTATATTTGGGAAACGAATGGTTTTCCATGTTACCATGTTGATTTGTTGGAGAGTTCTGCATTGTTCTGGGTGATGCTAACCCTCCAAGGTCCCTGCAGGTGTTTTTGGGTGGTTTTTTGTGTTTCTGCGGACCTTGGAGGGATAGATTCTTGATGATTCATGGCCAGTTTCAACCTGTGAAGACTCGCAGTTTCCCACAAGAGGCTCTGCCTCATGAGGTCCGATGGTGTTTCTGGGTCGAACGGCTCGGATGAGAACCTTTACATTTCAAAAGGACTTAAGAGCCAGGCACTCAGCGAGGTAATCGAGATGTTACGTGTTGCGTGTCTCTGGCAATTTGTTCAATGGCTGGTAGATGATATTGCTATATTTATACCATTTAGTACGATATATAGACATAGATATAATGCATCATGCATATAGATATACAGGTATGATATACAATGATATACATATATTTCATAAAACTGTATGATGGCATATATGATTGCATGTGTGTATATCATGGAATGTTATGTTTTGTTAATGTTATGTTGTTTTATGTTATGCAAGTAACATATGTACGTTCTGTGGAGTAAAGTAATGCAATGTATATATATATATAATGTGATGCGATGTAGTGTACCGCAATGCAAAGCAATGCAATGTATGAATGAAAGGGTTACTGTACTTGGATGAGTTTTCTACACAAAAAATAGTTGATGCCCGTGGATTTTCAATGGGGGTAGAAACAGAAATGCATGTATACTAGCTGTTTCTCCTGGTAGAAGTGAGGTTGGCTGATATCAGTGCGGCTACAGGAACCCTAAGCCAATCTTTGAAGGTTTAAACAACAACCCCTCTAGGATTATTTTTGGCAAGGTTTAGTTTTGTTGTTGTTGTTTTTGTTTTATTCACCTTCTTACTTAAATAAACTCATGAAGATTAGATTGTTTCCCTGCACAATGAATTGCATAATCATTGTCCCAAACATCTTGCAGCCATCAGGTTGGTGAACATGAACAGTTCTTCTACTCCAATGCTTACAACGGAGTTCAGGCATGGCAAAGCTGGGAGTTGGGCCGAGGGATTTGCAGCACTGGTTGGTAGCATCTACCTTTTCGACAGACATGTGATGTACAGACCATTAGCATCCATTAACTGTAAACATATTGTGAGGTTTGGATATCATTCCCATCCACCTTTGAATCATATTATATCCTATAAGGATATCTCAGAAGTTGATTGAAACTCCCAGGATTTATTTTTTTCCGGATGCTTTGAAACTGCATGCCAAGCCAGGCATAATTCACCATGATGGCGCCACCTGGCGCCACCTGGCGCCACCTGGCGCCACCAAGCTGCCCAGCTTGGATGGTCATAAAAAAGCATGGCACAGATATGTTTCTGGTAAAACATACAAACATAGCTATTGAACCTGGCCATGTATAGTGGATTTACCCATTAAAAATAGTGATTTTCCATAGCTATGTCAGTTTACCAGAGGGTATGTTGAACATGGCCATTTATAAAATTTATAGAGTATATATTTATAAAGTTGATTTACCCAGCTATAAAATATAGAGATATTTTCCATAGTTATGTAAACGTTTACCAGAGGGTATGTTTCTGAGATTTTATCTGATTGCTGGTTTGGAACATGAATTTTATTTTTCCATTCAGTTAGGAATGTCATCATCCCAACTGACGAACTCATATTTTTCAGAGGGGTGGCTCACCCACCAAGCAGTATTCAGTAGCTTTTAAGAAAGAACATCACCATTTTCAATGGGTAAATCCACTATAAATGGCCATTTTCAATAGCTATGTAACAAATTACCAGAGGGTACTGTCCGTTTCCGATGTTTTCTGAACAGATCTGCAGGTAGCCGTGTGCTTCGACTCCTCTTTCCCACACTTTCGCGTTTCCTGGCGCCGACATATCCAGCAGCATCCAACGAGAGGCAGCCTCTGGTTATTTGACATAGAGCTACTGTATGGAAAATGGATGAAATTGACCCGTTTATAGATGATATATCATGATATATCATAATATATGATGATGATTTATGGGAAAATATGGTCCGTTTATAGATGACTCTGATGATGATATATCATTATATTTGATGATTTAGCTCTTAAAATGGTGATTTGAATAATCATATAGTATTGCCTTTGGTCTACTATGTTTTTTCCAGGAATGTCAAGGGTCCCATTGACGGGGTATATCCGGTTTTCAATCTTTTAAGACATGCCCAACAAAATGTCAAAATATCATATTGTTGATTGTATATCCAGATTATATCCAGATTATTAATCCCCATATGTGTTGGTTAAATGAACATTGTGGTTTCTTAGAATCCATCAATTCCGCCATGACATCCATTTGAATGGAATCTTGGGGCACCACGTACTCGATGCCCAGGACATATGGGACATATCCTTGGGGGCTTCACTGGATCATGATGGTAATTCCAAGAAGGGACATGATGATAAAGCATGAAATTTGAGGCTACCCGGGTACCCCATGTTTGGACAAATCCTAATATTTGGATATATGAAAGGGGTTTCAGTCCAGATGAAGACAAGGTCTCCATGAAGGATAGTGACCATTAGAAATCTAGGACCTAGGATAACATCACACTGTTGCCCACTTCTCTTGTCGTTCTTGGACTTCTACTGCCAAATCCAAAGAATGCAACCAACCTTGCCTGACATCCTTTCTGCACAACAAAACACATGTGGCAGCTCGAAAATGCTACATGAACACGGTTGAAGACAACAAGCAAAACAACTCCCTCCATCCAAATTTGGTATATACACAGTTCAAGCCCTTTACCAGTTATAAACGGTTATCAATGGGGTGATCATTCCATGTTTATGGGCTTTTTTTCACTGAGAATTCCATGTATTTCGGAGCACAGAACAGTGAAGATCATCCGAGGTCAACACGATGAGCGCAGGGTACGTCAAACGACGTGAGCGGCGCGGGATCCCAAGTCGCTGGTCCGGGAACAGTGGTGACTGTGGTGGTTATATGTGGTTATATCATGCTATATTCCATTTAATGTCAACCCCGGATTAATAAACCATGGTTTATTAATTGGGGGGGGGTACTCCTCCAATAGTCATTATTTGATACTTAAATGGTACCCACCCAATTAAACAGCCTAGAGGTTTATTAATCCAGGGTTGAGATTATATTGGTTGAGAATTAGAGAATAGTGGTTGATGATGGGATCAATATGGAATATCTTCTGGTAACTGGGATGTTTTAAGTGGAACAGTGATGGTTTAATGGGATTTTACGCTAATGAATGGGGATTGAGCCAAGAAAAAATGAATATTCACACGATATGATATACTATCTGTTATAATTTAACATAGCTATGGGAAATGTTCCATTTATAGGTGATCTACCTATCAATTTTTTTTAAAAAAAACAACAAATATATATTCTATAGCTATGTTAATTTGAAAGATTTACCCAAAGGTAAGATTAATTTTCACTATGCATTTTACACGTCCTGCCATATCAATATATAGTTTCTAATTAGTTGGTAAGTGGGTGACTGATAAGATCAACCCCGGATGAATGATTTATTTACAGTAACATCTCTAGTTAATGAACCCTGGTTCGTAAATCATTCATATGGGGATGATATTGATAATATGATTGGGCTCATTCCGGATCAAATAGCATCAACCCGTGGCGGCGGCGAAGCTGCAAGTGGTTACAGGAGCGGAGGTCTTGAAAGTTGAGTCAGACCCCGGCCGCCGGTTGAGTAGGCTGGCGGTCAAGGCCTATATTTTATTTACGGAGCCCAGACACCATCACCAATGGTGACCCACTCCCAGATGCGAAGCATGGTGCTAAAATATCAACACCTACATTTACCTTTGGTAATTTAACATAACTATGGAAAATCAATGAAAATCACTATTTTTAATGGTAAAACTCACTATAAATGGCAATTTTCAATAGCTATGTTAGTTTACCAGAGGGTACCCTAAAAATTGCCCAGTTTTGTAGGTAAATATTCCAGCACCATGGTTCGCATCTGGGACTCTGATGTTCTCCCGTTTCTTTCGTGTCTACGATCGTCAGGAACATCGTTTTGTGGTTGATGTTGTGAGATCACCGAGCCCTGCCGCGCACGCTCCATGCGCGATGTCGGGAGATTCATAGGAAACTGCCAGGTTTTTACCTCCAAAGAGATCCTTTTATAGCTTATTTCGGTTATGTCATGATGGAATTTTTGGGCCATTTACGACGTAGGATGACTTACCTTGGTGATTTTCCCATCCCCTTCCGCCGGTGTCATGGGGCAATCCACACCAAAAGGGAATAGATATTATTACCCGGATGTATATACATGTATGTATACATGTAGTGTCATATAGCTGCTAAAACAACTGGCTATGTGGGTACATGACAATATCAACCACGGATGAATGGTGACCCCCTAGTTTGTTTATTGGGTGGTGGTCTAGTAAAACCTTTGGTGAATGAAGCCTGGTTCATTAATGATTCACATGGGGATGACATTAGTCAATACCAATCAGGGTCCAAAGTTCCATTGATACTGCTCAGTTCATCCTCATCTCAATGGAATCGTCAGGATGAACTGTAATCATCATATGATCTTGCCACATAGGTTTGAACTAAAAAATACCAACTAAACTCTATGTTACAGTACCTTTTGTTATCTTCGCGGGGAGGCTGAAGTTCCATAGAAGGCCATCTTCTCCAGTGAACAGGGTCCGAAGGTGGTGAAAAACCAGCGAAGATTGGAGATTTGACGCCCGACCCGGGGGCTTCGAAGTTACTTGAGTAGCTATGGCATAGGGGGATTTACAAGCAATAAGCCGAAAATGACACAAAAAACGGAATATCCCCAATAATACACAGAGATGATGATTTGTATGCGTTGGAGCATTTGGCATCATGGTTTTCCTTGTTCTACATAGACATAGGCAAATCCCCCCCAGAAATTGCTAGAAATATCATATTTTGATATATTTTGTATGTAGGTTGAGATGATTTTTTCGTGACTACCCAAAATTGGCTACCCATTTTATGGTGGTGTTTGGAAAATGTTGGCGCCAAAGTTGACGGCCTATCAGACCCATCATTGAGCCAAAAACTGGCCCAAAATTGAGCATATCTCCCGTTTTCTGAGAAACCAATTGACTAAAGTGCTAGGCGCAATACTAAACGTCCAGGTGGGCTTTTGACTGTGTGAAAATTGGCGACAGTTGATTGCTGGATTACACCAAAGAGGGAATGCCATTCTTATCCTCAGACTCACATGGCGTGATGATCCACAATCACACCAGCTATCTCATCCCAAATTTCCAGACGTTTGATGCTTTAATGACAGTTGTCATCGGTCAAACCATGTTAACTCCCTATTGTGAATTTATAAAAAATTATATATATATATATATAGAGTAAATTAGTATATACTAGTGTACATCCATGTAGTGCTAGTTAAATCATCATGGTTGCCAGCATTGCCTGCTTGAACCACCATGTTTGGTTGTTTCAACCACCATTTTTCATAGTGAAATCCCTAAAATCACAAAGTTTCGCTGGTGAACTGCACATTTTCCGAGTTGTCAAAGCACCATTTTTCGCCATTCAACCATAATCTTTGCGGGTTTTCACCAGCATTCTTAATGTTTTGTATATATATATATATAGCAATTAAACCTGTTTTTTCATGGTTAAAATGGTTAAATCGTTGCTGGTTTTCATCCCTATTTTGTATATATATTCTTAGTGTTTTAACTGTTAAACCACCATTTTGGCAGCTCAAACTCCCCACCTTTCTCGGGTTCTTCGAAGCTGAGGATGCCCGAGCTGATGGCCAACGCCTTCCAGAAGTTGGGCTTCGAACGGGTGACGACGGGTCGGGGGGTGATGAAATGGTGACCCTCTGGTCAACTCACCAAAAACTATGGAATATCACCATGTTTAATGGTTAAATCAACTAGAACTTTCTATGGCCATGGCCATGGCTTCGAAAGCAAACTGTTCTTTTACCAGAGGGTAAATCGTGATATATGGGTTATGCAACCAACTTCAACCAACCATAATCAGGAACAACCAATCAGCTTATGATGAATTGCCGATCATTACTTATGTGATGATCATTGGGGATACAACTAACATCAACTGACCATAATCAGGAAGAAAAATTACAAGCATGGGATATGATGGGGTTGATTTTACTTGTTTTTTTTTCAGGAGTGTCCCATTCCAATGGTCGGTTTGCAGTGAGATGAAGAAGTTTACGAAGCTGAACAAAGATTAGATTTTGCTTAGAATAGAAGGAATTATGGATGAGGTTGATTTTTGTTTCCATTAAATAAATATATATATACAATGTGAGGCCCCCCAGTTATAAGTTGGTTTATAAGCCCCAGTAACTATAGTTATAAATACCATAAACCATTGTTATTGGAGTTATAAACCAACTTAGCTATCTTGGGGGCCTCACATTGTATATATATATATATGATCGTTTGCGGAATGGGAGATTTAGGGATGGATCCAAACCTATTGTACCATTCTGGAGTTCCACATCTGTTTACCAGTTATATTGGTGTTCACCAGGCTACTAGGGTTTTGGCCCAGCGTATCCCACAACCACTTCTGGGATCTTTTGGGTGATTTCATGGAATGTGTAAGGTGATTTGTCAACATGGGGATATGTAAGCAGCAAACCATGAAATTCGCTTTTAACGGGAGTTTATATGAGTTAATTGGATATAGATTCAAGTAATGGGATATGTGCGTAATGGAATATATACTTATAAGATGGGCGTAGAGTATCATAATTTCTATGCAAATATGCATAATTACATATCAGTATGTGTTTATATAATTATATATATATAATATATATATACAGTTTATATACATATCACAGGGTTTCAACTATCCAGTGGTTTTTCTGAGCATTCCGGAGCATTCCGGAGCTATTCAGGCCTTCCATATCTCCGAGCTGGGCCTGGTCAGTTGTTTCCCTTTTTGGAATGATAACACCGTTTCAAAAAAAAACACCATACAAATACCCTCTGGTAAGCTAACATAGCCATGGAAAATGGCCTATTTATAGTGGATTTACCCATTAAAAATGGTGATTTTCCATAGTTATGTTAGTTTACCAGAGGGTAAATCATTTATAAGTCATACTGTAAGTCATTTATAAGCCATTTATAAGTCATGTGACAAACCATTCACTTGCCATTTCTGGTCTCATTTCTCAGCATTTTTTTAGTGCGTGCCACTGCCGCCTCCGTGGGGCGCCAGGCGATGCTTTTGTTCCGCAAATATGACCACGGCTTGGGTGCCTGGAAAGGAGGGAAAACCCATGGGATTTCCCATGGATATGACAGGTTGAATATCATCCCAGATTAGCTCAGCATGGTGCTGGATTTTTTTTAAACACCTACATTTAAAAATTGCCCAGTTTTGGTAGGTAAATAAATATAGCACCATGGTGAGCTAATCTGGGCATGGAATATTATACATGTTCTGATCGGAATGTAGAGATATGTAGAGAGGATTGATTGATAGTAATGGGTTTTAAGTTTGAACAAGTACGCCCCTGAATATGGATGACAATGGGATATAATCACTAGGTTGTATGAGGATGGACAACTATAGGTAATGGCGTTTATAATCTAACGTATAAATAGTGTTTGGGGGTGCACCTCAAAAAACTATGTAACTGTGGTTCACATGTTTCCAATGACTGTAGGTTTTGGTGCCTTTTTAACGCATATTTGTCCTTGGTGAGAAAAAACTCTGCTGAGTTGGGGATTCCCATTGGACCGATTTCTGCTGGTGGTTCTGCTGGTGGTACTCCATGGGTTTCCACAAAAAATGATCTAATGGGTGAATGTTCCATGGGGTTTTCCACATCTCAATTCATCAATCTATATATTCTTTGCGTTTTGGCTGCATATTTGTGAGTATCGTTGTGAAGATATGTTTGGCCGTTTCACTTCCGGATTGGTAGCCGCTGTAGCCATCTGTAGCCTGGGATCTTGAAGTGGTGGCCTCCATTTTTTCAGGAACACCTCCATAAATAGATAGATAATATAGATAATAGATATGTCCACTAGGGTTTTCTTCGGGCAGGTATTAAATATGAGGATCCATCGTGTACTATCCAATTGTGTCTCTATGATATCACCATATCTCCGCATTGTTGCTCGTAAAACCTCCCATATGTGTTTTGCCCAGACGCTCCCTGTATGGAATATTTGGGTAAATGTAGGTAAATATTCCAGCACCATGGAGCATCTGGGTTGTAAACTACCAAATGTTTTCCAATATTGGGATTAAGGAACGCCCTCAGCTAGCTTCTTCGTCGGTTCATCGAGAAAAAAGAGGTGCGTGCGATCACAACCTATACTGGTTGGTGGTTTGGAACATGAATGTTATTTTCCCATATATTGGGAATACTCATCCTAACTGACGAACTCCATCATTTTTCAGAGGGGTGGCTCAACCACCAACCAAGAGAATTTCATCAAGCTTTGGGACCGCTTGGACGTGGGTTCTGAAGCAATTAGGAGGTTATTCCAGGTATACCTCTTAGGTGCTGGAAGATTTTTTGGAGGTATTTTTTTGTTCAGTCTGGCTTCTTATGGCTTTTTGTGGCTTTTGTAGAGCTTTTCTAGCTTTTGTGGCTTTCTTGCTTCTTGGCTTCATTGGCTTTTGTACTCTTTTGTGGCTTTTGTGACTATATGAATTTTATAGCTTGTCCGAAGCCTCTGTGGCTTTTGTGGCTTTTGTGGCTTTTGTGGCTTTGGGATTCCTGGCTTTTGTGTCTTCTCAGTGGCTTTTGTTGCTTTTGGCTTCTTTTTTTTTGCTTCTTGGTATTATGCTGCAACCATTGTGTAGGCAAAGAGTATAACATCATTTTGAAGGAATAAAAGGACAACAACATTGTTTTCTAAGAAAGTTGTGGTTATTCTGGCTTTTGTGGTTTTTGTCCTATTGGCCGGAAAAACAATGATAAACCCGTCCACGGGGAATGATACATGAGTTTGTCTTAGAATTAAGTCCCACCAAAACGCCTCCAAAATGGCCATATGGCCTCTTTTTCTGGTTCAGTTTTTCCGATGTTCGGACAAACCCATCAGGCAATCCCCACCGCTTCGCTGTTCGCCGTGCTCAGGTCGAATGAGTGATTATGATGAGCTGTTGGATAAGGTACCGGCTGTGGGATGCTTTGGGGAAGGTGACTGCAATGACTAGAGATTGGGAAAAATTTTCCTGGATCTGCCTCTGACCTCTCAAGCTCAACCTATAGTTGGAGTCAATACGTTCAAGATCTCTTGGAATTTATCATATTTATCACTGTTCCATGCCTCTACCACACCTGGGATGACGACAAACGCGCACTTTTTTTGTTGATACACAGTCCCATTTTGGTATGGATCCTCTCATTTGTTGGCTGAATTTGCTTATACGTTACTTATGCAGCAACATGTGCATTTGCTTGTAAGAAATTATATGAGATTATCATATTATCATATATTATCTGTATCTAAGCACACGGGGTTATATCCTACTATATTGCTTTGTTTAATGATGTTCCTTATTTGGGGATATGACATTACTTCATGTTCAGACAAATTCATCTATTTTCAAGAATTGCCCTCCATTTTGTGGTTCACACGTGGCAATGGTTAAAACCCACTATATTCATAGATGATAAATATTGTTTTTTTCCGATTGCCACCCTTGATGAGTAGAGTGTTGGCCATTTATCAGATATACATTCTATAAATGGGGTTTTGTTAGTACTTATAGCTGCTATTTCCGGCCATAGCTGTATGTATTCTGACTTGGAGATATTACGAAACCTCTCATTTATGGTGATATATGGTGATGTTTACCACCCAAATTGGGATTGAACCCATCAAAATTTTCCCGTTGACATATGTTCACACCCAGATGCGAACCATGTATGGAATAGTTATAATACCTACATTTACCCTAAAATTTGCCCAGTTTTGTAGGTAAATAAATATAGCACCATGGTTTGAGCTAATCTGGGAGATCTTTTCCAACAGCAAAAAGCCCCGGTCACCGTGGACCGTGTCAGACGGTGCCCCCGTGGCACATCGGTCACGACACTTGCGGTCCACCGACGGCGCCACCCGTGCCGTTTGCACAAGTCATGGTGGCCCGGGAGCCCAGAGGGAATTTGGTGGCCGGGATGGCTTATGAAACCAAGAGAATATCGGGATGCCATCAGCAAAAGTGGGGATATCATGGGAACATCATGGGTTTATATATATATATATACCATGGGGTTCCAACGGGTGGCGCTATGATGCCAAAATCTAAGTTCTCTAAGGGTATGTCACCACGACACCCCTTAACTCAATCAAAACAAAACACTACGTTATAAGTATAACAAAGGTAATATATCACAAATTTGGTGGTTCCCATAGATTTTGGTGGTTCCCATAGATTCCCCATCAACCCAAACCCAGCCGCTCTCTCCACCGTGGCCACGTCGACGTGACTGGCGTTTTCACATCGGAGCTCACCAGGTGCCAAGTGGTTGGCTGGGAAAGGTAGTTGGTTGAGGGTCACCATGTTCAGCTGTTTCATTGGTGTTCCCATTTTTTGGAGGTAAATGTTCAACTATCATTCCATTCTCCTCAACCAACGGACGCATATGTAAGATGCGTATCTACTAAGAACATATTCGCCCATGTTTTGGGGGCTGCTGGCCATCGCTAATTTTTCAATTTTCCAACCGCGTCTTCGTCCATGTAGCAGCTGAGTTTGATGGGGTTGGTCTGGGGAGCAACATCGTAGACCAGATGGTCTAGCCTTAGATAGAAAATGATCATACAACAAAAGAAATCTGGACAAATCATATTTAACAGGTGAAGTGTTGTGAATCATCATGGCTACTTTGGAGCCAAGTAACTTGTGGTGTTTTGGACGGGATTTCCAAAGTAGTTTGTTTGCTTCCAAGGATTCCATCGCAAGCCCTTGGCTGTAACATAGAATATTTGAACAAACACTGCGAATGCACACATCAGTAACACATGTAAAGCACACACACACACGGCCAGTGAGTGTCAAGGGACAGTTGTGGGCTGAGTGGAACAAATAATTCGACTTCTCTAAAATCTCCAAATTGCATGGGGCCAGTTGCACATGGCCATTGCCACCATGGTCCATCACTTTGCGCATGGTCACAAGGTTGACAAAAACAGCAGCCCGCATCCTAAGCAGCTCAAAAACAAATGGGGAGGATTATCCGACTGACCGATAGAGAGAGAGAGAGAGAGATAGCCGACTAACTGGTATTATCAAAACAAACATGGCGTTGAGCCAAGTAGCTGTGCATGGGTATTGGCAGGATTTTCTGAAGCCACTTTCAGTGTGATCATCTCCAGCCACTGTGCCATAACAACAGCTTCCTCAGAGTCAACAACATGATGAGGAGACAAATCTTTGTTTCAGTGATTTCAACGAAGGCAAGCACACCTCAATTTGTTAGTCTAGAATCTGCTGCATTGAGTCGACCCCACTGGATCCAAAAGTTGCATTTTCTATGAAATGGGAAAACTAAAAAATCCTCGGGAAGTGCACTTTCCGACACGCGAATGACACGCAGACCCGGGGTGGGGGCACCCCCCGACACGCATTAAGGGGTGCCGTAGTGACACCCCTTAGGCTAAGGGGTGCCGTAGTGACACCCATGACCATACCCCCCGACATGCAATGACACGCGAATGACACGCACCAAAAACGCGTGTCAGATCAAAATCGTGGCCAGGCCCAGAAATCAAGAACATGGAAACACTGGAAACACTTTTCCTCAGGGCTGGCTTTAAGGTGAATTTTATCAATAGTGGTACTATATATAAACTAAAATTGAGTTCATTCTCCAAAAATTAGGCAAGCTTCTCTCTGGCAACCTTTTGTTTTTGTTTCGTAGCTTGAGATAGGAAGGTGACACCCTTGCGTTTGTTCTTCGCATGGTTTAACAGCACCTGGTGTCCTCGATGTGCCTCAGAATCACAACGATCCAACCTGGCAAAAAAAACAATTGATGGGAGTTAGCAGCCAAGTTGAATTATAAACTCATTAGGGAAAACAACATTAATAAAGACACTGGTCCCAAGTAACTTGCTGCATGACCCAGGTATCCAAGTCGTCATCGCTTCGACCAAAGCCTGTACTGTGTTATGAAAGAATATGATAAATTATATGTTGGAAATCCCACACAGCACAACATGGCACCAAACAAAACTAAGTTGAAGACGTAACTTTTTTTTGCGGATGATCTCGTACAGGCTTTGTCGAATCGAATTTTCCCGGGGTACTTTGGACAGGGAAGACTTGGTGAATGCAGCACGCAGCCATAAATTTCCAGATATTCTGATATCGCCACCTGGCCAGAATTCTCCAGTCTTGCGGATCCATTGTACACAATTGTCATCCATCCGATCCATCAAGGCTTTTGTGAAATACCTGATTGGTTGATTGGTAAAATACAGTTTCAGTAATATTCATCCCATATGTTTCAGGTAAGGACCCAACCCTAACTCCCACCCCCATAAAATATAGTGGTTCAAAGCGGTGACAAGCTTCACAGTCTCCCCATTGCTAGTCCGACGCTTGCGCTTCGGCATTGCTAGCACACCAAGGGGGTAGCAAAGATCCAGATTGGAAATTATCCTATGGCATCTATGGCTTTGGTAATGTTTATTCTTCAAACGGCATACCAATAGCTGCACAGCTCATTCTAGCGGATCTGTATTAGATGCCATCATACCACTTGTCATCATCAACATGAGCCGTTGCCAGGCTGCGGATGGAAGTGAGCGACATACTATGACAGCTTTGATGGCCCCAGATGGGAAACATGAGGTATGAAGATGAAATAGCCAAAAATGGGATGATAACAACCATGAAATCAAACGGGTGCCGTAGCGAAGCCCCTGCCTAAGGGGCGCCGTTTTGGCACCCATTGGCATGTGCTGGTATATATATATATGATATTGGATCATAATGGATTTATATATTTGATATTATATATAATTAGTTATATATATATATATACTATATTATATTATTTATATAGATTATAGTAAATGAAAGTGTACAAGTCAGGGTGGCTGGGGAGCCCGGAGCCAGATAGATATTTCGCTCGGTTTACCAAGAGTTATGTTTGATGATTTGATCGAGAATGACTGAGAAAATTAAACGAAACTAATGGATTTGAGGTGTCGAGCAGTTTTGACAACCCTGGTTGGTGGTTTCAAACATGACCGGATTATTTTCCATAATATATGTATGGGATGTCATCCTTCCCATTGACTTTCATATTTGTCAGAGGGGTGGCTCAACCACCAACCAGACATAGCAGTTTGACAGCAACGAACATGCGGCTGTCGAGCAAAACATGCAAATAAAAATTTTGTACCGTAAAGGTAGACAGAGGTGCATGGATACACAGCCCAAATACGGATGTTGTAACCTACAAAAGCCTGGATGTGGTGAGCATAAATTTGTGACAATATGTGTCTATGATTGTTGGTTTTACAATTCATGTCTTTTGCCATTTTGGGGGAGCATTTGACCTTCCACAGACTCAGAATATCTCAGAATAACATGTTTGCATGGTTTGACAGACAGATGATTAGCCATGAAGCTTTGAGTAAATCGAGATGGGAAAAAATCAAGATTGGTGGAATAATATTTACTCAATATTGATATATGATATATATATATAACCTTTACCGAAAGTTTTTTCGTACCAAATGGGATTTCACCCGCCAAACGGAAATGGTGGGATAAATTGGGAACATTTCCATAAGGGCGGGAAGCTTGTGGACACCCAATGGCCAGTATTAAAAAACATGTATGGTGACGCATGGGTAGAAAGCATCGACCCCAAAAAGTGACCCATGCAGTACTCATATACCCTCTGTAAACAAACATAGCTATTGAAAATGGCCATTTATAGAGAGTTTTCCCATTAAAAATTGTGATTTTCCATAGTTATGTTAGTTTACCAGAGGGTATATATATATATATATATATATAGAGTTTAGGAATCCCATCATAGTCCCAAATAGATAGTATATAGCAACAATATATCATGATAGTCACTAAAACAAATGAGTTAATCCAAACAATATACCTTGTATGAATATGTCCAAAAAGTCAAGCCCCTAATATTCCATCACTGGTCAACTCCTAGTTACCCTGCGAGAAACTAAGATAGCTCTTGCAAATGGTCATAGTTGGCTACATATGGTTGACTTCCATATAAAAAAATGCTGATTTTCCAATTGTCCATAGTTCTGTTAGTTTGCTATATGATATCCCCATGATATTCCCTATAAATCCTCATTCTTGATGATGAAATCCCATCAAATCACCGTAAAATCATCCAGAAGTTCCCAGTTCCACTGCAACGAGGTGATCTTAAGTAGCGCGGACCAACAGGGCAAGAGCTTCCGGAGTGTCTTGAGGTGGCCCGGCCACACAACGGCGTCTCGGGATCGGTTCAAGCACATCGGTGATGAAAAAGGTCTTACAGTAGGTCACCAGTTGAGTCAAAAAAGTGGCTGCTAATTGATGAATTTAACCATCAAACAATGTGCTGAATTCTGAATTGATGTTAGTGATGATTTTAATCAAGCAGCTGTGATTGAGCAGTGGAATTTTGCGGCGTGGGCAATCATATGTGATTTAGCAATCGAACATCGTGATTTAGCTATTTTTTGTTAAGCACCAAACACGGGGAGATGATTACGGGGGACTGATTTCAACGAAATGTAGGATCTAACTACCCGTATCTAACATTTAGCTAAGACCATCTATTCTCTGCAACCTGACCTGGCATTGGAGACCACCCAAAACTGCATGGTTTCCCTTTTCAAGTAGATCAATCTGGTGAATGGCTACGGTCTCCGGATTTTGAGACGCATGTGAACTGACGTCATTTAGTGGCAATCTAACCTATCAACGGGAAATCTCGTAATTATTTGATCCTGTTTGAACATTGTGTTTTGCAATGGTTCCATGAAGAGTTTGGAATTTGCCCCAACAGATTGGCAGTGCTCAGCATCTAAAGGCAGATTCCGAGGACATTACTGGCGGACCTTCCAATCCACGGTGGTTGTTGATTTGACTGGTTTGATATAGAGGGTTCTTAAAATGGGAGGTCACCCCCATAGGTTTCGATACTAAAATGGTCATCAATGGTCTAATTTTCGATGATTGGGGGGTACTTCCCATTTTAAAAGCAACTTCCATTTGACAATTGGGTCTAATGACCTGGTTGATTTGGGGTATCTCCATTTCAGAACCCACCCATATACTATGTGACATATGATTGTATGACTTTCATATTTTGCTTCTCCCGGTAAAGTTGATTGTCCTATTAATCTTCCCAGCTGCAGCTGTATGGTAATTACACTTGCCTCAGTATTTATATGATGATTGATGGAACCTCAGTATTTATATGATGGAACCTCTGAACAAGGGAGTTGAAACATGACTTGAATTCATTTGAATTCAAGGGAGATGAGAAGAGGTCAAGAAGAGGTCAGAAGAGGTTGAGAAGGGGCTGAGAAGAGCTTGAGAAGAGGTCGAGAAGTGGTCACAAGAGGTCGAGAAGAGGTTGAGAAGAAGTTGCATTGGGAAGAGCTTGAGAAGAGGTTGGGAAGAGGTTGGGAAGAGGTTGAGAAGAGGTTGGGAAGAGGTTGAGAAGGTTGACAAGAGGTTGAGAAGAATTGAGAAGAGCTGCGAAGAGCGGGTCGAGCAGAGTTGAAAAGTGGCCAGGAAAGGTGAGGATGAAGTCAAAAAAGATTTGAGAAGATTTGAGCCTTCTTTCCAGCTCCTACAAGCAAACTTGCCCTTCACACCTATGAGAAGAGTCTGAGAATAGGTCAAGAAGAAATGAGAGGGGGTGAGAGGGGGTGAGAGGAGGTGAGACACGGGTTGTTAGTTCCAATCGTTGCTGGGTAGATCCACATTGTTGTTGCTGAACCCCCGGCTCGCGTCGCCTAACCCTGACATTGAAAGTTACATTATATTTGTTGTTCGCTCATTAAACATGTTTGATTCTGTTTGATGACTACGTCATGTGAAATCACCATGTTTGAAGTTTGACTATAATAAAATCATGTTCAAACCTACTTTGGTTATTTAGACATATCTATGGGTAATCCCATTTTGATGACAAAGATGGTGATTTAAACATGATGGTTTTCCACTTCGCCATGTTAAACAACCAGAGGGGCTGAATCCAACAGGGGCTCCCGTGGATGGATGAACCGATTTTTACAACTCGGTGGTGTCGCTTGGCGATGACGTTGCAGGGAGGGGCACGGGGCTTAAGGGTTAAAGATGCTTGAAGACATTGGGAACATTGTGTTGTTTAAATATGGAGACAACTTGGAGATATTACAATGTGAGGCCCCCAAGATAGCTACGTTGGTTTATAACTCCAATAACTATGGTTTATGGTATTTATAACATTTTATAACTATAGTTACTGGGGCGAATCTAAACCAACTTATAACTGGGGGGCCTCACATTGTACGAAACATGTCATAAAAATGGTGATGTTGGCTGATTGTTACCCCCAAATTGGGATTGAAACCAAACAAAATTAAGGATGCACTGATGATTACTGTTTTCAACCAAGAAAAAAAAGGGGTCAACGGTTACCCCTGTTTTTTGTGGATAATATCGGGCTTCTATGGATTTTGCTGTGACAGGCCTGAACAGTTCCAACTGGTTTATAACCCGGGCCCATTTAATCTTAGTTGCAGGAGCGCAAGAGTTATTATCCCATTTAAGACTCTAAGGCGCCACAACTTTGACCAACACGAAAGGGAATTTTAACGAACAATTTATAGGGATGAACACATATATTTGGCATTTGGATAGATTTTACAGCAACTTTGGAACGACATGAATGCAATTGAATGATACACTATATCCCAAAATTAGTTTCAATGATAGTTATCTTCTTTCAGGTGTGATTGTAGTTTCCCCAAGTAAACGGTTTGTAATTGATCAATTTCTGGGTTTCGGTGTCAATAATTTACGGATTGCACGGGTAATATTAGAAATCAATAGAAACAGGAGAGTTGGCTAATAGAAACCAGCCATTGTGGTGGAGCCGTGCCAACTTCAGAAATGGAAAAAAATCTGGGAACATGATCTGGTTTGGTCTATGGTTTGGTCTGCCTGAACATGGGGGATACCCCCACCCCATCGCTGAGTTGCGTATGCTGCAGAGAACTACTTCCCTATAGAATCATGGCTGACCCCCAAAACCAAATAGCCCCTGAAATAGAGAAATTATGGTAGGGTTTGTAGCAATGGATAGGTGGCATTGGCACCTGACATGTTTCTTCCGTTCGCTCCGTGGGATACAATCGAACCCGAGAGCTGGTCAAGTCCGTTTGAAACATCCCACCGACCAGATTGTGATTGGTGCAGCGCTCCCATTCAAGGACATTTGATATGATGATGAAGACAAGGCCAAAAGATTGCTGACACTGTTGGTGGCAACACGATTTGTGTCGTCCATTGTCCACGCAAGAGAATCGCAGTTTTCACTCGGTTCGACTTCGTCAAGAAGAAGGGTACTGCAACCAGCAATGGCACGAGATACACAGCCAGCCCCACTAGAGATTGTCAAATGTTGCAACAAAATCTGAAAACAAATCTCGGTATCATTAAATCCAATCTTGATTGGCACAAATTAATTGCGATCTTTGTGCCTTCAAAAGCCTCGTCACGCATGGTAAGTCCACGACTTTCAAGAGTAAAAAAACATATGTCAACGTTAAACCCTTGAATATTTACGTATACGTATCTACGTACGCCTGAATTCAGATATGTATCCCAGATGCTCCATGTATGGAATATTTACCTACATTTGGGCAATTTTTTGGGTAAATGTAGGTAACTATCCCAGCACCATGGAGCATCTGGGTATCATTATGTATTGTATGATACGATAATAGTCACTCGCGATTTTCCAGCCGTTTTTTCCAGCCGTTTTTTTCCAGGACATGATCCAACTGTCGTCTCCAACAGGTTGGCTCTTTGCGCTGGACTTTCGCCGTATATCCCCGAAGCGATCAGGCCCGCGACCAGGGTTTTACCTTGCCTTGGATTCCTCAACTGCGTTTGTAGCCTTAGAAATGGTGTTTTACTACCATAAACCAATAATAAACCATAGTACGTTTTCTAAATTTGCATTTTTTGGGTGGGTATTTGGAGGGTCGAGGTTGATCCCCATCCGGAAGTGCTAAATCATAGTCGTTCTCATGTGATCCCTCCCAGTGCCACGGGGATGTCCTTCATTTGTAGCTCGGAATAGGGAAGAATGCTTGACTAAAACACCTACGTGCCTGCATGCATACATACACACATACACACATAGACGCACACACACACATACACACATAGGCAGATACACACATAGGCACATCACACACTTGCATGGATGCATACATATTACATGTCTGGATGTGTTAGTGACCTCAAACAAGCAACGTAAACCACCATAAAAGATGTGAGGGGCACCAAAGTGGCCTGAAATCCAGTTGTCGCTACCCTCCATGGTCCCCAGCCCCTCCAATCGCATCCCGGATCTGCAGGGAACGTTGCATGTGGATTTGGAGGAGGAGAACGACCTCCATAAGGTCACGTGGGTTGGGCTGAATGGTGGTGATGGGTTTTTCACGTCAGCCTGGCGGGTTAATATCCATCAGTAGGTCATTTAACGATGTTTTCTTGGGGGTTTAACCATCAACCGTTTGCGGACATGGTAGATAAATTTTGCTACTATTATATTGAACGATCCAGTTCAGAGTAAGTACTTACTCTCAGCCATGTGAACGGGCACAGTCTCACTGACTTGTGAGTGCCGTTTGTACGCTCTGTGGCTTGCATTGAATCGGAGCCTGCCTTCTGGTGCAGAATGGGGGACTGCAATACTTCGGAATCATGGCGGGACTTGGTGCCCGTGGGAATTAGCTCAAGGCCGACATGTACGAATTACGAAACAATGGAGAAAGTCACAGGATAGGAATATTTCACAAGACTGCAGCAGGCCGCATGGCTGGGAATCTAAAACGAAAACCAGATCAATAACAATGGGCAACTTGGCACAACCCCCCTCCCCCGTCTCTGCGTGAGACCTGGATACTTTATGATACTTGCGTATAGCTGGCTGCACCGTTGCTCTTTTGCCCCGGTGGGCTCATGGATACTGAATGCATAGCACCCCCTCCCTTCTCCTTCCCGTTCTTTTTCCTTCCTCCTCTTTTGCCGCACCCACAGGAGTGTGTTTGTCCATTCCCTTTGCTGTCCTGCTTCAGTTGCCTGTTCTGCTTTGCGCTGTTTGCTCTTCTGGGTGCCAGGGTTGGGCTCCTGTGTGCTTTCTCCTCCCCCCATCCTCGCTTTTCCTTCCTTTGTTTTGCCTGCTGGTTTGCATTGGTTGTTTTTCCTCTTGTTTCCCCCTTGGTGGTTGTGGCTGGCTGTCCTTGTTCCCTCCCTCCTTCCCTTCTCTTCCCTTCCCCTGACTGTGTGTGTGCGAAACCCCAAACAAAACCCGGCATCTTAGCTCGGATTCGGCTTATCCTGACCAATGTTTGGCCTCCTTAAGGGCCTTCGTCGCTACAGATTGATTCAAGAGATTTCCTTGAAATTCTCGTCCGATCGGATAGAAACAAGTTGAACTGTGACACTAGAGAACGGATTGCAAAATTGATTCATTCACATCTTCCTCGCTTCGAAGTTTCCGAGATTCTTGAATTTTGTCATGATGCACTGTGACCAAGAGAAAATACAGGTGCACATATCAGACTTTTGCCCTTATAAGGCTTTGTGTGTGCGTGAAACCCGCTAAGTGTCAGTCATGCGAGCACGAATTTCTAAATCAAAACAAATCAAAACCAATGACTACGTTGACATATTCAGCAGGGGCGTGCGAGCACCTTTAGCATACTGCACGCAAAGAAGCTACTGCCACTGGTGGGAAAGGGAGGCTCATCACCTCTCTGTACCTGCATGATTTCAATTTGATTTGTTGAACAATGTTGAACAAGTTGTCCAATTCCGTGTTTCTGCATCATTTCATTTCAGTTTCTGCCATGTCAAGACGTCCACCTAGGAGACATTAAGGCGTCGACATTGCCACTGGTATCAAGATCCAGCGCAGAGTGAATAATTACTCTCAGCAATGTGTGTGTGTGTGTCTGACAAGGGTGCCCTACTGTACGGCAATTTTACCAAGTTTTTTCCACTAGACAAAAAATGGGTTTGCATGTCGGGTGGCAAAGAGGAAAAGGCGTTCTATAAATCTCGAAATCATCTTTCCAAATAATCTTCCCGGCGGTCTTTTCAATGGAAAAGTGATGACATTTGGGAACCTTCGCAGGACGAAAGTCGCACGACAAGCCTTACGGTAACATGTTTTTTTGGTGTTGACAGGTTTAATCATTGATATCAAGTGTCTATTGTTTGGCCATCAAATGGGGGGTTGGACTCATGGATATATCTTGACAAAATGCTAGGTCCTCTAAGTAAAAAAATGGGATGTGACTAGCAGTGACTGAATGAACTTTTAGCTAAATATAGATTTGCCAGAAGAATTTGCCACCGAAAAAGGCTGTTAGTGACGTTAGTTATAGAAATAGAAGCCTAACATGTATTGAATCAACTAACATTGTACGTTGCCGAGGCTAACATTGAATCAACTAAATAGAACACAAGGATGTACAGTTTATGTTAGTTGTATAAAAATGCTCAAAAGCTCTCAATATGATATTGTAGAGTGCATTAGAGTGCCATGATCAGAATTCGTTTTTTTTTGGGGGGGGCAGGAGGAGAGGGTTTTTGGCTCCCGATTGTTTTCACATCACATGGGGTCAGGGGCAGTCAACTACATGTGATCAAGTGGAGATGTGTTGCTTTGTTGGAATTTGGTGGGGCTTCCAGCATTTTCTGAACACTCGTGTCATATCTAGCTACTGTAACTGTTTCTGCTGTTCTTGGTTTTTCTCTTGATGTTTGCTGGATTCATCAGTTGAACACCGATCTTCGGATATTAGTGATTGAATTTCCGTAAGCTATGGATGGTCGAAGCAGATTAACTACTTGCTGATGGAACATCATCATTACTAATGGCTCTAAATCATTGAATGTGCATAAACTATATGGATGGTTTCGGATCCCATGAGTGAGTCCTAACACCCATCGTTGCATCAGGATATGCTGATTTTGCCTGCCTCAGACAGGACGCGGTGTGGATGGGATTTGTAACGCTTGGAGCTGAGAATTCCAAGATTTGAGATGAGTTTTCTCGGAAAGTGGAGGTTCCCACTACCCAGGGCATGTATGTTCATTAATTGTAATTTCACCTCACGGACATGTAGCATGGAGCCGGAATGCCACCTTGGGGTATCATCAGTTTCAGCAGGGACGTGTCCATTACGAGGATAGATTCCCGGGTCTTGATCAAGCCTCAAGTAGGTATCCTTCGCAAAATAATCTAAGATTAGACAAAAACGCACTGCATATGCGAAGCCGTGTGATATGTACAATGTACATTGCTGGTTGCCCCAAGTTGCCTGCATCGAGAGGGTTTCAGTATGATTTGACCTCAGTATGGTTTGGCCCTTTCAGATTTAGAATTCCTTACTCAATGTTGATTTGCCAAACCGCACCAACTTCTGCGTCTGATAGTTTACTCTCTGCACAGCTAACGTGGAAGTCGTTCGTTGTTCAGCTTCCAGGTTAGTCATGTCTCGGGGATAGATGAGCCAGGTCACACCTGGCTAACCAGGAAGCAAGAAACATTCTTTTTTGCAACTTCATGGTTAGCCAACCCAACCTGGGTGAACACTTCCTCGTTGTGTAGACCCGGAACCATACCATCGATTTCGATCAGCCCGTAGGTTCTTGGTTAGCTAGACCCGCAACTAAACCATTGATTTCAAACAATCACAGGTAGGTGCCTGGTTAGCTTGCCCAGGAAAGTGCATAAGCAATTACAAATAAGCCAGACATGCTTACTGGGGTTGCCTGTGGTCAATGGGATAACCCAAAGCCTATGATTCCATCTTTTGGTTGATGAGCATGTATTTGCCAGACATTTTAATGTGAACTACAGTACGGGTTTTGATCCATAACCATACTTTGGAATCTCCTCATCGTTAGGGATTTTTTAACGTAAGTCATAATTGTGTAAGTAGGTTTTTTATATAGTATACAACTGGCTATCTTTATCTGAAGTTGGCTATGTTTTTTTGAAGACTTATAAGTGGCTTAGGAGGTTACAACTTAGTTAGCTACAAAAGTAGTCGAACTTAGCAGGAAGTTAGGAAGTTAACTTCTTGTTACGGTTTTTACTATCTTGTTTGTAAAATGTTTATTTGATATATTTTGGGTGGTTGGAGTTTAACAATTGACCGTCTTTCAAGTGGAGAAGCCACAGGTGGTCTTGGAACACCTGGAAGCTCTGACGCTGGTTTCGAGGCAGCTTCCTGAGGCCACCTGGATTCATACTGCCAAGACTAAGACTGAAAGTCTGGACTGTGCAAAGTGGCAGAATCTGCTCGGAAGCACCAGAAAGGACTGACCAAAATCTCTGAACTGAATTGTTCGCGATTTGTTCGCGTTTGTCCGCGTTTGTCTATGTTTCTGGACGCGTGATGATTATGTCCGCTGAAAAAAACTTGTCCGCGGTGCTGAAAGGGATTGGTTTCACCAGGGATTTGTCCGCGCAGATGTTTGCGTTAAATGGAGACTAGCATCTTTAGCATGCAATTATCCAGGGTTTCGGACTCGTCGCGCGTTGCTCTCACGGTGGCAGATCCAAAAACATTGAATAAAATCGTGCGAGTCATGTGCTATATAGGATCGAAGATGACAACATGCTGTCGCTTCTGCGCTGAAAAAGTGCTCAGCAGGCTGTTTTCATGCCAATCTCATTTTTCGGGAAAAACCAAAAATGTTAGGAATTTAGGAGCTAGGTCTTAAGATAAAATTAGTTTGAAATTATGCAATTTCATCTTAACCCTATAGTTATAACCTATTAACTTCGAAGAGAATCCAGAGTATTTTGGATGAATCACCCGTAATCAACCCTCTTTAAGGTGACTTGCACAGACCTTCGGGACATATTTTTGGTCCTTCCACCCCAAATGACTTAAGGGAATCCTGTCATCGACCGACCCTCTGAAGAAGTGTTTTTTTCGCATATGCTCCGTGGCTCTTTTGGATGTTTCTTAGATCCTCTATTGGGGATGGTTTATTATTACTGTTTTCTCACTGATATCCAATTTTTTCCCACGATTTTCCCATTAGTAGCCTTTTAGTATCTTTCTAATGGGGGCAACCCAATAATGAACCTACCATCTGGAAATTGTTCATAAAAACCCATTTATGATGATTCTGGGATTTTTTTTTTGAGTTTACCACATTGTATCCTTCATTTTCAGTGGTTAACTAGCCTCCTATTTTCCAAGGGCGCAAACCTTTGCCCTTGCAGGACCTCTAGAACTGCTGGACCGACGACGGATCACTTGCTCCAGGTGCAGCGAAAACGTTCACCAGGTGAATTCCCCATCCAAGTGGTTAATGGATCAACCAATAAAAAATAAACATGGCAGCAACCCCAAATTCCATGATATTCTATATATGTTTTGTTATCGAACATATTATCGTCAGTTGAGCAGTGTTCAAAACTCCTGTTGATGATTAGTCCACGGGTTACACTAGCCCTTTAACATCCTGTAAATACTATTAAAAAAATAAACTATATCCATCGGGGATTGTCATCATCCACTGTGAGAAACCTTTTTAACCAATCCTGAATCATGGAATGACAGATGGTCTTGAACAATGTTCAATTGGGTTTGTCCAAAAAATCCACTATCCAAAACGTGATCAAATTTGATGGCAGTACGTCATCATTTTTTATTTTGATTTTAACTTAAATTAAATTATCATTTTGGGATACTCCTTTTTTGGGATATTTTTGGACACATACCCAACTATCCCTTCAACTTTTGGCTTTGGGTTCGGGTCAAACCCTAGGATTATAGGCCTTGTTGCGAGCGTTCTGAGAGTGAAGGAGAAGTACAGCATGATCAAAAGTACGTTTCAATGTCTAGTTTTTGTTGGATGCTTGACGCGGAAATCCCCGAAGAAGCGGGCCATTTGGTGTATTTCTAAGCCCGCAAATTACTCCAAGTTACCCTCCGATGTCATCGAACGTGGTTTGCTGGAAAATGTTCATCAAGAATGGAGGTTTATACTGGGAAAATCATCTAAGTAAAGAAGGAATTTCCCAGCACGCCACGTTTACCTGAAGATATGAATCCCAATCCCAGAAACTTCACTGAAGCCCCCATAAGTTTCAATTAAAACAACTCCATGATTTAATGATTGAAGTTTGTTTTAACAAACCTTAGAGATTTAATTCCCGTGTTGATGATTCCCATGCACATTTGGATGGTAAAAGATTCTTGAACTCCCATTGAAACTTTGTCAAATAATATTCAGTTTTTTCTCGATCAATGCCACTCAGCACCCTTTACCACTTATTTTTATAAATGGCTGTATCATTTCATAAATGGGGTGACTTACTGACGTACAACTGGCATTTCTGGCCAAAACTGCAGAGGTCTTTGCTCTGTTGCGAGACTTTCAGTTCCGCTTCCTTGCCATATGCAGGTGGGCTGAGACATGGATGAACTTGGGGCCCTTTTCATGGGAGAACGGATGATACAGTGTAATGTTGGGATGCGCATGATACCTGGTTGGTGGTTTGAATCATTTTTGGATTGTTCCATTTCATATATGGGATGTCATCCTTCCCATTGACGAACTCATATTTGTCAAAATTGTTTTTTAACCACCAACCAGTTATATAACACGTCACTGTTGGTTGGACATTTACTTACCCCTGTTGGTTGCATGTCATATAACCAATTTTTCGGACATGTCATGTCACTGTCTTGGATTTTCAAACATCATCGATGAATGGGTTGGAGCTGTTGGAAGAAATACACCCCTGGTTGGGTGTTGAAACTTTGGAGCCACTCGACAATTGCTAGCAACTTTGGACATGACCGTAAGTCAAAAGCCACGGATCACTCAAAGATGTTGTGTAAATGTAGTTAGAGGCATTGAATACGAATGAGCTTAGCCATGTCCAGCAGTAGTGACGAACAAACTAGAGTTCCAGTTGTGTGTATTCACACTGGTGTTACTCAGATCAGCAGCTTGTAGGTGATATAAAACCTCTGTACCCCGATATTGCATATATTATATTTTTTGGGGTGTTAAACCTCCCAAATCACCTAAGTTGGCTTTTGTTGTTTCTACAATCCAATCAATGGCTGCTTTTTCTATTTGGTGTTTAATATATTATTGGGAAATTATCCCAAGATGTTTCGTGGTCCGCTGGTCAAACACTGGGCTCCAGGCAAGATGTCTTTGTGAGTTTCCAGCACTTCATGGACACCTTGCAGCTCCTTGAGCCTCCTGCGGGAAAGGCCGGCGATGAGAAATGGAGGATTTTAATCGGGATGTAGTTGGGATAGAACATGTGATTTTTTTGACGAACAAGGATACAACATGTAGTTTATCGTTTATTTATGAGGAGATAATGGAATTGAACTAACAAGGTTATATTTCTAAGAACTCATTGAAATTCAATGTGGTTTGATGAGGATTCAGTCAGTATTTCTTTGGGAATGAAATTAGTCTGCCTATCAGGAGATAATGGATTTTTACCAACAATATGATATCTTCAGAGTTCATATTGTTGGTACAAGTCCATTATTGTTGTTCAAAGATATCATTCTAGATAATATCTTCAGATTTCAGGATATTTGTCATTTAATGTTGTCTGTTATTTTTTTTGTTCATTTGAAAAAATGTCGATGATTTACCCACGAATTTTCATGAATTTTGTAAGGCGCTGTCCAGAAATAGAGCATCTACCCCCAACACCCCCAACATTGGGTTTAAAACCAAACAAACGTTATCAGATGAGGAGATAGTGGGATATATGAGCAACGATATTTTCTGTGCGCCGGCCCGGCGTACAATGGTGATCCACCCAAGACATGGACATGTTGAAACAGTATGTGGTAGTTTTAAAACACACATATATACAATTATATACATATATATTATATTATATTTTATTATATTCTATTATATTATATTATATTATATATTCATTATATTATATTATATTATATTATATATATATATTTGGTTCTACCACATTGTACCAAAATATTGAAAGCAACATATGGGTTTTGATCAAACTTGGAAAAAGGCCCCGCAGACTTTGCAATTTTAGAGTACGGTGGTGCATTTCCCCTTCCAACCGCTGACGCGTATTTACCTGCTTACATGCATGTTTTTTCCGTGGGAAATGTTGGTAAATGCATTGTACCACATATCAGATTAGTCGGATTAATTACCGATTGAGTGCATCTGTGGGGCACGCCTTGTGACTGGAGAGTAGGTAATTGGGGGGAGTGAAAGTATGAGTCTTTTCATCATGAGGGGAAGCTGCTGTCGGCCAATCCGAACGCAGAAACCTGCCAGATGACTTCCGACGGAAGACGGAAGATGCTTCTTGTAACCTTTGGAGACTTCACACACTACTAGGCTCATGTGCTTGGTTTATTCTTATCAACAACCATGTGTTTTCTGGGCGGGTCATGTTCTTGGTGAAACGGTGTATGTTCAATATGTTCAAGAAAATCCCCTAGGTCTAACGGCTGAAACAGCAAAAATCGGCTGCAGCATAATTCCTTGATATTCAATTGAGCAGCGTCGAACACCTGACCTCTAAGTAAGCATTTTATAAAAAAGTTAAACTAGCTTACTTCCGCGAAAGTAAACATCTCATGCGCGAAAGCTGCGCGAAAGCACCCGTGAAAGAGGGGTTAAAAGTTCTAACGGCGAAAGCTCCGCGAAAGCCACGTGGGATTAGAACAAATTTGCAAAAGGGTTTTCAACACCGCTCAGTTGTTTATTGTCGAATGTATCAAATCTTAAGTTATATATACGTATATTAGTAGTAATAATAATGATATTAGATATAATACATATGTTGTATTTTCACTTTATAGTTTTAATAGTTATACCATGTTATACCCTTAAAGTGGTCATATCTTGGGGATGTCGCCTCGTGAGGTGCTGGGCGAATGGATTTCGACAGAAAACAGCTGGAGGCGGCTTTTTAAAACTTAGGATGTCACCATGGTTTCCCGGGGTTAGACCTGGGTTTCAGCCATGAAAAGTTGGTTGTTTATGTGTATTTTATTTGGATCCATGCTTGGGAAAGTCCTTGGGATGATTGGTCGAGATGACTTCGATCTTTGGGATGGGTTAAAGCTACTAACCATAATTCCTTTTTTGGGGTGAACCTGTATCCAGATCAACAATTCCTTGTTTGGGGTGAACCTGGGTCCAGATAGAGGTTGGTAGTTTGGTCCGGCTGTGGGGAGTTGGTTGATGTCACCCAGATAGACGTTTGGTCCGGCTGTGCTTCCCTTAAAGGATCATGTTCAAATGGAACATGCATCACCACCCCTGTTATAGACTGCGTTAAAACGGATGCTGAAGTAACCCGTTTTCAAAAGTATTCTGGAGCCTCTTGGCCTCTTGGTTCAGTCATCTTACACAGTTCCCATCCCGGCCCCAAAAAATGAACAGATCCAATACCAAACCAGGGTTTCGAAGGTGGTGTTTGATATTGGGAAGGGATTTTAATCGCCGCATGCGCAAGTATCGTCATCATTGTTACAGGTGTTCCTGCTGCATTATTTTGGGTTATATGACGATGACTTGGTTCTTTTGGATTCTTTCAGTGTCCATTGGTTTGTCTGAAAAATGGGTCTCCCAAATCCACGTTCCCATATGTTTGATGGCTTTTAACTGGGCTTAGAAGCCAATGAGAAGAATGAAGTTGATTGCTAGTGAACTCATGTGAACACCCAATCTACGTAAGTCCCCATGTATTGCCAGTGATATCATCATTTATTGCTGCTGGTTGGTTCCCAACGTGTCCCCTATTGTTGTTGCTTCCGCTCTTCATTGGTTCTTTGGAGCTGTGTGGCCAAAAGTTTCCGGCTCAGCAGCAACGAAAATCGCACGGACAGAGCTGACATGGTCGCCATTTGGAGGTCTGAGATGGGGCGGGACGACCGCTTCCGAGTGGGGTGTTGGGAGTCGCCCTCATACTGGGGTGTTGGGTACATGAAGCAGTGGGTCGCTTTAATACAAATATACCTTTACTCCTGCAAACTTAACATAGTTGTGGAGAATCTACTGTTTGTAGATTATTTTTCTATAGAAAATCCTTGTAACCATCGGAATACCCTTTGGTATGGTAATTTAACATAGCTATGAAAAAGCATACTGTTTAATGGGTAGCTGCTCTATAAATGGCAACTTTCCATAGTTTTGTTCAGTTACCCCAGGGTGTGGAAATAATATAACTCGGGTATTCACATGCATGCGGACATCTACTTTCAAGTAAGAACCAAACTTCACTGGGCGTCGGGCTTCGGTGTAATTTCTAACGGGCCTTGGAAATCGCTATGTTCTATATGCGTTCCATCTTCGTCTACAAGAGGATATACAATTAAAAAAACCGGGAGTCTAGAGTGTGATTTGACTATAATCCCTTCCCCCTAATACTAACCCCCCCTTCTCCAAATAATAAACGCCTCCGGAATTATTTAGCCTCTGGAAGCTTTTTTTTGGGGTAGTTCACCCCAGTGAACTCAATAGAGCGGGGGGGCAATGTCCAGTGGGGCTGAAAACGAAGTTCAATAAACACGATTTCGGTGAAGCACGGGTTTCTGGCAGTTTCGGATTCTAAACGACTATATATATATATACATATATATATACATATATATATATATTGATATACATATATATATATACATATATACATATATACATATATATATACATATATATATACATATATATACATATATATATACATATAATATATATATATATATACATACATACATATATATATATATATATACATACATATATATATATATACATACATACATATACGTATGTATATATATATATTATATATATACATGTATTTTTATTTATGTCCATGGTTACAAAGCAGAAACGATAGTGATACTATTGGCAAAAGGATCAACAGGTTGGCAGGTTTGGGATCCACAATTTCAACGCATATGCAGCATATGAATCTGATTGTATGTCACTTATAGATATCCTATCATATCCTTGTGTATTGGTTGTCGCTTCGACATTTAGGATGGTCCGTGCGGCGAATCCTAGTAATATGATTTAAAATTTAAAGGAACTTTACATATAATCGACCATATAGATGTGGTTTTACATACTTAATCATAATGATTTTGCATATTTACGTAATGAGTATATATTTGTAAGCAGACATATACTGTACATTGAGTGAATTAGCGATTGATCCAGACTGATTTCCTCAGGTTCTATGTTGCCTTGCTGCTGCCGGCTGCCGCTCAACCTGCCTGGCCGGATCCAGTCCCACTCGTTCGACCAGTTCTGTGGCAGCATCGGTGTGGAAGTGAGCACAGGTGTGAGCCAAGTAGTAGAAAAGTGGGGTTACTAACCTACCAAAATGCTTGTTTTATGGGATTTAATGGCTGGTTGGTGGTGACTGGAACATTCGAATTTTGTGGGGTTATTGAGCACCGTTAACCTGGCTTATTGATGGCTGGTGCTTTGGAACATGGTTAATGATTATGACTTTCCAGAAACAGTTGGTGCTTGTCTCAACCAGCAACCAGATGGTTCGGACGGGCATTTCTTGGGATCCGTGACGGATTGTGTCCAAAACAAGCCATGGGAAAACTAGGATTACTAGAGATATTCCATGTGTATATTCCTGTATATATATATATATTCATATATATATATTATATTCATATATATATATATATATTATATATTCATATATATATATATTATATATTATATTCATATATATATATATACATATATACACACAACTGGTTTGCTTTCTGACTTATGTCTTAGTTGATGCAGCTCAGTACAATGCAGAATTCACTGCGAAACATGAGTGGCTCAACCAACAACAATTTGTGTAGCCACCAAGAGGCGAATATAATCACATATGGTGGTAAGTTGATGGTCGTGTTTGGGTACATAAGCCTTCGAAGCAAAAAACTACCTTGTATAAACCGAAAGTGATGATGTCAGCCTTGAATGATGGTTGTTTGTATGATGGAATAATCATGTTATTTTCCTGGCTCTCGGAGGCATTGAATCCACGAAATTGGGAACTGTCACTCGTTAGAGGGGCTCCCCCTCCTTCGTCATAGACCCTGTTTTTTTGGAGTTACACCGAACGTACAAGGGCATGATAGAAGGCGAACGGGGGACTGTTCACTTTCCAGGGTAGCCAGTTCAAGCTTGTAGTTATGGTTATGGTTGTGGTTATGGTATGATATGTGTGCATATGTTTGATTCCTTTTCACAAATATTCCAACTTGTTTTGGCTGAGTTGACAGATCTAAACCTCATATGGCCATGGATCAATACCAACAAAAACATTTGTTAGGGGGATGAACATGCATAAATCCCAGTTCTTTTCATGTATTTATCAGGGGTACCAGATGGTGGCTTGACTTATCTCCATATGCGCAAACCCTAGGCCCTAGGCACCCTAAAATAGTTGGTGAATGGATGGTTATTCACCGATGAATAGGTGACTTGACTCCTTGACCCATCCCCTTAAGTTCAACCTTTCCCGTTCCAACGTTTCCTTCCAAGGCTAAACCACCTGGCAACGCGGGGCCCAACGCGGGGCCACGATCAAATCCGCCACAAAACAGTACGCATGATGAATGCGATGGTCCTTTGATGGAGACTTGGTTTGAAAGGAGATGGATTTGGTGGTTTAATGGTGATTTAATGCTTGGGGAAGGGGAAGATGTTATGACTTAAATATGGTGATTTAATGGGATAGCAATGGAATCTATGTCAATGGATGAATTTAATGTGGTAAGCCCTGGCTGACACAAACAAACTGCTATTTGCGGATGATATTTGCCACCCATTCATGGCAATATTGGGGATGGTTTATCCTTGGTTTTACCACATGAGTGACATTGGAATACTACTATAAAAGCAAGTCCAGAAGAACCTGGGGGTATAGATGATATGTTTTTATATCATCAGAGGGCCATAGGGTTAGCAGTGCCTGAATAGTTTCATAAGTTACCCTCTGGTAAACTATATAACACAGTTACCATTTTTAATGGGTAAATCAACTATGTCTATGGCCATTTTCAATAGCTATGTTAGTCATTGCCAGAGGGTTATTGCTTCGCGATCATCAAAAAAGGTGGACGGACATCCCGGGGGTTCCATGGCTGGGAGTAGCCAAAAGTTGATTGGTTATCAGGAGTTATACCATGCCGGCTATCAGGGATTACCATAAACCATTAATTGGGAAATGGTTTTCAATACGGGGTGGGTGGTAATTTTTATATGGCTCATGTTGCTTTATGTTAAGCCCTGCACTCCGCATTGCAGGGATCCTTTTTGAGGGGTTATAATTTATATAGGTCTGTTCCTTGCTCGAGTCGAGGGAAATCTCATGGATTTTCATTCCACTGGAAGTGGCTCTGTACATCAGTTGGTTTGGAAGTAGTTTAATTGGGGATTATGATGGATGGTGATGCATGCGTACATATATATATAATGTATGTATGTAATAAAACGTAATGTAATGTAATATATTATTGTAATATACTAATGTAATACATTAATGTAATGTATTAATGTAATATATGAATGTAATGTATAAATGTATGTATGTAATGTATGTATGTAATGTATGCAATGTCTGTAATGTAATGTAATGTAATGCAATGCAATGCAATGCAATGCAATGCAATGTAATGTAATGTAATGTATGTAGTTGGCCAGTTGGATTCGCTTTTCACATTGTGTTTGATGCTAGTGCCCTTTCCTGTACCTCTATTAGTAGTTGATATTTGGAGTGTTCATGTTGGAGATATCGACGACTATAAGTTTGCATTGACGTTTTGTCAGCAATATTATCCCTTTAGTTGAACAGCCTAGTATCATCTTTATCAGTCTGATTTTGACATCATATTGTATAATTACACTACTCAAACCAGTTCAAGCCAGAGTTCTTGAGGCACAAGGACACGGTTCAAGTGTTGACATCTGAAACCACTAGCCATGTCACCTATTCGAGGCTTATGATGTTCAAGTTTTGGGAAGCCACAACAAAAGAAAACATCCAGGAAACAAACATGGAACCCCGTAAAACTGGTGGCCATAGTCCACTCTTCGTTGATGGTAGAACATTTGGTTGGACACTTATAACAAACAAAGTGGAGACCGCCAGTTTTTTCAGATCGTTTATAAACCCACTCAACTGTGAGGATGTCCACCTTACATCACCTTGTCATTATACTAGCTTTCCTATCGAAACCGTCGGCTGCTCAGGACCCCGTCAGCGGCGAGGAGGTTCCACCTCGTCACGGGGTGTCCCTGCGAGGGGCAGAGAATGGGAGCCTTGGCGATGTGTTGATCTACGGAACAGGCAGCGACTTGAGCTCTTCTTGAACGGGGCAATGGAAAAATAAAGCATGTATAGATTCTATAGATGTGTGTCCCATGATAAAATCCTCAATTTAAGATAATTAAAGTAGGTTTTTTAAAAAAAATGCTACGTTTGATTACAAGAGGGTAGTGGTTTCTTAGGATACGCCGTAGGAAATCACACTGAAGTCAATAGCAACTGATCAGCCTGATCCATGATACTCTGATTAGCCAACGGACGAGTAATGATGGGGGACAGGTGATTTTTCATGTTGACATTAATGATATTATAATGTTGATTATAATGGGGACTTCTGATTAATGTTAACTTTTTATAATGTATTCTTTTTAACTATCATAACATCTCGTCACTTGTACATAATAGTTGTCTTCGATGGATTTTAGAAAAAAATGAAAGCTGTCTTCCCAATACTTTGGAATACGTAATTGGATGTAATTGGAGCTTTGAAAGACGTGTGATTCTAGGCGTCAAAACAATATTGCCAGAACTTAGGATTACCACATCCACAAGGGAGAGAAGAAACATTTGCTTTATTAAGGGGTGATCATTGTATAGTGTCGTTCTCCAGACATAGAGTCAATCAATTGGTAGCTTTGTTTGGGGAGGGGCCTTACTGAATATCATTCAAGAGTTGTGATCCACAATGGTGACAAGCTGACAAGCTTTGTTCACATCGCGATCGCTCTTCAGGAGAGGGTGCCAGGAAAGTTCCAAAGAAAGATAGTCAGTAGCTTTACTCAACAGAAATCTAAAAAGAGTGATCAATATTTCAATGGCCATTTCAGGATCCTAAATTGGAGGTACCTACCACCAAGTATGGCCAAAAATATGATACTAACGTACCTCCATTTTAGGATCCTGGAGATCTCCCATTGAATATTTGACATGGTTGAGTCCGGCAGAGGCACAAGCTGAATCCATTCGCGTTCTTCAGGGATGAGCTCTGAAAAAAACACCCGACAAGCTCAGTTTAGAGGGTGACACCGGAGGGGTGATCATTATAATTGTTTTTTTTGGGGGAGTGGCTAGGGGTAGCTTAATATTGAGTTTGGGCACTTTTGTAACTTCACATAGGGGTAGTCGACTAAACATATGTCATCAGTAGTCAACCTCGCAGCTATCTCTCGTGGAGAGATTTGCTCCTTGGCTGAATTAGCAGAGGAGAGGAGTGCAAAGGGAAAGTGCTGTCAAGAGAAAGAGGTTTCAATTAAACGCGATGAAGAGACAGAGATGAAAAGAGGAAGAGGTTTGAAGGCAAAGAGATGTCAAGAATGACTGATGACAGGGAAAAAGGTGGAAAGGGATGTCAAGAGAAAGAGATGACAGAACAAATCTCACAAGAAGACGTAAAAGTCAAGAGATGTCAAGAGAAAGACCTCTCAGAGAAAGAGATGTCAAGAAAATGAGATGAGAAGAGAAAGTGGCATCAAGGGCAGAGATGTCAGGAGACTGAGATCATTTTGGCAAAAAATGATTAGACAAAGAGATGCCCGGTGGAAGAATTGCCAAGAAAAAGGGACGAGCAGAGAAAGAAAGTTCAAGGGAAAGAGATGCTCATACCCGGAGATTACCCTCTGGTTATTCAACATAGCCATGGGAAATGGCCCATTTATAGATGGTTTACCTATTAAAAATGGTGATTTTCCATGGCTATGTTAAATAACCAGATGGTATATATATATATATATACAGAGTTAAACTTGCTGCCGTTGAACACGAAGCCTGCACGTTCTAGAGGCCAGCTTAGAACCCCTCAGTATGGACACGCTGTTTGGAGAATTAACCCCCGATCACAGATAGATGGGCCCTTTTCTCCTTTCCTTTCCTTTCTCTTCCTTTCCTCTTCCGGTAAGAGGCGCTGTGTCCTCGTCCTTCGTTTTTTGTATTCTTTCTTGCCTGATTTTCCCGTTTTGTTTCCGCTTTAATTATGTCCTCTTCGTGTTTTTTTCCTTTCCTCTTCTGTCCTTTCCTTACGCAAATATGTTTTTCTGCATCTTCATGAGTGCAAAACCAAGGTTAGTGGTAGGGCTCCCGCAAAAAAAATGTTTGAGCAAGGCGAAGATATAGAGTTTTACATTTGTGTTCTTTTGATTTTTCATTTATATGAATATGTATATGTAACTGTATATATATATATAATTATATAATTATATATGTATGTTATAAATATATATATACTTATACATATATATATATATGTTACATATATATATATATTATCGTTTATTTACTAAAGTATATACCCAGTTGGTTGGTGCCCGCATGCCCCCAAGCAACCCAGGCAACCCAGGCGGGGGCCCTGTGAGTGTGGCATGGTGTGCCAGTGGGGCTTTCGCACAGAGGGTGGACGTCAAATCTGCAACGGTCCGTGGATGTGCTCCTCTTGCAGCTCTGGCGCAGATGGGGATGATTTTGGATGGGATCATGGTTGGTTAAGAACGGGATTCACCGTTCTTGGATGATTATAATCCCCATTACCATCTGGTTATGACTAACAGTTTGCCATGGAAAATCACCATTTTTAATAGGTAAACCATCTATAAATGGGCCATTTTCCATGGCTATGTTAAATAACCAGATGGTATATTGGGTAGTACAATCCCCTATAATCATCAACCAATTCCCCAACTACCAGGTGAGGGGCTCTAGATTTTAACAAGACCAATTGGGATTTTCATCAACCAACTTGATAGGGGGGTTCAGCAGCGAATGCCATTTTTTTGTACGGGATTTAATGGGATATCTAATCTACTTGAAGCACACAGTTGGGATGAAAATAATGGGTAAAGCTGTAAAACCATGGGGTTTTAACCGGGTTGTCTTTTGATGGTTAATAGAAGTACCCAGGGCGTCCAAAGCCTGTTGCATTTATGGTTGTCCCTGTCGCGGTCTTAGGGGGTCCTCAATTTGTTCTTTCTGGTATAGCAGGCCATTGTTGGGGGCTATAGGAACATTTGAGAAAATTGGTTCACAATTGCGCAAGAGTTGAAACAAGGGCATTTTTGTGATTTTGAGCACTCAGTGGACACGCAATAAATAATCATAAATAATCCAGCATAAACATGTCGATTAATGATAGCCATCCATGAAATGTTGAGGACCATCAGCCAGCCCCACATTCACAAAACCAATTTTGCACAAGGTTCCAGTGTTCGTGGTCTCGAGGCGTTTTTGTTGTTTTTTTTCCGCAGCAGTTTCGCATAGGAAGGAACATGCAGTAACTGATGCAAATAGAGCGAATGAACAACTACAAGAATTGTCATGGAATCTCTGATTGTGTTGTTTTCTATTTTGGCTGATGGGGTTGAAGGCACCTTTTTGGTGGCAAAAAGTAAAACGTGTCTCGTGTTTCCAAAACCTGCATGTATAAACAACGCGCATATACAAACATATTTACACTATTTGCAGGTATCGCAAGAAAACATCATGGGTCAAATAAACAGAGATGACGGAGGCACGCATGTATACCACAGAAGTATGCATGTGCATATGTGCGTGTATGCGCACTGCACTGGGGTGGTATACTATTCAAAGGAAAGGGCACTCAAAGCTGGTAGGAATAGTACTGGCGAAATCATTGAAGTTTTTGTTTTTTGTTGACCCCCCATGTTACATATTGAAATGAGAGCTGTAGGCACTGTAGGTAAATCACGCTTAAACTTGTGATGTATGTTTAGCTCACAATAGGTCATTGCATCCCATGTGTTATGACCTCTTGATTTTGCCTAACAATCCCAAGTGTGTCCAAGTGTGTTGGTGAAACAACACATATTCTCCATCTCCACTTGCGAAGAAACCCAAGAACCAGCAAGTGGTGTGTCCATGTTTTTCCGGTTGGTGGTTTGGAACATGTTTTATTTTCCATTCAGTTGGGAATTTCATAATCCCAACTGACTTTCATATTTTTCAGAGGGGTGGCTCAACCACCAACCAGTTTTGTTAACATATCATGAACTCACCATAATTCACCATTGTTTTTGCTTGCACTGTGAACTCACTCTGAAGATAGGCTACCCCAAAATTTGGTGTTGTTCATTATCATGTTCCCTCCTGCAAGGACCACAATAACCCAAAAACTTCCACTTTCGGACACGCCCAACTGTTACTTTCCCCATTTTGGGGGCCTGTGGTCAGTTTACCCAGCAGCACCAAGGTATGCCGATGCCCACCATGCCCTATGTATCCAGTGGTGGCAGTGGAGCGCGCTGAGAGTTCCGATGCCACGGAAACAGCACCACGGCAGCGATGTCGCGGGGAGCAGAAGATGATAATGCACTATGAAATCTAATCTAATGTAGTATAGATAAATATAATGTACTAGTTATATACTATCTATATCTTCATGATAGTACAATATCATCTATAGTATGAAGATGATAATCGTCTATAAGAAGATGATAATGATAATGTAGTATGATATCATCTTCTAATATGCTTATCATATTCCGATAATCATTGGATAAGCATACCCCCATACTAAGCCCATAATATCTTAGAAAATGATAATCTGACAATGATATATTTAATTTGGGGGGTACGCTTTAAATATCAGATTAGCACTATTTGGGGGGTACCCCCACAATTAATAAACCTGCGCTTATCAGTCCGGGGTTGACACTAGCATGATTGTCCAAAAAACTCAATAATTGCGTTTTGCTCTCGCAAACATGATTATTATAAGATGGATTTAGCAAGAAACAACGCGAAATTTATGGCTTTGCCAGCCAAAATGGGAAATGTCACCGGCAAAGACATTGGTTTGTCTGCAAATAAATATCCCGTCGTTAATCATCATTAATTGCCCTAGCATAGACATGTCGGGATGTAACTGGATTGGCATGACATCCCATCGGAAAATGTTGACCCAAACAGATCACCAAACTCTGGGTTGCCTTAAAAAAAGTGTAGTGGGATAATCCAATGATATCCAATGGTTCATCCTCGTTTTCCCCAAGAAAATGGCAAAGTTGGGGTAATTGTCCATCACTTTGAGACAAAGCTGTTGGTGAAATCATAGTGACCTGAATTTTAGCGTTGAAAGAGTGCTGTTTACTACACATTTTCCATGTAGAGTGGGCCTAGTTATAGGTTGGCTAATAACCCATCTAATTATATAGATATAAGATGATCCAACGTAGCTGTGGAAAATCAAGATTTTTCTAGATGATTTTACCTGTTAAGAACGGCGTTCCAGCTATGTTAGATTAGGGATACCATGCCATGATATATGAATCGTCACTAAATCCCAATCCTCATGACTCTCCATTTGAGAAGTGACTAGAAATCCCAGTGTTTAGGCTGTACGTACATTTTGCACATTTGGAGGTTTCCTAAGTCAATGGAGACTTGAGGATCCGGCAGTTGAAGAAACCCCCATTGACTGGTTGGTGGTGACTGGAACATTAGAAAAGTGGGTTTACTAACCTACCAAAATGATTGTTTTATGGGATTTAATGGCTGGTTGGTGGTGACTGGAACATGACTGGATTATGAATTTCCATTCAGTTGGGAATTTCATGATCCCAACTGGTCCGAACTCCATGATTTTTCAGAGGGGTGGCGAAAAACCACCAACCAGTTGATATATTGATGATGCTTTATGTACGTGACTTAGAAGTGTGAGTAAACATGTTGTGGAAATTGAGCGTGTGCAAGTATTGGAGGTCTCTGGTCTGGCATTCAAACATGGCCAGCCCGAAAATCCCCGCATTTATGGATGATGTTACCATTTGACTGCCCATTTACAGGGGATTTCCTAGCTAGCCATGAACAGCTCAGCAACATCTGTGACCGTTTGACTCAACCCATCGCGACCAAGAAAAACGGTACACGGTACAAGCCCAGTACGGTACAAGCCATTTTTTGGTGGGACGTCAGTTGCACCTTCCCGCGAATTAGCAAAACGAGCTGAGACTCACATCCACCATTTACTGATCATTTTGCTACGTCAATCTGGGTGTGTCTGAAAATGGGCTACCCACAATTCCAATAAATTCTGATAGCTTTCCCAATCAAAATGCTTAGTTGGTGGGTATCATTTTCAGACGTACCTAAAATATCCCAAAATATCATATGCGCTACAGCCAAATTTTGGGGTAATGGAGAGTAGAATTCGAGAGCTCTCTCTTTTTTCAGGAGCTGAGGCTTGGAAAACGATAATACACTCTTCAAAAAAGCGATACAAATCGCTCATGTTCAAATATGTTCAAATAATCCTTTCCTCATTGCGCAGGTGACTTGATATACTCGATGCTTATGCAGGCATTTGTTGTTCTTGTTTGAGAGATCAGCAAACACCCGAATGTCAATCTTTGGCTTCAACACTTGCTGTTGCCAACGCACCTCTTGGCGAAAACCAACCAGCAACTTGGGACCATGCACCAAACGTTGACCGTGGCTATGTTGGTTAAACGTCCACATCCCAATAGTTGTTGGACAAATCCGCAAGGATTTTCTACATTGAACATGTTCAACTAGAAAATCCAACCATATTTTTTTAATGTTGGTCCACATATTTTTACTTACCCTCTGGTAAATAAACATAGACTCAGACCCTGAAAATAACCAGAATTTTTCATGGAAACTCTAATCTTCCAAGCCCCATTTTTAGCAGGGTCGTCATGTTAATTTACTGGAGGATATTCATCCCCATTGTTGGTCCCTAGATTCGACTTCGACACCGCTGGCGCCCATGCTTTCGACATGGAGAATGAGGGGCGAAGGAGCCCTGTTGCTCTCGACAGATCTTGGGGGGTAAAGAAAAATAGATATCTAGGATTATCTAGGATACCCAAAGGATATAGATATGTCTACCATAAATCAGAATCCAATCTCGTTAGCCGAGTGGTACCAACTTGGAACAATCAGAATTCCCAGCTATTTTTTCGGGTGACACTTCCAAGGGTGCATTTCGGGCATGGCCAATGGACGTAATGGATGATAAACTATACCCTGGTAATTTAACATAGCTATTGAAAATGGCCATTTATAGTGAGTTTTGCCATTAAAAATGGTGATTTTCAATAGCTATGTTAAATTACCAGAGGGTAAACTATATACTGTATGTATACAGCTCGGGAAATCACATATATCATGAGTCGGAACCACATCATGGGATGCCCGCCCAACTAGACTTCATGCAGATGTGAGACAAATCCACTTTCCGCATGTGGCAAATGGGAACATAGAAATATATCCATTCCCAGACCATCGTCAACGCTCAAAAAATGCGACAAAAAACAAGGAACGATCTGCCACATTCCACATGGGTTTATGGTTGTTCTGATATACCCTTTGGTAAACGTTTACATAACTATGGAAAATCACCATTTTTATTGGTAAATCCACTATAAATGGCCATGTTCAATAGCTATGTTAGTTTACCAGAGGGTAACAAGGGTTTTTCTTGGGATTCCTGCACGACTTGAGTCAAGTGAGACAGATTTCCCAGCTCCAGAACGGTTGGGAGATTTCCCATGGCCATGATGAATACTTTGCCAAAAGGTGACTTTGGGTTTGCGAAGTGGAACATATAATTATTATTAATTATTATTAATTATTATTGTATATTATTGTATATTATTGTATATTATTGTATATTATTGTATATTATTGTATATTATTGTATATTATTGTGTATTATTGTATATTATTGTATATTATTGTATATTATTGTATATTATTGTATATTATTGTTAAACAATGTTACAAATCATCATACTGACCATCGAAGTAAATGGTTTCATCCATACCAAGCATAGCTAAATCACACAGTTCACCTGGATGTTTGATGATTTTTGCCGTTTGTCGATGATTGGGAAGTTTTTTTTTTCCCCAGCTGGAAAAGTCCACGATTTTTAGGACTTCCTCAAGCAATTCCCAGTCCAGGAAAGGTGTTGTTTTTTTGTTTCGTATAGCTATGTATAGTCCATTTAGTTCCATGATTCCATGATTTAAGCGAAGCGAATTGTGCAGAGTCATGTTAAATTACCAGAGGGTCCTATATATATATATTATATACACAATTATATATACACACTATATATGTATAGCTATTATATGTAAATAAGCAGCTGTGAACCTACGGCTGGATTTCGACGTAAGTTGTTCATATTCCAGCCCTAGGAAAATGATCAAAATCAATGAACAGTGGTGGATTTCCAGCATTTTCTCGTTTGAACGCCTTCAGGATCTCATGAGTATTTGAGGCGCCTGGTAGACATTGAAGTTGCAGTTTTAATACTTATTTGGTTGGTGATTGAAAAAACATGATTGATAATCCCATGTGATCCCGATGGACTGCATTTTTGTTGAAAACACCAACCAGTTATGTACAGGGGTGAAAGAAAGTCTCCATTGCTGGGTGGAACTTTCGAAAACCCCGAAAACCGCGATGTGAGTCTCTGACAGCCCTGGGTGTTAGTGGCTCAGATCGCGCTTGCGATGCTTGCGAAAGGGTAGGCTCGCATTCCACAGCGGAAACAGTTTTCACACGGGAAAAAACATGAAACAAACTGAATGAAGCCTGTGCCAGGGTGACAAGAAATACAACAATTGATTTGGACGATGAATGTCAATAACTAGAGATTCTGCAGATGCGGTGGCTATTTGGGTGTGAAAGCCAAAGGACCAAAGGATACCAAGTCGGATACCAAGTCGGACCAAGTCTAAGTGGACAGTCCAAAACCCTCACTGGCACTTGCCATGAGGAATCAATGACCCATTGTGTGGGGAACGAAAGGTTTTGTCCTTTTCTCATCATTGTGGATGGCTACAAATTGTGTACTACCGTAGCTTTTTTCGAAAATGGTAACTGGTTCCAGAGAGCAGCGAAGAAGTTGCAGTGGTCGTCACCTCTTCATGTCGTCACCTGATTTTGACTGGCTTCCTTGCATTGTTGTAGCTATGGAAATAGAGTACTCCCAGAATTTAGATGGTCCACAAGTCAAGAGCACCAGTTGATTTGTGGGTTCAGCCAAGTCGCATATTTGAGCCAGACCCAACTCAAGACTCCCAAACCTGGCTTGCTTTGTCGAATCCAGCACCGCCAGCATCGATTTATCATCAAATGTCTTGGTAAAAGTGGCAATTTGGGGGATACTCCTTGTTCTGACATACGCAAAAGGTCCTATTAAGTTGGTTTTATCCAATTGTCTCCCTGTCTCCTCCATATTTGCTGGCTAATTCTGGTACTTGAACACAACTATGAACAGCTCCTATGTTTAACAGGAAAACCCATCGAACTAAATGGGCCATCAAGCAACCATAGCTATATGTAACAAATTACAACCAGGGTAAATCCCACGAATATCCACATTGGTTGTTGCTTCAATCCCCATCGATCATAGAATCAAATCCCACTGAACGACCAGTAAACTCCATCAAGTCCTATTAAAATCCCATTTTGTCCATAAAAACATCGTAAAATCACCATAGAATCCCATGAAACCACCATCAAAGCAGCATTCTTCAGCACGTTTTCCCTTCCGAAAGTCCACTCTTTTGATCTCGCAGGTTGGATCCTCACTTCTTCGTGCTGCCGCGGGACGTCTTCGTACTCTTGTCGGTGGGGGGTGAAGGGCGGCGAAGCGGCGAAGCGGCTTGGGGATGGGTCAAGTGACTTGGGGGACCAGCAATTTTGATGTACCCTCTGGTAAACTAACGTAGCTATGGAAAATCACCATTTTTGATGGGTAAATCCACTATAAATGGCCATTTTCAATAGCTATGTTAGTTTACCTGAGGGTATAAGCATCCAATTTTGGAGCAATACTTGGGTCAATCACTAAATTTTTGTATTAAGCATCCAATTTTCAATTTGAGTATATATATATATAACTATGTGTTGTTGTATTAAGCATCCAATTTTGACCTATAGCCACTTGTTTAGAGCCCTTTTAGCTTGAAGAACCCGAGAAGAGCTGGAGAATACAGGTGACAAGACAATTGAATTCTCGTCACTTGTGTTTATATATAGCTTATGTTTTTCCATTTGTTTGTTTTATTTGCTTTTTACCGAGTTTGCTTGCTTCCAAACAATCCGCCATCTGAATGACACTACTCTTAGCCATATTGATGGAGACACATGTGATATCCAAGTAAAGAAGAGATGGAATATGCAAATGGAGGTTATATATATATATATGTACTGTATAGTACTGAAACACCAGTGAAACCATTAGGATATTAGAGGAGATCTCCAGAGCCAGGGATGCTGTAAATATGACAATGCACACAGCGCAGAGTGAAGTTTCAAACTTAGAACACGCCTTGTGCTTTGTGGCCGAGTTAACTTTGCCACCATGCGAAAATGCGTGGGTAAACATGTTTATCCACAAATAATTACCATATTTTGTGTTTTCAAATGTATGGTAAAAGCCCAGAATATGATAAAATCTTTGGTGAATGGATGTTACCATATTTTGAGATGAACATCCACCAGGTTGCCCGAGTTCTGGTCGGTATTTAAGTGAATGAAATTCGGACGAGCCTTGTACCTGTTAGTCCTGTTGAATATAAAGGATGTAGTAAACCCAATGATAACCCAATATGCTTAGGCTCCAGTAAACTAACCTCTTGAAAAAAAAAACAAACATAGATGTGTTACCTATTCAAAATGGTGATGTTCCATAGTCATGTTCTTTTACCACAGTTATTGCCCTTTACCAGTATAACCCCATTTATAGAATGTATAATCCCATAGAAATAACCACTTATAACTAAAAAATGACCATAATAATATAACCATATTAGAATCCCATAGAAATCCCATAGAAATCCCATAGAAATCCCATAGAAATCCCATAGAAATGCCATAGAAATCCCATAGAAATCCCATAGAAATCCCATAGAAATGCCATAGAAATCCCATAGAAATCCCATAGAAATCCCATAGAAATCCCATAGAAATTCCATAGAAATGCCATAGAAATCCCATAGAAATCCCATAGAAATCCCATAGAAATCCCATAGAAATCCCATAGAAATGCCATACAAATCCCATAGAAATCCCATAGAAATCCCATAGAAATATCATAGAAATCCCATAGTAGAAATCCCATAGTAGAAATCCCATAGTAGAAATCCCATAGTAGAAATCCCATAGTAGAAAATAGTAGAAATCCCATAGTAGAAATCCCATAGTAGAAATCCCATAGTAGAAATCCCATAGTAGAAATCCCATAGAAGAAATCCCATAGAAGAAATCCCATAGAAGAAATCCCATAGAAATCCCATAGAAGAAATCCCATAGAAATCCCATAGAAATCCCATAGAAATGCCATAGAAATCCCATAGAAATCCCATAGAAATCCCATAGAAATAGCCACTTGTAGTCCGAACATTGATTGGATTTTTGGCGCCAAATCATAGTCCCATCGCAGGCTCCGGAGGTGATTTCGCGCTTGGCTGTCAGCGGCTTTCATCAGGACAACGACGGGAACAAAAAAATCCTGGTGCGTTCGGTGAAGCGCGACGATGATCATACGGGGGTATAGCTATGTCATATGTATAGTATATGTATGTAAAATATGTGTATTATAGTAAATATATATATATAGTAAAATAATATTATAGATTTTTATGTATTAATTATAGTTACATGAATCTATATATGTATATATGTATAATAACATGTATATGTATTATTTACATATGTAATAACAATACATAAAACAAATGTGTGTATATATATATACACATATTATTTGATTATTATTATATAGATATATAGCAGCCCCGAAAAGATAGAAACGTAAAATCCCATTGAAATCGTGGCAACTGTTGTACTTTTCTGCATCTTTTCTAGGGAGTTACTAGACTACCAAATGGGGGATAGTCCGGGATAGTCAGAATCTAAGAGAGTTCCCAGTAACCAAGCATTTTTCAATGGATTAAAACCCAAAAATACTTTGAAAATCCATTTTTGAGAGTTCCCATTAACCAACCATTTTTCCATGGATTGTTTGGTGGTTCGGTGGTTCTATGTATGTTTGATCCCACCTTTGACTCAGCGGTAAATTTCATCACGTGTCACGACCTGACGTCGTTCTCCGGAAGCCTGGAATGGTGAATGTATAGGGGTAACTATCTCAACATGAATTATTATGATAATTTACCCAGTTAATTATGATAACTATCCATGAAACTGGCATATGAAGATTTCAGGTCAGTGAGTTATGATAATTTACCCAGTTTCATGTATTTTGAACCATTGCCGGTATTAACAATTATATTAACAATTATTCTTGGGAGATCCATCAAAAGTGTCCTCTCACCCTTGCAGGCGCAGTATGTCTCCTGCACCATTGGGACAATGCTGGATGTGATGGGATTCCCATAGTCCTTTCAGGGCCTCTTGGAGCTCAGGCGTGCAATGTACGCTGCGTATGAGTTGACTTTGAGACCTCCGGTGGAGTTGCCATCTGTACCAGGTCTGCATCCTTCCGACCCCAGATCCAGCGCAGCCACATCAATCACTGGCAGTGTGGCGGGATCACACCTACCTGAACTTCATGTGCGGTGCCGACTGTGCTCAACAGGAAGCTTCAGCAATGTGACAAGACCCTTTTCGAGGCCCCGGCAGACTCACGGAAACACACATTAATTTCATGGGTCGCACATGGCCGGTGTGGAGGACATCGCCGTGTTTCCTATCAAATGAAGATGGTAACGAAGGGTTTGTATGAATTTATTCGCGGGACCTTCTAACGGTTCGGTTCCATCATTTTCCGGTTCAGTTTCTGCCATGTCGGTTCGGTTCATATACGGTTCGGTTCCATCACGGTTCGGTTCCATCACTTTCCGGTTCAGTTTCTGCCATGTCGGTTCGGTTCATATACGGTTCGGTTCCATCATTTTCCGGTTCGGTTCCATCACTTTCCGGTTCAGTTTCTGCCATGTCGGTTCGGTTCATATACGGTTCGGTTCCATCATTTTCCGGTTCGGTTTCGGCCTTGCCGGTTTGGTTCCATTACGGTTCGGTTCCATCACGGTTCGGTTCCACCGCTTTCCGGTTCGGTTTCAGCCATGCCGGTTCGGTTCATATACGGTTCGGTTCTTGTTGGTCCGGTTCGCCGGTTCCCGGTTCGGTTCCGCGGCCATCCTGTGAAGGCAATTTTGGAAGGGTGCGCCAACTTGTCACATGGGGTTCCTCCTTGGAATCTCATGCCCTTTTCATGAAGGATTTCCTTCAACCGTCAACATGCAGCCCAAGTTCTTTGTGGAATCCGCCGCGGACAGCACCATGGACCGCGAACACAGTCGTCAAGTTGAACATGACAAACTTGTACAAGCTGGAGTTGCACTAGGTTTTTGGCAAGATCATGAAAATCTTTTCATGTGAGCAAGAGGCTAAACTCTCCGTGTAGGAGGTATGTATTCGAGCGCTCTCGTATGTAAAAGTATGCATCTTGATATGTAAAACGATATAGTGAAGTCCCAAAAACGATAACCTGGGAATCATATTACATGTAAAAGCATTGTGGGAAGTGAAGGGGTGGTGTACATGACATGATGGTGGATACCTGTTCCAGAAGCATCTAGATCATCTAGGCTCTCAGTTGTGGGGTATACGTCATGACCAGCTCACACAACGGAAAATGTGCAAAAGTATGTTGACACTCTTGATCCTGGCCAATTTCTTTATTTCTGATTATTGCAAGCAGTTTTGTATCCAAGCACGTATTGCTACAGTATGTGGTAACTAGCTGGATTTGGATGCTCTTTTTGTCTCGCCATTGTTCAAGCCATGTCGCTGTGAGAGCTCATCCAGACTTCTTCCAACAACTGAATTCAAACTTGTTTGGTGCAAGTGTGATTTGCAGTTGCATTGACAGGTATCATACCATACCATACAGTTGGAGCGCTGCAAAAGAAAGCGCAGGGCAGTCAAAGATGCTTCAGACGCTGAAGTGGAGGTGTAAAAAGGCTTTCCGCACGCAGTTTGCCAGGGGATGCAAATGATGCAATCAGGATATACTGTAAAACGATATAGTGAAGTCCCAAAAACGATAACTTTGACGCGAGATCGCATTTTTCAATTGAGGTTTTGCCGATCGCTCATGTGGGCTCCAATCCCTCTTTTTGTCCGTCGAGCTGATTACCGATGTCTTTAACTTGCAAGATGTTAACCACAAGTGGACCTTGAGCCATTCAGCATATTGCCCCTACTTAAACTACTATCATTTTATCCAGCCAAAATCCCATGATTTCACCACCATTAACTCACCATGAAATCTCTCCCCGATCCACCGTGCTTTGCCCAGATCTTTGGGGACCTCTCGGAGTTGGGTGCAGGCGAACTTCCGCATCCGATGGAAATGGCAACGGAAATTAGATATTTCATTGATATATATATATGTGTATATATATATATTCTTTATATATATATACATATATATATATATATATATATTAGCTGAATCCCAGAAGGCTTCAAGGCTTCCGTCTAAAAGAGCCTGACGAGGGGTACGTATACATATCCTAACTGTTTTACGCATGCAAAACATATGTAGACCGCATGTGAAACATAGTGATTTGCGCACCAGACGCATATGAAACATACACATTTACGTGTATGAAACGTATGTAATGCGTATGTAAAGTGTATGCGCAGCATATATGCAACGCATGTGAAAACATATGCGAACCCTTTGCGAAACACATGTATATATATATCATACATATATATATATATATGTATCTAGCATATATCATATCTATGATATATATGATATATATATATATGATATTTATATATATATATATATATAAATATATCATATATATATCATATATATATGATATATATATATATATCATATATATATATATATCATATATTTATATATCATATTTTTATATATCATATATATATATATATGATATATATATGATATATATATATTATATCAGATATATATCAGATATATATAATATACATATATAATTATATATATATATAGCGACGGACAATCACTTAGAACGTATTTTGCTTTTTTTCTGAATATTTCACGCTTTTTGGACGTTCTAAGTGATTATTCGTCTACGTTCTAAGCACCCCACTTAGAACGTTCAAATATCAAGATTCATCACTTATAGAACGTACCGGGGAATTTAACACTTAGAACGTGTCTAAATCAATGATGATAGTGGAAAGGCTTGTGAAATCTTTTATCTCTAAGTGTTGGGTTCAGCAGCTAATTCCGTAGGAAGCATAGACATAATTTCGTACCATTTGGCTTTTCCCTCCCGTATGATTTGCAAATATTGGCGATCTTTTATCTCTGGAACAGTATACCCTTTGGTGCTTTTTTGGGGTTCTGAGTTCTGATGTTCGAAGTGTTGGATTCAGCAGCTAATTCCGTAGGAAACATAGACATAATTTCGTACTATATGATGTGCAAACATTGGCGATCTTTTATCTCTGGAAACTATACCTTTTGGATCCTTTTGGTGCTTTTTGGGGGTTCTGTCGTTCTAAGTGTTGGATTCAGCAGCTAATTCCGTAGGAAACATAGACATAATTTCGTACCATTTGGCTTTTCCCTCCTATATGATTTGACATTGGCGATCTTTTATCTCTGGAACACTATACCTTTTGGATCCTTTTGGTGCTTTTTGGGGGTTCTGACGTTCTAAGTGGTGGATTCAGCAGCTAATTCCGTAGGAAACATAGACATAATTTCGTACCATTGAGCTTTTCCCTCCTATATGATTTGCAAATATTGGCGATCTTTTATCTCTGGAACACTATACCTTTTGGATCCTTTTGGTGCTTTTTGGTGGTTCTGACGTTCTAAGTGTAGGATTCAGCAGCTAATTCCGTAGGAAACATAGACATAATTTCGTACCATTTGGCTTTTCCCTCCCATATGATTTGCAAATCTTGGCGATCTTTTATCTCTGGAACACTATACCTTTTGGATCCTTTTGGTGCTTTTTGGGGGTTCTGACGTTCTGATGTTCTAAGTGTTGGATTCAGCAGCTAATTCCGTAGGAAACATAGACATAATTTCGTACCATTTGGCTTTTCTGTCCCATATGATTTGCAAATATTGGCGTTCTTTATCTCTGAAACACTATACCTTTTGGTGCTTTTGGGGGTTCTGACGTTCTAAGTGTTGGATTCAGCAGCTAATTCCGTAGGAAACATAGACATAATTTCGTACCATTTGGCTTTTCCCTCACATATGATGTGCAAACATTGGCGATCTTTTATCTCTGGAACACTATACCTTTTGGATCCTTTTGGTGCTTTTTGGGGGTTCTGACGTTCTAAGTGTAGGATTCAGCAGCTAATTCCGTAGGAAACATAGACATAATTTCGTACCATTTAGCTTTTCCCTCCCATATGATTTGCAAATATTGGCGATCTTTTATCTCTGAAACACTATACCTTTTGGATCCTTTTGGTGCTTTTTGGGGTTCTGACGTTCTAAGTGTTGGATTCAGCAGCTAATCCCGTAGGAAACATAGACATAATTTCGTACCATTTGGCTTTTCCCTCCTATATGATTTGACATTGGCGAT